TATCTATCTATCTATCTATCTATCTATCTATCTATCTATCTATCTATCTATCTATCTATCTATCTATCTATCTATCTATCTATCTATCTATCTATAAAAACCTATCTATCTGTTAATCTAGGGGGTGTGTTAGAATATAATAAGCGCTATATTTCTAAGCTTCTAGAACTATCTAGAACCAGATGGAATCTTATAGAAAGATTCTCTTATGAATCAACTGTATTTGTAATATATAGAAGTATCTAGAATATGCTAGTATAAGCATTACAAACTATGCTTTTAACAAGCATAGAGAAACTTCTAATACTTATATATTCGAGTATATAGAGGCCCAACCTCCATAAGATGGAAGGATATCTAATTCAATTAATTCAACTTCCATCCTGCTACCGCTCTATCTGTTGATCCTTCCTATACAACCTTTACATACAAACATCAACGTTGCTTTATATACTATATAGCATAAGTTCTTTTCTAAGAAGTAATAGTAGGTTTAGGCTTTAAATCCCTTACGTCTCGCCGACCCCGATAAAGTTACATGTTACGTATCCTTTTCCCTTACATATTGTCGGTACTTTCTCCTTAACGTGTTCTGCGGGCATCCTGCCCACCCCACCAAGCCGCCACGCCGAATATTGCGAATTGCTCAACCACGAACGATTGTATTTAGTGTAGCTATCTACTAGCTAGTTGCCTGCCGTCTAGGGCACGTACGTGCGTTGTGTTCAGTTGATTCGCACATGCTGCACCTAGGTTTTGCACGCTGCGGTCGCTTGGCCGCTGCCGCTGCTGGCGCCTCCTCTGCCTCTATTTGGGCAGCTTGTGCACGAGAGGCCACTTCTGTTCCTAATAGAACCCCTCCTTTAGCTACATACTTGCGCTTCCTTGCCCTCTTTTGTTTCTGGCGCTTATTTTCTATGCGTGCCGTCTCAAGTTCGCTTGTAAGCAGCACAGCGTTTGACATCGCCATTTCACACCCCTTAACGATCCCGCTAAGGGCTTGTTCTGCTTTACTTGATGGGCTATGCGTATGCCGGTGGAAATGGCGCTTTATTAAGGCTGTCTGCTTCTGTAGCTCAGCAATATTGTGAGGTGTTTCGGCTGCCAAAGATGCATTTGAGGACGGTGGACGGCGTTGGGGTGATGGCGTCTGAAATTCGGCATGCAGCTGCGATAGCACGCGCTCAGGGCTGTATGGAACAAGGCCAGTGGCTGCAAGCCTGCCTGTATATTATCTTGATGTAGCGCTGTTTGCCTGGCCTGCCTATATAGCGGCAGGAATTCGTGTTTATCAATGTGGTTGACACCGCGGCCCATAAGCTGTTCAACGCTGCGTCCATAGGCCTGCTTTAGCGTCGAGAAACAGCCTACATCAAGCGGCTGCAGCAAATGCGACGAATGGGCTGGCATGCATACAACAACGATGTTGTGCTCCATACAGAATTGATCAAATTCGGGGTTGACGTGGCTGCCGTGGCCATCCAGCACAAGCAGTCGATGCGTGCCAATCGTGCGATCCTTTGTATGCTCATGGAATAGCTTTAGCCAGGCAAGGCCAATCTCATTCGTCGTCCAGCCATTCTCACTAACGCCAATCGCCCAGTTGTGTGGTATAACCTCATACCAGGCAGCTTGGTGCACCTCAAAGATAACGAGTGGTGGAATCGCGATCCCTCTGGCATTGATACATTCGATAATTGTGACCCATTCTCGATTGCCCGGTTGTATAGTTCTAGGCCGGCCGGCCCTATCTGTTCCAGTAACAACTTTTGCAGTTGCAATAACACCCATCTGGCAGCCAGTCTCATCGAAATTCCAGGTATCCTTATCTTGAATTCCATATTCTGCCTTTATATTATGCACGAGTTTAAACCAGCCTCGAATAAGCACAGGATCTTCGCATTTAGCACGCTGGTAGTCGTACTTGCGATTCCATTTGGATTGTAGGTCATTATGACGCTTGATAAAGTCATATACCCATGGCTCGCCAACTGGGTAGCTAGTAGGCTAGCCATCTGCCGTACGAATGCGATTCGTGGCGGCATACCGCGTCGATCTGATGATAGAATCCATTGCTTGAGGCTCTCTTCTTGTGCAGGTGTAAGACGGCGATTCGATGCGATAGAATCGCGTTTTGGTTTGATGCCCTTGACGCGTAGCCGGGCGGTGCTCCGGGGCACGTCGTACGTGCTTGTTGCTTTTCGGAAACTTGTAATTTGGCCTTGTTTGTACGCTTGAATAGCTAGATCAATTCTGCCCTCTTTAAAGAGGTCTTCTCGTTGTTGTGGTGTAGGCATTGAGGCAGTAGTTGAGTAACGCGTCGCGTTTCTGCGATTTTTGATGGGGTGGGCAGGATGCCCGTTAGACCTGTTGAAATCAATTCGCTTCCTGCGCTCGTTTTTCACGATCTACGTCACTGGATGAAGTGCGCATCTCTATCTCGACGTTAAGGATTTATGTCGGACTTACCTGTATCCTGCGATGATGTCAGTGAACCACAAATTCAGGTAGCATGCTCCTAGCCTTATGTAGAAGTTATCTCATTTGTCTGTCCCGTGTCCAGTTCCCTTGCCTATCAAAAATCGTACTTCTTCTAAAGATCAACGCGATGCCTAACCAAAGCAACCACGAGGCATCACACGAGGCACCCTTCGAATACGAGAAGGAAATCTACAACAAAGGCCTCCAATTCGAGCGTCCATCACTCACTTTTCAATCAAATAAGTGGGAGAGTCTAGCCAAAGACCGCCTTTCAGCTGAGTCGTGGGGCTATGTTGGAGGAAGTGCCGGTACCGGTGAGACGGCAGCAAAGAATCGGGCTGCATTCCAGAAATGGTCAATCGTCCCAAGCCGCCTGGTAAAGGCAGAGTTTCCTGATCTCAGCGTGAAGCTGTTTGGTGAGGATTATCCGTTTCCCATCGCAGTTGCTCCAGTTGGAGTTCAGAGAATCTTCAATCCAGACGGCGAAGAAGCAAGCGCTGCTGCGGCGAAGGAGCAGCGATTTCCCTATGTCATGTCAACCGCTTCCTCGACAAGCATTGAAGACGTTGCGAAGGCCAACGGTACTGGAAAACGCTTCTTCCAACTCTATTGGCCAATGAACGAGTACAATCATATTACGAAGAGCCTTCTCCAACGCGCGAAAAAGTCTGGATTCACGGCCCTGTTTGTAACTCTGGACACGTACATCCTTGGTTGGAGACCGAGCGACATGGACAATGGTAATTTCTATGCAACGATATAGCAGTCAATACATGTTGATGAACTAGGGTACAATCCTTTTTTGCGTCCCGACAAGATCGGTGTCGAAATTGGCTTCACAGACCCAGTTTATCGAGCCCATTTCAAGGAGAAGCATGGGAAGTCAATCGAGGAAGACTTAAAGACGGCAGCCGGCGAATGGGCTAGCACAGTGTTCCCTGGTCATAGCCACTCTTGGGAAGACGTGAAGTTTTTGCAGGAGAATTGGGACGGACCAATCGTCCTGAAGGGGATTCAATCCGTCGCAGATGCGAGAAAGGCTGCAGAGATAGGTGTCCAAGGCATCGTGGTCTCCAACCATGGAGGTCGTCAGGTGGATGGGGGTGTAGCTTCGTTGGATATGCTGCCAAAGATAGTCGATGCAGTGGGAGATAAGTTAGAGGTGTTGTTCGACTCTGGTGTTCGATGTGGTGCTGATATAGCCAAGGCCCTGGCTCTTGGAGCAAAGATGGTGCTGATAGGTCGGCCGTACGTGTACGGGCTTGCCTTGGGCGGGAAAGAGGGTGTCAACCACGTCCTTAGAACCTTGCTGGGGGATCTCGATTTGACGTTGCATCTTTCTGGAATTCCCTCTGTTAACCCGAAGGAATTGAATCGGGATCGACTTGAGAAGGATTAGTGTTGGGCGGATCTAATAGTAGTCCCCCTTTCTCATGCCAGTACTGAAAAGAAGGGGACTACTAATCGCACACTCCCCCTCTCATTTGATCTTCTTATTAGTCGCGCCACCTAGACTAAATCTAGTTCTAGACCACTGAGATAATAATCCTTAAGCATCTTGCAGCATCTCACTATATCACGCGTGAATATCCCAAGTAACAACAACTTGCACAATATCAAATCGCACCGGGCACTCCGCGGAATGAAGTTCAAGCTGTTTTCAAACAAGCTAAAGATAGATAGAGATAGGAGCAGGGAGGATAGCATGCTAAGAATATCGATGGTGTAGTGTAGTAAGGAAGAGAGATGAAGACGTAGTATCAAGTCATAGTTGGTCTTTTACGCGAATATAAGGGCCGATAATCGATTGTATCAGGCCTGCATTCCTCAAATTGCTCTCTGTTATACATGTTCGGGCAGATTTTGCCCAAGCTCCCCAACCAACGCTTCTCCATCGACTCCCGCTTTCCACATCAGCTCGTAGCATTGTAAACCAAATTAACATAGTGAAAGCCTATTGTGTTCCCTAGCCCGCCCTTTGACTTCGTTGTTAGTTATATGATAACTCGACGTGCATATAAGAAGTGATACTCACGGCACAGGTCTGGTACTCTTCAAGTACAAGCAGCTTGATGTAGGCATTACTTGCTTTCAAACCCAGGCCAAATCCACCCGGTGATATAGAGAAGTCTGGCATGGTAAAGTTTGATGGTGGAAGGTTGGTCGGGTATGGGTTTCCTACAATAGTCAACATCAATCTCCTGCCATAATACGAGGTTAGATAGAAGACGTTACCTGGGTAATTTGGCAATGCGAACTCCCCTAAGAATGTCCCTCGCGCCCAGGTGTTAGAAGGGTAACGTCTTGGCCACCCAGTCGGGCTAGCCCCTCGGTCGAGCCACCCCCTTTTTGATTACTCTTCGCTCCACCAACTCCTAACGTCTACCTCAATAGCTCAACAAGTTGTACACCAAATATGGCCCCACCTACGTCAAACGATGCGCAGCTTTCTGCAGAAGAGCGGCTACAGCTTGCCCTTAATGCATTTCGCCAGGGGACGGTCCCATCGCTATTCCAAGCCCATAAGCTCTTCAACGTGCCATATTCAACCTTAAAAGCGCGCAACGCCGGCAGACAATCAGCTCAAGCCTCTTAGCAATTACAACAACGTCTATCTGTACAGGAAGAAGATGCGCTTGTTAAATGCATACTTTAAATGGCGGCCTGGGGCTGGCCAATCTCAATTATATACTTAGAGGGCCTGGCTGCCAATATACTTCAAAAGAAAGGCGATTTTAAAATACTTGGCTATAACTGGTATAAGAACTTCCTCTAACAACATCCGAATATTAAGCCTAAGCTTACTTACTGCCTTAATTAATTAAGAAAGGATACTGCAGATTATTAAGAGCTGGAAAAGTGGTTTTCTCTCTATAATAAAACTATTAAGAAATATAGAATTTTTATTAAGGATTAATATAATATAGATAAGAAAGGCTTTATAAAAGGCGTAGGAAATAGCTGCAAAGTTTTTCTTCCTATTTAAGAAGAGAAAGCTTAGTTAATTTAACCTAGAAATTATAATTAGGTATTAACTATTATAGCTATTAATATAAGCAGCTACGCAGTTCTACTATATATTATCTTCTAAGGTAAGCAGATATAGTAATCCTGGATTAACGCATTAATTAATTCCTATACTATTATTTAAGTTAGCCTAGCCGGCTAATAGATTGCAATATTACTCTATATTAGCTTAAGCATTTTAACAGCTATATAAAGCCTATTAGTAAGTACCGGCTCTTAATTCTAGATAGCTATAACTTATATATATCTTTTAAATTTATGCAGTATTATAAGGATATAAAGATTATTACTCTCTGCCTACTACCCTACTCTGTAAAGGTATATAAGGCACGTGGTGAAATAGTAAAGGTTTAAATAGGTGTTGTATTACTAATTAGTATATAGTCTTATTAAGATTATCGAGTTTACGGAGCGAGGCAGCGGTCTTAATATACCTCAGTCGTTCTTTATTAGAACGTAGTCTTTGTTGTAATAAAGAGTTAACGTATTCCACAAGCGAGCCGTCCACCCAAGCGAGCCGTCCACTTCATTACGAAAACGCGACGCGTCAACTTCCAACCACCATGCGTCGACAACACAACGTGCAATCAATACAAAATGAAGGTCGAATATGCATGGCTATCGCAGCAATCAATCGGCAGCAATTTACAAGCGAACGGCGCGCTATTACAACATATGACGTCCCCAGAAGCACACTTCGAGATCGACGCGCTGGAACAACCCCACGACGCGATTCTGAGCCTAATTCGAAGAAGCTTTCAAAGCTAGAGGAATCAGTTATCACTCAACATATACTCGACCTGGATTTGCGAGGATTTCCGCCTAGCTTGTATGCTGTACGAGAGATGGCCAACAAATTGCTTGCTAAGCGCGCCGCCGGCCAAGTTGGCAAGAACTGGCCAGAGAACTTTGTCAAGCGAACACCTGAGCTTAAAACACAATTTAATTGAAAGTACGACCGTTAAAGAGCTCTATGCGAGGATCCAAAAGCTATTAGCAATTGGTTTGAGCTTGTGCGCAATATAAAAGCAAAGTATAGCATCCTGGATAAAGATACACACAACTTTAATAAAGCCGGCTTCCAAATAGGTGTCATCTTAACGGGCGTAGTTATAACAGGCTCTAAGCGCCGTAATTATCCAAAATCTGTGCAGCCAGGCAATCGCGAATAGACAATAATAATCTAAGGTGTTAATGCCTGTGGATGGGCTATTCCACTATTTATTATCTTTGCAGGCATATACCACCTTTCTATATAGTATAAGGGCAACAATATACCACCAGATTAGGTTATAGTAGTAAGCGATAATAGCTGGACAATAAATAAGCTTAGTATTACCTGGCTACACCATTTCAATGCGCATACAAAAGATCGCACGATAGGCACGCACCGGCTGCTAATTATTAATGGCCACGAGAGCTATATCTCGCTCGAATTCCAACAGATTTACAAGGAGAATAATATTATTAATCTCTGTATGCTAGCGCATTTATCGCACCTGCTACAGCCGCTTAATATTAGCTGCTTTATGCTAATAAAAAAGGCGTATAGGCGCCAAATTAAGGACTTAGTGCGCTACTATATTAACTATATCACTAAGCTAGAGTTCCTGCCAGCATTTAAAGCAGCTTTCTACAGCTTAATTATAAAAAGCAATATTTGCGCAGGCTTTTAAGGCGCAGGCCTTATACCACTTAATCCAGAAGCAGTGCTATTAAAGCTTAATATTAGGCTCCGTACGCTGTTGCCTCCGCCTGCCGCCGTGGAGGTTCTATAGGAATTAAAAACACCAAGCAACGCTCTTAAGCTAGGCTCTTAATCAGCTTTAATTTATGAGCGCATTTAAATGCATCAAAATAGCTCGCCTACAGCCATTCTTAACTCGCTTAATAGCCTCTCCAAAGGTGCTAAAAGCATGATGCATCAAGCTGCGCTGCTGCGCGATACCGTTACCAGCCTTCAAAAGGCAAATAAAGCCGCCACAAAGCGCAAGGCGCGCAAAAAAAAGCGCATTCAGAGGGAAGGAACTCTGATAATGGAAGCAGGCTCTCAAATAGCTGCTCAACGGCTCGAGAAGGACGCTCAAAGCAAAAAGCAGCAAGGTGGAGCAGGCTCTGATGGAATCGTGCGGCGCTGTGGGCGCTGCGGCGAGTCAGGGCACAACATTCGTACGTGCAAAAACGATGCAGAGGTTGCTGCAGATCAGGCTACAACTTGTATCTAGTTGATATCTATTGGCGTTGTGGAGCAATTAACGTTTGAGGCAGGTTTTCATGATAAAGTGGACGGCTCGCTTGGGTGGACGGCTCGCTTGTGGAATACGTTAACGTCTCTTTATTAAGACAAAGCCTCTTTATATACAATAAGTCCTTTATTAGGACAAAGAGTTCTTTGTTAGAATAAAGAATAATAAAGGGTTCTTTGTTAGAACAAAGGAACAAAGGAACAAAGGATCTATAAATAGATTTGTATCTATATATATATATAGATAATAGAACAAAGAAACATATTGCTTATTCTTGTTCTAATATACTCTACCTATATTCTCCAGCCACTTAATATTAGTATCTTTTTACCGGTTGCAAAGGCATATAAGAAGCAGATTTATAAGTATAGTATTTTTAGGGCAGAGCATATTTTAAATAAGCAATTTCTTCTCTTTTATTAACGCGTAATATAATAAGTAATAATAAAAATTAACATTGCTAGCGCATAGAGAAAGGCAGGCCTATTACCTTTTAATCCTGTATTAGTACTGCATAAATTTAGGCTAAAAACACCTCCTTTTATTAGTATAACTAATTAGAATAGTATATAAGTTAATATATAAGCAACTAAAGATTAATTAGATAAGATTAATACGCTTATTGCGGCGCTTCTTAAACAGGTTCCTCTCCAGCTTTATTCCACTGTTTTACTTCTACAAGATCTCTCTCTAACTGCTCTTACTAATAGATCTGCACTTTAAATTCTTAATAATAATCTTATAGAGAAGCAGAAGAAGAGTAGAAAGAGCCATATAAAGAAGTACTTTGGGGAGGCTCAGCAGCTTACTGTAGAGGAAGCGCTTTAAAAGATAAAGGAGCGTGAGGCAAAGGAACAGGAGGAATTAACGGCTAAGGAGAGAGCTGCAGCTCTACAAGGCAAAGGAGTCAATTCACTCCTCTGCCCCTGCAAGCCTCATACGCCACCCAATACGCTAACCGGGTGGCTCGACCGGGGCTGGCTCGAACGGGTGGCCAAGACGTTACAAGGATGTCGGATCTTGGGTGTTCAGATAAACCGTGAAATTGTAGCTCGACACGCAGTAGTCAGCCGCTGTTCTGTACTCAAAAGGGAAGATTGCTCCAGGTTTGACCTTTGTCCCGTTGGCTGGCGATATGATGGTAGCATCTGTTGCGAGGACTGTTACAGCCGTGAACACGGTGAGCCATAAGGTGGTAAATTGTAGCATAGTGATGACAAGAGCTGGCCGACTTGTAAGGAGCAGAGATTTCTTTATCTGTACGTTTGGCAGCGGATGTGTCCTTAAATGTACGTGAGCTCCATTATTCTCGTGGCGCATTAAGCTATCGGGAAAGTTGCTGATCATGATCTGTTGTGTTCAGGAGTTTACCGACCCGCATGCAGTCTGCCAGGGGTACACGCTCCCAATAATGTGGCTTAGAGAGAACGAACAATCTCTTACAGCGTCAAGGCGCATCCCATGAACTAGTGCGGATATCAAGCCACAAAAGTCAGCCGTAAAAGGGATAATCTGGACAAAAACGCTTCGCACGAGCAAGCTTTCAGCAGATTTAGCTTCGTCTCTCGGTAAAGAATACGTCTAGAAAAGGGCTTCCTCCGCTCTAATCCCACCTATTCCACCTGTGCCTTTAAATCTGCACTAGTTCACCGGATGCGCCAGAAGTACAATAGAAGTTTTTAAGACCTAGCTGGACCGATCTATTTATCACAATCATGCCTATAATGCGCCGCAAGCAATATAAATACAAGGTCCACAAAACCCGCCAGCCAAAAACCGATAAGAAGGAGTTGACATCTGCCATCCATCGTGGGTGCCTGTGTGCTTGGGAATGCTTCACAGCATTACGCTGCCAATACCTTAGAAGTGAATCAATCAAGCATTTTCCTACTTCTATACTTCTATTTAGCTAAGATCTAGTAGATAGATAGATAGATAGATAGATAGATAGATAGATAGATAGATAGATAGAACCTTTATTTTATTTCTATTTTTTTTTACTTTCTATAGGCTTTCTATTATTTAGATATTATAGACCTACACTATAAAGATTTTTTCTTATATATATTTAGGCCTATATAATTATATACTACTTAGTAGAAATATATAGAATATAGTTTAGTAAATAATTTTTAGCCTAACTCTATTATTTATACTACTTAATAGACTATTTATCTATATAAAGAAGCTGAATTACTACTACTTTACTTTTACGAAATAAAGCTTAGACCTAGGCTATAATAGTCTTTTTATACTAATCACAATTTTAGTTTCCTAATCCTAAAGCTTAATTTATATTAAATAGTGTAAGGATTATAATAGCATAAGCGTTATATCCCTATGCATAAAGCTCTCAAAACAACTAAAACTATGCTGTAAAGGTTGTATAGGAAGGATCAACAGATAGAGCGGTAGCAGGATGGATGTTGAATTGATTGAATTAGATATCCTTCCATCTTATGGAGGTTGGGCCTCTATATACTCGAATATATAAGTACTAGAAGTGTCTCTATGCTTATTAAAAGCATAGTTTGTAATGCTTACACTAGCATATTCTAGATACTTCCATGTATTATAAATACAGTTTGATTTATAAGAGAATCTTCCACAAGATTCCATCTGGTTCCATCTGATTCTAGATGGTTCTAGAAGCTTAGAAATATAGCGCTTACTATATTCTAACATATGCACGTTTGAACGTGATACAGTAAACGTTTTGAACAGGAAAAGTGAGATAACGTTACAGAAGCGTTAGAGGACGTTTCACAATGCTATACGTATGCATATATGTGCAACTCCGCTGCCGTCGATGAAAAGAAGAACTCAAGCAATACAATTCTATCTATCTATCCATACAACTCTGTTCTATCTTTCTCTGCATCGACTCTATACCTTTAACAAATAGCATACTTTTATATATTATTTACTAACCTCGCTATTATTATACCCATCTTAGAGGAACCTTTTTATATTAAGAAATCTATTATTTGTTACTTCTTTTTGTTAGTAATTAGTTAAGAGGTATCCATCTAGATGTGGTTAATTTTAATAGTAGATAACTATTTTGCGGAAAGCAGTCTCGCCTCCCCAATTAATTTCCGACGCGAGTGAGCCTCGATAACAAATCGATAGCATGATACCACACGGGGCATGGAAAAGGTGGCACACTAATTCCAGAACAAGCTGTCTCATGTGTACACCTGTCTGCCACTGCTTTGGGTGATTCAGAGAATTTTCATGAGTTGGAACGAGATAAAGCCCTTCACTCTGGTCTGTGTGGACCCTTGTTGAAGCAACTTCATGCAGTGGCAAATAGGTGTACTTCGTACACACGGGCAGAGTACTTGATGGGTGTGCCACTTTTTTCATGCCCAGCGTGGATACTAGACCCGCTCAACTCGAGATGACGATTTTCCTGTTCCAAGATGAAGGACTCGTCTGAGTATTCAAAAGACGAGGGGGAACTGGGGAAAGCTTGCGCCCATCGCATTCGAATAGGCAACACACTCATAGCTTTACTCGTCCCAATACTAGTGGCTCTTGTATGTCAATCCATTTGAAACGAAATGCCGGTTCTGACCTCTTCAATAGTTACTATGGACGCAGAAATCAGTAATCGAGCGCGTTCAGCAATGCTCTGTCGATACAATCCATCGGGATACCTCGTTCCTCCATGACGCGCAGCCCATCACGTCCCACGAGTTCATCAATCGTCGGAATAGACTGGCGAAGGCACTCGCGGCTTCTGGAGTTGATGGCTTTGTCTTGGAACCTGGCTATACCTTTGCATACTACGGCAACATTTCTCAAACGTCATGGGAGCCTTGGGAACCCGAGGAACGCCCCTTTTTGATGATTATCGAGCCGAGAGTCGAAAAAGATGGACAGATCCATGCCAGAACCTCATTTTTGAGCCCCAAATTTGAAGAGGGGAGGGTCAGAATGCTGGGGATACCCTCAGAGGAGAGCTTGAACATCGTGACTTGGGAAGAACATTGGAATCCGTATCAAACTCTGAAACAGGGACTATTTTCCCATAAAAAAGACCCATTAATCATGGTTGATGAAGAGATGAGGGATTTCATTGTCCGGGGTCTGTCGAGCAACGGCTTTAACACCGTAGGGCTGGACAGTGAAGCCGAAGCCGTTAGGCAGAAAAAGAGCTCCGCGGAGATCGAAATCCTTAGAGCCGTTAACACTGGGACCGTGGAAGCAGTAAGAGCAGTCCGAAGCTGTCTTGTTCCGGGCCTCACTGAGGATGAAGTTATGACTGTCCTCGATAACACCTTACTGTCCATCGGATTCTCTCTTTTCTTTGACCTTGTGCTCTTTGAAGAGAACGCCGCACTTCCCCATGGAGGCTTTGTGACAGGAGACAAGGTTCTGGAACAGGACACGATGGTTCTGATCGATGTCGGAGCTCACTATCTTGGTTACTCGTCAGACATCTGCCGTTCGTTCTTCATTCCTCCCCTCAAGGCTTCCAGAGTCGAAGCTTTTTACGCTCTTTTTACCCCTGGTTGGTTCTCATCTCCCAAGCGCAATTCCAGCCTCCGCGAAGAAAAGTTGAAAGTCTGGCAGCTAGTATTGGACGCCCAGAGCGCCGCTGCAGAGACGTTCATACCTGGAAACAGGGCAAAAGACGTCGACATTGCAGCTCGTGCTATCATAACCCAGTCTGGATATGGAGCCATGTTCACTCATCGTGTGGGCCATGGAATCGGAATCAAGGCGCACGAAGCACCCTACCTACATCAAGGTAATAATCAGGTGCTTCGCGCTGGTATGACGTTCACCAATGAACCAGGCGTTTACCTGATTGGGAGATTCGGTATACGTCACGAGGATGTCTTCCTTGTCAAGCAAAATGGACCGCCTGAGGTTTTGAGTGGCCGACGAGCAACTGGTCCTTACGATCCATAAATGTAGTATAGCCATTCTGTTTCAGATAGCTAACCACGACCAGAAGTGCAGTATTCCATTCTAGATCTCCATGAAATTACATCGTGTACAATCAAAAGATGAATACGCATGAGAGTCCTCAGACAGGTGACCACACTCGGCAACGCGATGCCCTGTTCCGAAGCCCGCGGAAATGACATCGTGAGAACTTGGAAGATGAATATGGGCCTGAGGGGCCACAGACAGTTACCTGTATCGTCAAAATGGCAACAGAATACCTCCAATCTACGCCGGTAGATTAGGGAGATGCGAGACCAACACGCGAACGGCAGGCGCATGATTTACGAGCCCCGGAAATTACATCGTTGGGATTTAGATGTTGAATGTGCATAAGAGTCCTCAGATACCTAAATGTACCCAGCAACTCGATGCCCTGATTTGCAGCCGCTGCAGATGACATTATATGTTTTTACAAGATGAATAGGCATAAGAGACCTCAGACAGCGGACTGCATCTAGAAACGCCGTGTCCTAATGTACGCCTCCATGGAAATGACGTTGTGAGAATTTGAAGGTTAAATAGGCAGGAGAGTCTTCAGATGGCCAAACGAACCCAGGAAAGAGATGCTCTAATTTAAAGCTTCTGGAAATGACATTATAAGAATTCGGAAGGTGGATAGACATGAGAGGCCTTAGATAGCTAACCACGACCAGAATCGCGGTCCTCCAATCTGGATCCTCATAGGAATGACATCTTGTGTTTCATGAGATGAATAGGCCTGGAGGACTATAGATGTTCACCTCTCTACGGAAATGAGATGAATAGGTCTGGAGGACCATAGACGTTCACCCCCTTACGGAAATAACATCTTGTGTTTTCATGAGATGAATAGGCCTGGAGGACCACAGACGTTCACCTACATTATCAAGAGCGTACCAAAAGCTCTTCATCGTCCTTTGAGATGCACCAGAAAGGATTAAAAATCATATAAATGGGTATCTTGGCTATTCTTGCTATCAGATCTGCCTTCGTCATTACGTTTTCTGTCCGCATAACTTTTCTGCACCTTCCCAACCTCTTCTCTTGTCCGCTCGTACTGTATGCGGGGGTCCTTCCGCACACCATTAGGAACTACCTCTCACGCGCCGACTTGCTCATTCCACCCAAGCCAGCTGCCCCTCATACCTCTCAGTCGCCAGCCACTGCAACTTCGTTGCCAAACCCGCTGGCAACGGTCGATCAGCCCTCGGCTTTGGCACTGCATCCTTTGCATCCCCAAAGTAATCCGCTGCCGGCACAAGCTCCCACCACACAAAGTCCATCCGCTACCGCATTGTCGTTCCACCGGGAAGAGAGTTGAGCAAATAGATGACCGCTACGGGAAGTTCCTCGAACGTGGATGGCACGAATGAGACGCGGGTAATGTTCCACGGAGAGGAAGTGCGGATCAAGACGCTTTCGATGGTTCCGGCCTGCATGCTGTAGTCGGCCCATGGCGTGGGGTCTTCGATGTAGGCGTCGAGGGAGAAAGAAGATGAAATTAGAAGGAGGGGGTGCGAGGGCTTCCCCAATGCTTTTGATGACGGAGGGAAGAAGTGGCGATCTGATTTTGAGACTGGGAGTGCTGCGTGCGGGGGTGTCCAAACCACAGTTGGTGGGTAGTGGTGGGTTATGCTCAAGTCATATATCTGTAGGTTATTAGCAAGACAATACTTCAGGAGCGGAAGGGTGGCTCTTACAAGTGATGAAGGGCGCTATGGCTTGTCTTGTCGACATCAGGACACTCGGGACAGTCGAGTTTGAGAACGAGACGGGTTGAGTTGATGACTTGGCCGGCCTGCGGACCTTTGAGAACATTTTGCGACTTTATGATTGGCGAAGATTTCACGGAAATCGTGTAGACTACGAGTAGAAGAAAAAACACGCGAAAAACGAATGAGTCCATGATTAAGCTAGGAAGAATGAAAACTAAGGGAAAGCTTGAGAGAAACGTGTTTACAAAACGAAGGACACGTTCAAATATACCCACGGGATCTGTTCGAAGCGCAGCTGTGCCGTTTAGTACCAAAGATAGAGGGTAGTGTCGCGGCGTATGTAGGTTCGCGGCGTAGATGTTGGATTTCCTAGAAGAGTTAGGACAGCACTTACGCGCGCGTCTTTGCCACGCGACATCACGATACTTCATTGATTCCTCGGCATCACTGTGAAAGAAGTATAGTATGCGTCTCGGCGAACTCTTGGCTCGTGATATGATTCGACTGCTCTATGAAAGTCAACTGATCGTCCCGAAGCAGCCTCACCGTTGAAACACTCTCGACCAAGGTACTGTGCCGCTCTACAGTCTACGCCGCACTCTCTAACGTCTCTACCTGTTTTCAGCGCCTCAAACTCCACATAACGCCATTAAACAATGCAATATATCAATGCTGCCATCACCGCCTCCCCTCCGCCACCTCCTCCTTCAAAGCATTCCTGACAATCGCTCCACACATCTTCGCATACGGATTCGTGCGCACCGCCATATCTTTCGCAACTCTATCCCCATATCTTCCCGCAGCCTCAAAATCCCGGCTCGCCATCTCTTCTAGTCTCTCGTGCCCCATGCCTTTTATCCGCTGGGACCCAGATTCAAGCTTCATAGAAGGCGATTCCGAAGCCACCTTTGCCGCCTTGAGGTATAGGTACGCACGATGCGAGTGCGCTGCGGCGAGAACCTTGGCCTGCTGAGGGGACACAGCCTCTTTCTGCGATGCCGGCGTCGCAAGTTCTATAGCCTTCGCTAGGTCCAGAAAGATGCGCTCGACGGTCCCATCGTCGTCTACGGTGAATAGATCGTCTTCAACCGCTAATCGCAGCGCCTGCGCCCGGTTTGTGTATGCGCTCGCGTATCGTGGGTGCGAGTCTATAAGTTGTGAGAGGGCTGCAATGGAGCGCTCTATCTCAGGCTTTGAAGGGTTTGGGATCGCGATGGGAAGGATTGCGGCGCGCTCGGTGGTGTGTAGTGCTGCGATCTCATCGTGGGAGATGTGTGGTAGTGGCGGTAGAGAGGATTCTATCTTCGCGGCCGAGGATGATGAGGAGGCTTCGGGGTCAAAGAGGGCGGAGAGAACATGCGCATCGTTTGACGAGAGTTGGATTTCTGGGACCGCCATGCTGGAAGCTGCTGATTAGCGTCTAGAGGTGGTAAGTATGGAGTGAGTATGTCTTATGCGACACTCGCTCGGATGCGCTCTGTGCTGCGGTCATTGCGAACGTGGAAGACGATTCATCATGCCACGGCTTAGCGTTTCGTTGTCGGCGGGTTTGGTGCGGAGCGGCTATTCAAGGCGGCGGTATCCACTGGTTGCCAGTCTTGGTATCACGTGCACGCCCAAAACGGAAATCCTTTCACCTTTCGTCGGCTTATCTGGTAACGCAGTCGTCACACCCACACAATCGTCCATGGGAGTGCGGAGGAGAATATCTGATTTGTTATGTCGTCGGCTGACCCGCGCGTTCCCGCGCTCTGACTTTGACTTTCGTGCAATATATTCTAGCGTGGTGGCATCTCTGACTTGTATCTATATCTTCCCTTCTACACACCACCACAAGAACAACTTAGTCTACTGTGCTCCTTGCTTCGCCATAATACCCTATTCTACTACTGTAAAATCTCAAGCATGGCGCCCTCCGCTATTTCCCCTCTAGGATCCCCAAGCAGCCACTCCGAAGCTAGCCAGGACTTGAGCAGCTACAAAGGCTACCACCATGTCCACTGGTACGTCGGGAACGCAAAACAAGCCGCTGCCTTCTATGTCTCGCGGATGGGCTTCGAACGCGTTGCATACAAAGGACTAGAAACTGGATCCCGAGCCATCGCCTCCCACGTGATCCGCAACGGCAGCGTCACGTTCGTGCTTACATCGCCACTACGATGCTTGGCACAAGCAGATAGATTCAGTCCAGAGGATGAGGAGTTATTAAAGGAAATCCATGCGCATCAGGAGCGACATGGCGATGCAGTGAAAGGTGTGTGGAAGTTCAGCATTGTAAACAACTTACGCGAAATATACTTACTATTTCTAGATGTTGCGTTTGAAGTAGATTCCGTCGATGCCGTGTATTACCAAGCGGTGCAAAGGGGTGCCGAAAGTGTGTCCGCGCCAAAGACCATCTCAGACTCGAACGGATCAGTACGACTAGCGACCATCAAGACATATGGCGACACCACCCACACTCTCATCGAGAAGTCCAACTATCAGGACATATTCCTACCGGGATATCGAGCAGAGACAGCCGCAAAAGACCCACTATCGCGATTTCTACCACAAGTGCAACTTGAAGCCATCGACCACTGCGTCGGAAATCAGGACTGGGATGAGATGGAGAACGTATGCGATTACTACGAGAACGTCCTCGGCTTCCATCGGTTCTGGTCCGTTGACGACAAGGATATCTGCACGTAAGCTACCTGTCCGGTCCACTCAATCTGATGTAAGAGAGACGCTTACCGAAAATAGAGAATACTCCGCCTTGAAATCAATCGTCATGGCTTCACCAAACGATGTAGTCAAGATGCCTATCAACGAGCCCGCGAAAGGAAAGAAGCAGTCGCAGATCGAAGAGTATGTTGACTTTTACGGCGGCGCTGGCGTTCAACACATTGCCCTGCGAACGGACAACATCATCCGAGACATCACCAATCTCAAGGCTCGAGGAGTGGAATTCATCAAGGTCCCAGAGACGTATTACGCATCCATGCAGCTCCGACTGAAGAGACAAGGAATGGTGTTGAACGAGGATTTCGAAACACTGAAAAGCTTGGATATTTTGATCGACTTCGATGAAGGGGGATACCTGCTGCAACTGTTCACAAAACATCTTATGGACCGCCCAACCGTATTCATTGAGATCATACAGAGAAATAACTTCTCGGGATTCGGAGCCGGAAACTTCAAGTCGTTGTTTGAGGCCATCGAGCGAGAACAGGAGCTGCGCGGGAATCTAGTCTGATCCACAGGGCAGTAGGAAATGTCCGAGCTTACTTTGATGCTGTAATTTAGCGGTTGCCGGAATTCTATCCACTGTTTTAATGCTCTGTTTGCCACGAAATTTCTAGGTTCTTGTTCTCATACTGATTTCTCACGTCCCATTCAACACATGCAGACGTTTACATTATGCCCTCCAAACGTAAGCATGTGCCACCTAAACGACTTTAATGCAGCACTGTTTGAGTTATGCGTGTATACTCATCTTGTAGGCGCACTTAATGTTAACTCTCATAGTCACCCGGTTAGGTGCCTGATCGATCAAGAGCTTGTGAAAGGTGATCTGATTCCGGCCTCGATGGGCAATGCCCATCAGCCAGCTTTGAAAAGTCATGGGCGCATCCCCAGCAGTTGTAATGCAGCTGGGCTTCAGTCACAAAGTCTCAAGCTGGCAGGTCCCAGAAGAAATCGAGGTTTCCCTCATCAGTCCCGAAAGCCGTTTGTGCGGTGCCGATTTCGAACGGCGCCATTGAAGGATTGAATGGCTGCCCACCAATTAGCTTCTTTCGACAGTCATTATCCTGACTAATACGTACTAGCGAAAGCCAATCATCCGTGTACATCATACCGTTAATATCCTCAACCAGAGACGCGATACCAGAATCTCCAGCATTCTGATTACTCAGAAACGCTAAGCCGGCGGGACTGTCCACCGATGCCTGTCTCGGTGGTAACATGGGAGGTCTTGCGGAGATTATAAGATTATTCCGAAGACGAGTGACGTGCAGCTCCAATAAGGTAGCATAACGCGCAGCAAGATGTCCATCTTCCATGGTACTTGTTCGCAATGCGTTGATGCAGTTATCGAGTATCTCTAGAGATGACTCCAGTCTTGTTTTTGGGGCCCCCAGGCTTAAGCTCTTGATAAGGAATACCGAAGCCGTGACAGTCCTGAGGATGACTCTGACGGGAGCGTAATGGAGCGCGCCGGTTTCTGCGAGTCGAATGGCTTTTAAAAGAATGTCACAGCTCCCGTCCACAACTTCCTGAATGAAGTCGTAGTCTATAGAAAGCGGTTCTATGTTTAGCGGTAAAGCCTCACTCTGTAGCCCGTTCGCGTCGGCTTCAGCGAGTGTTCTTTCGACGACTGCTTGCATTCCGAGCGAGTTTGTGTGGATTCTCACGTATTGGTATTCCATGCACATCATGTCATTCAGATCTCGGTCTGCAACTGTGATTTCGTTAGTATTGGTGATGTTGACGTCTTTCGTGAAGCTTACTGTTCATGTTGCCGTGCTTTTTGAGCCACTGCTTAAGCTGAGACTGGAAATGCTGCAAAAGTCCGACGTAGCGACCACTTCGGAGCGTCTTTCTGGTGACCGCTGCAGATGGGAAGAGCATGTCTGACACGGACTTTGAGATTTTCGTGAGCTCGACCCAAGCGCTCATATGAACCAGCCATAGTTCTTCATATGGCGAAATTGAGGCAAGCGGAGGTTTGGCCAAAAGAACGTGATTTAGGCTCTGGGGTATCATTGAGGTACATCCGAGGCGGAAAGAAAGCTGTTCAATGAATACGTATAGCAGCTTCTGTGCTCGAATGCATCGAAACTGCTTGGTTCCCGCCGGCATTGGGTTTGAAGCATCGTGAGCTTTGTCGAAATTAGAGTTTTCGTCGAAGATGCCTAGTTCGTGAGCTAGGGCAAGCCCGCAGCCTGCGTGAGAAAATAATTAGTTACACAGTTACCAAGTAGAAAATTATAGAAGCCATTAAGGTACCTAGAAGCATCCAAGACATCCGGTCGCTTCGTTTCGCAGGTTCTACCACATCTTCAAGCCATCGACTGGACGAGAAGTTGTCTTTGGAGTGTAAATCATCATCATCTGTATGCGTTGTACAAAGGGGTGCGCTCATTAGCTACAGAACGTAAGCCTCTGCACTCCTCTCGTAAACATTTTTCAAGCCAACGTACCTCAGCGTCCCAGCCATCGCTCCCCGTCGAGAAATGTAGAGCTCGCGGGTGCCATTCAGCGATGAGAAGCAGAGCCTCTATTGAGCCGATCGTGCGAGTTTTGGCCCTGGACGCCTTCTCTTGGCCAAGCGTTATCATCATAATGAACCGCTGGCATTGCTCCCATAGCCGATCGTGGATAAAGTAGCTGCGCGGCATTCCACCTACGCCTGGCAGAATGTTGTATCGCGAAGAGATCATCAAAATCGTGGAGCACAAAAAGGGATCCCGTGATATGAGCAGCAGATGATTCTGATGGTCACTGTAGAAGTCGCTCAGTACGGGAGACAAAAAGGAGAGATTCTTGAAGAACAGATCAACGTAAGTGACTGCCTCCTGGGCGGAGAACCAGCCTATCTGTACGAAGCGACACGCATTCCAGGTGCGAAGTGTTTCGGGCGACGCTTTGGACAAATTGCCAACCCTTCCCCTCGAAGATGACATAGCAGGAGGAGTATCACCAGATCCGTAGGTTAAAGGCTGGTTGTTTGGGCTTGGTTCTGTCGTATCGGGGTCGTTTGGAGGACCAAGCGTGTCTCTGTGGTGGGCTGCCTCAAAAAGGAGATTCAATGCATCATTTGAGCTAGAGACTACGGTGCGCATAACGGAGTCGGCGAGCCTTCCGGGAGCAACAGGAGAAGACGCTCTTCGAGCTCGCTCTTGGATTGGAGACGCATTATCATACGTGATTGGGGGTATGGATGCGGCGCCAGAGGTCCTTCGAGCACCCGATTCTACACTGGAAATGTAGTCAGCATCTGCGTCGCAGATACGGCCGGTACTAGAAACTGGTGAAAAGTGTGTCACAGTACCTCAAAGAGGTGTGCACAAATAGATGCGTGACTCATTGCAGTGAAAAACAAAATGCCTACCTATGATCTGGGCCACTTCCGTTCCGGATAATGGAGGGAAAAGAAACATTTGTGACAGCCTGATCTGGAGGCTCATTTGGATCCGGCTCCAACGAGGACTGTTTGGGCCGCTTGGTCCACGACCGTTCGGCCCTGAAGACACATTCTCGCATCTCTCGGCGGCATCTTTGACAGGGCGGAACAAGGTTGTTGCCGTCGGTCGTAAGAACACACCTCGCCTTTCTGGCTCTGCAATTGATACAAGCCTTGTAGGCGCGCTGAAAGTCCTCTGCTGCTCGCTTCTTGGAGACGGCACCTGACGAGGCGGCTCCAATCCCGGCGTCCTCTGGCATGCGTGCGTCCTGGCGCGGTGGTTGAGAGTGGAGTCCCAGAAGTCCGGCGGAAGGATATTCACGGACAGTCAAGGCGGGAGGAGATGGGTACGAAGTATATTGTAGGTGCCACGCTAACTGAAGATCGCCTAGCCTGAGCTATGATTCTGGAACAGGTGACGTAGCCCCAGCATCGGGTTTACCACAAGTCCACACGCCATGTGAACTACTCCACGAGCATCTTTCACGCAGCCTTCAATCCAAGCATCCTATTCTCAAGCAAACCGAGGATCTGATCGTGCACCACCCCGGCCCCAACGTAGCCCATCCATATCCTCTGCGCCGCGCCGCATCCTTCCGCACACGCGATCATGGCATCCAATCAGCCATCTCAGCAGCAATACTCCAACCCACCGGGGCAGCCGCCACGACGAAGCGATACAGATCTCCTACCACAGGGACAAGAGCGCTCGGAACAGGTGGAATACCTGCAGTCGTTCGAGGCATCAGCGCCGCAGAGCGAGGACGATGAGAACCAAGCGATCCTGCAGCGCGAATACCCAACCATTGATTCCAGTCTCATCGCTGCCATCTACAGCGACTCGAAGAGCTTAGGCGCTACCCGGGAGATGCTACAAGAGTTGACGAGAAAGGATTGATGAGTGATGTTGCACCAATGGAGACCTAGGATATGGTATTGTGCTGCGTTTTGGAGCTTCCCGATACATGGAGCGCATATGGCCTTAATGATGTAACGGGCCTGACGGTCAAGGGTATCGAGGTAGTAAATGAGATTCTCCGAGAACTACTGTATCCGAGTCTATGCCTCCTGGGGCTTTGTTTCCGTGTTCTCGCTTGCCCGTCCCGTCGTCGCGAGAGGACCCTGTATCAATCCGTTGGTAGAGTACTATCTCGCCTCATGCTCGCTATGACTGTAGTTGCTGAATCTCACTTCATCGGAGAGCTGGCAGCTTCAAAGCCATTGCAACCGCACTGCCAGGATATGAGTCACCGCACACCTGGTCTTTGCTTCCAAAGATGTGAACGGGATGTGAGCTCAATACTGTGAGAAACGGTAAACTCGCTAGGCCACATCAAACGGCCCCTCTCAAGACAACCATCTACAACGGTTTAATTCACCCCGGCCCATCAGTAGTCTTGGCACAAGCCCCGAGGCGTCTCTCGGTGGTGACGTTCACCTCCGTCTTTGCACAGCGCGCGCTGGGGCCAACCTGAGCATTCCCGCCGTTTTCTTTCTTTCTTCTACACATCACCCACCGAACATCAACGCGTTCTCCTCGAAGCCTCCGCAGACTTGGCGCCCTCATCAACAACCGTCGGGATGGACAGCCCGAAAGAGACCGACGACAATCCGCCGGAGACGATCGAAGTCGTCCTCGACAAACGCGGCGACGTCATCTTCGAACTAGGCGGCATCGGTCAACCGTTGACGCGACTTCGTGTCTCTTCTAAGGTCTTGACTCTTGCGTCGCCTGTTTTTGACGCGATGTTCAACCACGGCTTTGCGGAGGGCCAGAATCTATCATCTGCGTCCCCACGCGTGGTCTTCCTGCGAGAAGACCACAGCGAGTCGATGACCATTCTCTGCCAGATCTGTCATATAAGGAACCAAGACGTACCTAAAACCCTCACGGTTGATCTTCTAGCCGAGCTCACGATCTTGTGCGATAAATACGACTGTGTCTCAGCAATCCAGCCCTGGAGTGTTCTTTGGGCGCGCGAACTACTTCCACGCACGCGGGAACCCGGTTCCGAAAAGCTACTGTTCATCGCGTACCGTCTCGAACTACCAATGATCTTCTTCCAGCTTACCGAGACTCTCGTAAAGGATCGAGAGAGCAAAGTCAACTTTGAGATTGCCTGCGCGGGGCAAGACTCGCTTCCTACACGAATTGTTGGTAAGTTGTTCCCAGCCATGCCCATTGCCATCCGTTCATCGCGTACTAACCTTACTTTGAAAGATGACATTGAAGAGAACAGAGCAGAACGACGCCAACGACTAGTCAACGCCATCATCAACGGGATAACTCCTATTTTGAAGGGAAGCAAAGCCACCTCACATCATTGCGTTCGCGAACTTGTCTCTGAATACTTTTTCAGCCTTGCTAAAGTCGACTTATGGCCTCTTCTAGAGGGCGTGAGCCGCTATAGCAGCTCTGAGATTTTTCAGAAGTTAGACAGCCTCACAGCAACCAACGAGGATAATTGCGAATGCGATTATTCCTCTAATAGCTGTTTCGCCGTTTCTCAGAGCGCTTCTTTGGTGCATACTCTCAAAGAGGAAATCAAAGCAATTGAGATGTCTTACACTGGTATCTGCTTGGACTGCTCTATGGCAGGCAGAAACTCCTACGACTCGAAAATCTGTCGCGTAAAGCACTAGCACGAGACGTCGCAGACTGATCCAGGCAATCAACAGAGCTCACCTGAATTTCAAATTTCGGCTGTGTACGGTCTTAGCTACTGGAGTATACGTATTGGAACCAAAACTAGCGAAGGTGTCTCGATGGATGAGAGCCAGGAACGCAGGAATGGGAACAATATCAGATGTGGGGCTAAAACCTGTCGTGTTGATGAGAGTAAGGAAGCTAGTCATTCGAGCGGCATGAGGAGACGCATCCATGAAGTTGCTAGGTAAGCTGCTAGACAAGAAGGGCCCCGACACTGGCGACAGAAAGACATTTGGAAGTCTCTCACAATGCAGCTAAACCTTCTCGACTCCAGAAAATCAACAGATTCTACTCGAACTTTCTTCGTGGTTTCTTGAGTGCAGATACGTGTCTCTACGTGCTTCCTTGCCGGCTTCAAGAGTGTTCCATTCCACTTTCAAGTATGTGAAAGAGATGTGAGTCAGGGAGTCCATGATTCGAAATATCTGTTAACTTCGATCGGCTAACCCTGACGGCGTCTTCAAGCTTACTAATGAGCCTGTGCTAAATCACGTCCTCACTCTCATACCACAAGGATATTACAGTTACTACTAGACATCATTTCGAGGCTCCTCAAGCAGTGGTAGTGAAAGGCCAATGGATTAATATATTAGTGTCGACGAAGCGTCATCGTCGAGGATGTAAGGAAATCGAACGATCAGAACAAGAGAAAAGGAATACTAAAGCAACAAGAATTCGAAACGACGACCTTCCAGCCGCCTCGTCCCCATTAGAGTTCTGCCACTCAATATCCTCAGCATGGCCGTCCCAGAGACTCCCGAAAATATCAAGAAAGCTGAGATTGAGGGATCGGCAAGTCGATCACATCCTCGAGTCGATTGCATAAATCCATCAGCGCCGACTCCGTGTTGCCTTGAGGTCGTCAGCCAGTTATCCCTATGCGAAAGAGGATTAAACAATGCTGGCAATCTCACCCCGCACAGGGCGACTCCATGCAATTCCCGTCCTCTTGCCATCGGGCCTGATCTGGAAAACCAAGGCCTGGAAGTAGTAGGTCGGCATCACCAAAGGATGGTGGTGGTGGCCAACCGGCGTAGCGAGATAGCGCTTGGTGCAGACCTCGATCGGGTGGTCGTCGGATGGTGCGAGTTCTTTAGCGTTGGCTGGGGATGTCAGCGGGAGGTCTTGCAAGTAGGCCGAAATGTGGTATACCTATAATCTGGGCGCGGAGGCCACAGACGCACATCTTGTCGTGAAACTGAGCTGGCGGATTTGAGAGGTTGGAGAGAAAGTCTGCACCTGCGTGGAGAAGGTGCTGTTGCGATGTGCACGAGAAATAATATCAATGCAAAGATGCTGTCTGCTGTAGCTGCGCGCCACTCGGAAGAAGGTATAAGTGTTAGACGACTGCAGGTCGCTCCTACAAAGGTATAGGTCCATCTTTGGCAAGTATCACCCAGAGTTAGGCACTGCCAGCGTCGTGATAGAGTAAGTTCAAAACGCTGTTTCCTCCAGTGACAATGCTAACACTTCCGATATGTGATAAAATGGTTCCCAAAGGGGTATAGACGCTAACCTGATCCTTGGTATTCTACACCTTACCTGCCACGTATTTCCCAAGATGTACGGCTCACTTCCCCACATAGATGAATCTCAAACGCGTTGATTACAGGATCTCTTTGCGTCCGGTGACCTAGCGCGAAAACTGAGTGACCCCGGTAAACCGCCTTTTCTGGGCTAATGTTGAACTAGCTTGAAGATCAATTGGCTAGGAGGCTGCTATTCACCCTTAAAGGCGTCCGGAAATACTACCCTATACGGTAATTTTGTGGCTTGATTTTAGCGCTTGGTCACCGGACACAAAGAAGTCCTGTAATTAGAGAATGTTTCGTAGAAAGCCCAGATCATGAATCACGTGTATGATTAGCAGGGTACATCTCGACTAAAGCCGGTCGAGTGGGCGTCATCCCGACGCCGCCTCACCATTTCCTCTTCCAGTCAACATAGGGCGGAGACCTGACGACTTGCTTAGAAACCAAAACAGCTGGCCTTAAAGACATACACGTTTCCCTTGAAAAGCTATTCCAGTCTTTCACACCCAAAACACAAAAATGGAGATCCAAGACCAATTCATGACCCACAATGGCCTCCGCAAAAGCCACGTAAATAATCCCGCTGTCTGCACGTACAGCCGGGGCCTCGAACACATCTCAGCTACCAATCCTGCGTTGGTTCTTCTCCATGGATATCCTCAGTCAGCTTATATGTTTGTCACCTAGCCCTCTCTATCCAATCTCGGCCTTGCTAATCAATAGAGCAGATGGCGTCACGTGAGCATAACCATATTCACCTCTCCGTCCATGACTATTCTGATAGGAAATGTAGATGATACCTTTGCTTCCCAAATCAGCACCACTCTTCATCCCAGACCTACCAGGCTATGGCAACAGCGAGGCCCCAACTGCGCACGACAAGCTCTCCGTCGGCCTCGCAGTCCTATCCGCACTCCACTCAGTCCTCAAAGAGCAATCCGAAAACTCCAGCAAAGACGATACCATCCCAGTCATGCTCATCGGCCACGACCGCGGTGCCCGAATCGCCCACCGCCTCGGCGTCTCCGGCGCCCCCGACATCCGTATCCTCGGCGTCACCCTCATCGACATCGTTCGTCAGCCCCACCCCAACCTTCCCAGGTGCACCCCCTCCTAGAACCTGCCCCACTAACTCTCCCACCAGGTCCCCACAAGCACCCAATGGGCCGGCGCTGGCAACCCGCACGAAAACGCGGGCTTCTTCCACTGGCCCTTCCTCGCTAACGTCGAGCTCGCGACCAAGATGATCACTGCGTACGGCGGCGATAAGTTTTGCGTTGATATGATTGGGCGTTGGGTGGGGAACACCCCGAAGGGCTTGGCGAGAATGAAAGAGGGTGATTCGTATAAAGTTTATGCTGACTCTTTCCTCCGTGAGAGCGTGATTCGGGCGACGTGCCAGGACTATGAAGCTGGTGCGGGGGTGGACGTTGACGTGCAAAAAGAGGATCAGAAGGCGGGGAGGAAGTTACAGGTGCCTGTTCTGCTGATCTATGGGGCGGAGCACATAGGGAGGAGGTTTGATGTTAAGAAAGAGTGGATAGATTGGGTTGGGGAGGGCGTGAAGATAACGGATCGTGGGTTGGGCGATGGGATTGGACATTTTGCAGCAGAGGAAGCACCGGAAGAGACGACGGAGGCGATTCTCAGTTGGCAGAAGTCTTTGCTGAAGAGCAGCTAAGATGATACTGATGTGCAGCGAGATGGGCGCCAAATTGAGTAATGAGAAGTGATTCGTATATCATAGCTCTATATGTGCGTTAATCTAATGATGCTTACCCATCTATGAGTGCACAATCTTGAAAAGATCGCTCTCAGCCATCTACCTAGTGACTATTCCTTCACTTCCCTCCACTGCTTCCTCGCGTGTCTTATCAAGCTGATTGAACTTCTTCACCACTTGCAGCGTAGCATAATAGCTAAACGGCAGCGCAAAGAACCAGAGGCCGCAATTTATACTTGCGGTGGCAATCAGTACCGTCGGCACAGCTTGCACACCAAAGCCCACAGCGACACCAGCCGTCTCAATGCCCCTCAGCAAGGAGCTATACCGGATCTGATCCCCCGGAGAGTCGGAAAGATTCCCAATGCACCAATAGATGAAGTTCTCCACCATCCCAAGGCTGATGCGCTCGAACAAATACAGTCCGAAACCCCTCCCAAATGAACTCTGCACACCCCAATCCAGCACTGGCTTCGTGTGCCGGTATTCGTTCTGGATGATGACGGCCCAGATCCAGGTTGCGCTGTTCAGCGCGGCAATGAGAGCCCAGGTAGCGACGGCGCGGGTTTGCCGTTTCTTCGTCCACGGAAGGTCCACGAGCGCACCACCGATCCAGGTAGCGAAGGTGGCGACCACTGCAGACAGGAAGCTGCCGAGGGCGCGGGAGCGGACGGTGAAGTAGGTTGCGAGATATGTGCCGGGGTACGCCTGGATCCAGCCAAAGTACCAGAAGAGCGGTGTCAGCAGGAGGATGGGTTTGCTCCTTATCAGTCGCCACATCTCCTTTGCTTCTGTGCGCCAGACGATGCCGCGAGGCGCTTCGATGCGGGTACCGTCATCACGCTGCACCTTTTCTGGGTTGGAAAGGAGCAGGCCGAAGAGGAACCCGAGGCACTGGATGGCAATGAAGCCGAGATAGGTCTGGTAGCCGACTTTGCCGCGATGGTTCCTCTTGTGATTCAGGGCGAGTGAGATGGCGCCTCCGATGATGTTTCCGAAGTTGCGGAATGTGAACCAGGTGGCAATGTAGCGACCTCGTTTGTGCTGCTCGGGGTATCCCGTGGCAATGGCACCCTCAACGCTCCAGAAGAAGCCAGCACTGATTCCGCAGGCCGTCGAACCAACGTACACAAACCACGTGGGGCCGAAGCGGTTGTTAACATAAAGGCCGGCCGAGTAAAGAGGGTATCCAAGAGAGCCAATGGCCAAAGTCCAGCGGAATCCAATGAGGTTGGTCATCCATGGGCCTGCAAAGCAGGTCACTGTCATGAAGGCGTATAGGAGGGCGTTGGCTGCATTGACAAGGTTTGGACTTTGGGAGCCGCCTACACCGAGGCCATTCATGGCACTCCAGATACCGGGCGCAGAAAAGGCACAGATACCGACAACGAGGATTTGAAAGAGTGTGCTGCGGTAGAAAAAGCGTTTAGCCCCTGGTGAGACGGCTTCATCTGCGGTAGCCAGCTGTGGCGAATTCCCGTCGAGCTCCTGCTTTCCAACTCTAGACTCATCCTTCCCTAGGCTCGACATGGTATTAAGGTAGATGGCTCAACGTAGCTTCGATACGAAGAAATGGAACCACTGAAGTTTTGGGGAGAAAACGAGAATGGGCACAGGCTTTAAATAGTGAAAACGATATATGGAATGGTAGATCCGCCCAGGGCGTGGGAGATGGCTGGTTCTTACCACAGATGCCCAGGTCAAGGATGTAGTAAACAGGATAGTGTGGGTGCATGGGTCCGTATGTATGGCCTTGCACGAGTCAATCGTCGGTGTTGCACATCTTTCCCTAGTAAGCACGCAAGCCTTCGAGGTCGTTCCATGATACACAAGATAGGGGCAGCAAAAGTCTTCCAGGCGACGTGCCAGGTCTGAATGCTATGATGCTATCCAACGAACAGGTAGCATTCCTCCAATAGCTCCGATGGAACTAACCCGCAACAAGATAGTGTGGATAAATTCGCGTCTCCGAATTGACGGATCCTTATGTATGGCCATGCGTGAGTCAAACGTTTGTGTTGCACATCTTTTGTAGTAAGCACGCAAGATGTTTAGTTCGTACAAGATGGGGGCAGCAAAAAGCTCTCAGGCGACGTGCTGGGTTCGGATGCTGTGATCCTACACGCCGAGGTCATAATCAACATTCAACAAGTTAGCATGGCTGGGCGCAGGAAGACGAGGGAGCAATCCTGCGATAGCTCCGATAGGACTACCTAGTAGCGAAACAGCGAGATAGGAGCTCTAGTTCTTGGTGGCTGGTTGTACAGGACGATCGTGCGAATTTCGTGATCTTAGCACGGATGAGAGAATACCTATCATGTAAGCGAGTATCGAGACAGGGCAACGCTTCTGGGGGAACACCATCCCCGCTTCGGCGCTGTACTTATAGCTGCGAGATCCTAATTGACACATGAACGCATACACATCTGCTCCGAACGAAATACTCTCTTGACACAACCATGACGACCTCTGTAGCGCAGCCTGATATCCATTCGCTCAAACTAGACGGTGCTCCATCGCCGTCGTTAGTATTCGAGCCGTTCGACCTCCCATCGAGCAATCAAAGAACACTGGCCGCTCCGCATCCGAGTGGCACGGTCATACCACTAGCGTTGCGCCCATCCACGCACGATAATGCAGAAGTCAGCCTCGAGACAGTCGTCGACACTATAAAGGCTCTGCAGGCGCAGGATGGAATCCTCACCAATAAGCTGGCTCGTCACGGAACGCTGCTGTTTCGCGGGCTGCCAATCCACAACGCTGACGACTTCAGCAAATTCGCCCATGCATTTGGATACAAGCCGCACGAGATCATTGGAATCGTTGTGAACAGGCCGTTGCTCGCTCCGAATGTGGCGCCTGCCAACGAGGCTCCCAAGGATGTGCTGATATACAACCACAACGAGTCGCCACAGGTCCCACACGCCCCGGAATACATCTTCTTCTATAGCCACAAGGCACCAGCAAAAGGAGGCGAGACACCCATCTCATCTTCGTTGGAGCTATTCCACCGCGCGCAACAGGAGATTCCAGAGTTTATCACCGAGCTCGCTGAGAAGGGTATCCTTAGCAAAGTGGTCTATAAAATCGAGAAACAGTATGAAGGCAATTCGACCTTGAAGCAGGCATTTGGAAAAGAGATCCAGGAGGGTGACGACGAAGCCACCAAACGGGCCAAGATCGAGGCTCAGATTGCGCGATATGGAAGAGGGAAACATACGACGTGGGAATGGACCGATGACGGCGGCGTCATTTTGACGCACAGGCTACCTGCCATTCGGACCCAGCCCGAAACACAGCTGCCTACTATCTTCACGGGCCTGGCGGCATACTGGAAGAATGCCCAAGCCAACGCGGCTAGGAAGAACGTGTTGCAGCAGTTCGGCGACGGCACGCCCATTCCAGAGAAGTACCTAGAGCACCTCGCCAAGCTTACAGACGAAATCCGAGTGCTCCACAAATGGCAGAAGGGCGATGTGCTTGTCTATGACAATATCATTGCGCAGCATGGTCGCCAGCCGTGGGAAGGGGAGCAATCGGACCGTGTTGTTCTTGCGAGCCTTTGGGATGGCGAGAGCGTCCCCGGCGCCTACACTGATAGTGACTGGGCTCAGGTTGTTCAGGCTCTCGACGGATAGGATACTGTAGATGTTGTGTATGCATTGTTCCTCGACCCTGTAGTCTTCTTGATGCAATTTGAATGTGAATTGTCGGTCGTGTCGCAAAGAGCACCCTGATTGAACCGATGTTCATCCTTGACATATGATGACTGATAGAGGACAGAAGTTGAAGGCATCTTGATGATGAGTGGACGGAGGTTGTAGGGGAACAGACACTCTTCGCGTCTGCCACCGAAATAGATAACGCTCTAGGCTACTTGCAGTTACTCTCGAGTTTCAAAGCCAGGGCCGGCATGACGGTGTGGTCGATCGCAAATCCTGCCAGGCACCTGCATTGTATATACTGCCTTGCTGCGCCATGCTAAGCCGTGAACATATACCTGATGTTTGATCTCTTCGTCCTTCACAAGTGTGAGAGTTGTTGTCTGACTATCGACCCTGCTCCTAATACTCGCATCTCAAACCCGCTGACGCGTCTCCGGCGAGAACGTGATTGGCTTCCCGACGCCTGGTAGACTCTCAACACCATCAAATAAAGGGCACAGGCTTTCTGCATTGCTTGACGAGCCTCAATACTGCTCGCCGCCCTTTTCTATTCTATTCGAACGCACCTGAAATGCCAGAGCTGCCGGTACTGTGAGCCGTACTGTGAGCCATTCAGTGATCGTCCTTCAGAATGTCTTCCCCAACCGCAAACAAACTCTCCAAGGCGGGCCACTGGATAGCAGAAGAGTTCGGCCTCAAGTCGCTGGTTTCCGCTGGAAAGGACACCCACATTCTCATCCTCGCCCGGGCCGTGCGCATGTTCGCCTATGGAGCCGCTGCTTTCGTCTTAGCCCTGTACTTTGAAGCTCTCCACATCTCAGACTCCCGGATAGGGCTGTTCATGACTCTCACTCTCCTCGGCGACGTCTTGATTAGCCTTCTACTCACTATCGTGGCTGATAAATTGGGCCGCCGAAATATCCTGCTGCTTGGTGCTCTCATGATGGCCTTCTCCGGCGTCATCTTCGCTTCCACGGGCAGATACTGGCTCCTCTTACTTGCGGCCATAGTTGGCGTTATCAGCCCTAGTGGAGGGGAGATCGGGCCCTTCCGAGCCGTGGAGGAATCAACCATGGCCCATCTAGTGGAGGCAAGCAAGCGATCAGACGTATTTGCCTGGTACGTGGTGTTTGCCGTGTTTGGGACTTCGGCAGGTGTGTTGGTGGGAGGTGGTGCTGTGGACCATTTCCGAGCTCTAGATGGCTGGACGGACGTGGACGCCTACCGAATTGTCTTCTGGGTATACGCCGGACTGGGCTTCTTGAAGGGGGTCTTGGTACTCTTCCTCAGCAAGAAATGCGAGACAGACAAACGCAACGAATCCCAGGAACCAGCGCAGATTGTACCCGAAGACGACGAAACGGAACCACTGTTAGGCAACGAAAGCACCCAACAACCTATCCAGAACGGAGAGACCCCACGACCTGCCGAGAAGAGCAGCCGCAACCCATTCGCCCACATCTCCTTGAAAAGCCGCTGGATCCTCCTCCGCCTCTGCGCCCTCTTCTCCATCGACTCCATGGCTAGCGGCATGGTCCCCTTCTCCCTAATCAACTTCTACATGGACCGGAAATTCCACCTCCCAAAAACAAAGCTCAGCAGCATCATGTCCGCGACCTGGATCTTCTCCGCCGTGGGCAATATCTTCGCCTCGTCAATCTCCAAACGAATCGGCCTCGTGAAGACTATGGTCTTCACCCACCTTCCCTCCGCGATCTTCTTGGCGCTCTTCCCGGTCCCGAACTCGCTCGCGCTGACCATTTGTCTTCTTGTCGCCCGGGCATCCCTGAGCTCGATGGATCAAGCGCCGCGATCTGCGTTCCTGTCAGCCGTGGTACTGCCGAATGAAAGGACGGCCGTCATGGGAATCGTGAATGTGAGCAAGACCCTTTCGCAGAGTGTGGGTCCGGTGATTACTGGAGTTCTGGCAGGCCACGACCACTTCTGGATCGCATTCGTGGTTGCCGGATCCATGAAGGCAGCGTACGACATCGGGCTGCTTACGTTCTTCGTGAACACCAAGCTCAATCGGAATGAGACAGAGCAGCACGCTGGTGAAACTGCTGCGAATGGCACTGGTAGGGAGTAGCCGGCGAATAGGCCTGGTGCAGATGTTAGGCGAGCGGAAGATACCGAACAGATCCCGGAGAGGACAGCTACACAGCGCTCAACTTAAAAACAATTGTTAGACTGGGATAGGTTCAAATCTTTTGTGTATATAAATGTGTTAGAATAGAAGCGAAAAGAAAACCTGTAAAGTCACTACTCAACCGGACCTGATCATCGTAAGGCTCAAAATCTGATGCGAGTGCGACGTTTGCAAGAACGTGCCCACGAGGAGAATAGAAACGAGATGAATGCAGACGCCATATTTCAAATTCCCCGAATAACTTTCTCATATGAGAACAGATGTGTAAATGCAGACTGGCTGAAATCGCGCCCCGGAAAACATTACAAGGTCTTTGCTCAATACGCTCAATGCCAAAACAATCATTTTCCTTCCCCGGTATAGATAGCACGCCAAACCCCCTTCTCGCTTCAGCTCCCTCTCTTCTCCGACTCTTCCTCTCTTTCCTTTTCCAAGTATAGAGCTCCCAGTATTGCCACCTTCTAGTGCTCATATGCCTTCGGCTTGCGCTTGATGTAATTGATGACGACAACAGCGAAGAAGCTGAGTGTGAGTGTAGGCAGGACCCATGGCGAATACTCGTACTTGCCTTCGGCGGCCGTAAACTTCAGGAGCGACAGGAGGCACAGCGCAAGACCGACGGTGAAATACATGCCGTTGCGGAAGTAGGCGCCGATGGTCTTTGGCTTTTCGGAGAGGAAGGCGAGGGTTCCCATAACTATTAGCGTGAGGCCGGCCTATGCAAAATGGGTCAATATATGCGATGCGTTGATGGAGAGGACTAGACACTTACGGTAACGAAGAAGTAGACGAATATGAGATCAAACACCTTCAACAAGGCAACGAGTGTATCTGCCGGGTTCGGCTTGGCGCCCTCTTTTTCCTTCTTTTCCGGAGCCTTGATAGCCAAGGCCTCGAGGTTGGTGTTGAAGAGGGTGAAGTAGTAGTCGGCATACGCCGTGACGAAGTCCTCGTCGTTCCAAGCTCCAGTCGCGGTCATATTAGGAGTGAAGGCCTTGGACATTGCTTCGAGGGCTTTCTCAACCGTTTGCTTAGGACCCGTGAGATCTGTGCCCTTTGGCACGAATGCGAAGACCTGCTCGGCAGCGGTGTTGTTGTAGTAGTCGATGGCCAAAGTAACATTCTTGTAGTCAACAGGGTTGGTTTCAAAGAAGTCCTTAAGTCCATAGTTCATCCATGAGTCAAGGTACTCTAACCCCACTATGGCCTGCCGCCAGGTGACAAAGTTGGAGACTCCTTCGAGGAGGAGTACAAGCGAAATGTGGAGTGGGAAGTGGATAAAGGCCCAGATCTGTTGCTTTATGGTGCCAAAGTGGTCCTCCCGTAAGCGGTCGAAGTAGAGCATATATAAGAAGTAGATGATGAGTATAGATGAGACAATCTGGCCGGTAACGCTAGAGTCGAAGGGATAGTCGTTCTTAACGATGTACGAGATGGCTTTGCAGATGACTATGATGCCTTCGCCTAGGATGATAAGAGTCAGCAGACTCATTCGTTGGACCAAATGAGTGCCCTTGAAGCTGATGACTCTCCAGTAGCAGGAGACAGCGGTCGTGAGCAGCGTTTCTCCGATCGCGATGACATACCAGGCAATGTAGACATTGCTTGTCGCGGGGGTATCGGAGTCTTTCGGGAAAGCAGTAGAGAGGGCTCCGTACAATATGGCGGCAACCAAGTAAGAGGCCATAACCATCAGAAGGGGAAGGCGAGTGCGACGATACCTCCACGTAAAAAACAGTGTCACTCCGTACTGCCAGATGAGTACAAAACGGCTGACCATAAGGATGTACGAAAAGGCCTTGAACTTTGAGTAGCTGTAGACGGCCTGGCCTGGCTTCCAGTCCGGGCCAATAACGGCAAATCCGACCATGACGCCAAAGTGGAGGGCTTTGCAGCATCGTTCAAAGACGCTATCGGCAGCAAACCGAACGTCGTAAAGGGACGTTTGATACCATGTGAACCACAGAAGGCAGAAGAAGCCGATGTAGGCGGACAGAGCTAGATGCATTGTCAGTTGCTGGCAAGGGCCTCATGGCATAGGCGGACGTACCCTCAGAGTCGTTGATCTCGAGGTTGGCGGTGAAGGTGGTCAAGTTAGCGACGAAGAAAAGATCATAGAACAGCTCGGCGGTGGTAGCTTCTGCATGACGATGGAAAGCAGGCGTCTCGTGCATGCCATCTTCGTGTTCGAAAGGTATTTGCTCGGTGTCCGTAGTAGTCAACTTGACAGGAGAATGGTTTTGCGAGTTAGATTCAGACTGCGTAGATCCATGAGACTTCTCATTGCTCGCGCCATGAGCGTGCTCGCCCGCGTGCAGCGGGCTGCCGAACCAGTTGAGATGCCCGGGCATGGTTGCTGGTTGAGCCCTTAATGAATGATAAAGAAAGCACGAAAGGAATTAATAGAACAAGGAGCAGCATGCAATGGCGGAAGAAACTCGCTAGGTGAGATGCGGGAAAGAATATGGTCGGGGGCTCTGATAGAAATATATACCAAAGCAGCTCCGGCTGAGGACTCAGTCAAGCACTACAGCACAGCCGTGAGACCCGCCATACCGGATCGGCCAGCCGTGCAACAACATGATACCAAAAGCTGCAGCCTGAGGTGTGCTGGCTTGAGCCCTAGCACTGTGGAGATTTAGACTCTTGGAAGCCGAGTCAGTGCGTCTTTGGGGGCTGGAAAACCTCTTGTGCAGGGGGAGGGCAGGATGGAGTCTATTCTAACGGCTGTGGCATGTTGGCGGTTAGCTGGTCTAGGCAAATATGGAGCAGATATGCCTGGGGGGCGGTGTTGGAGCGCTGTGGTCGTGAGACTCAGCGAGCCCGGAGTTTGTCAGTCGCGCGGAGTCAACCACACGGAACAAGAGCTGAGCAATGCATGGAGCATATGAACGAGCTCACAGAAGACTGATTGGGGGCGGGTGTCGAGGGTGATGCATGGAGGTGAGGTTGAAGGCGTGAGTCTCACGTCTGAGCCGGGGGGCGGGAAAGGCCCAAGTAGAAGTTCTATCCCCAAAGTAGCAAAAGAACGTGCACGACCAAGTACGGCCAAGAGTCGCTAGGCAGAGGATGACTTCAACTTCCTGGGCACACCGCTGCATCGAATCATCCTCTGCTTGACAGCGACAAGCAACTGGTGCCAAGCTATAAGACCTTTGCTCCGACATGCATAGACTCCTATTTTTGCAGTCAAGCTTCGCTCAGCCCCCACCTTGCACGTTCACTCGGTTTCTGCACGACGCCGGGGTTTGGTAACGCACTGGCAGCTTAAGAAGTACAGGATCGTGTCTGCTTGTCAGCAAGTCAAAACTGCGTTGTGGCAAGCTTCTTTATACCTTTGCCACAGTAGAATAGAATCGACAGCTATTGTCAGCTTTTATGGGACCTGAGGCGAAATTCATCCGGGCATATTGATGACTGCAATGTCACTCAAGAAGCGTAGCAGTCCACATTAAAAATCGTCCCGCAACACTCTTTCGCTAATCGTTTTACGGGCGCCAGCCTCAGGCTGCACCTAGGCCTAGGCCGGCCTCGCCGTCTAGACGACGACTGTGCCACTTGTTATGCTATGATTTCCGGTTACCGTCCCGTTTGCCGCTTTCGAGCTGGATCAGCCCTGCACAACGGCTGTCCATGTTTGATCCTGGCTTTGGCCCTGTATGGCCCTTTAGCCCACTGTACCATTTAGCGCTAGATCGAGCTACCTCCAGCAGGATTGTAAGGGCCCTTGGGCGCCAAAGGAAATGTTGGAGAAATTCAGCCCAAAAGCCAAGCCCAGACGCAGAGCTCCTTAATAGGACTGCCCAGTGTCTCTAATTGCGGCGCCTCCCCGGATATCAACATGCAAGTTCGGCGGCTTCAAAAGCTCGCGAGTCTGCTCGTATATGCCCTCCGTCTGCCCCCTTCCAGCACCGTTTTGCCAGCGACAATTTCGGTTCACCGGTGCCAAGCACCTTGTTGCATTTTCCTTTCTGGGAGTCTTCATCACCCTCACGGTGTGGTGGCTGGCTCAAATTTAGGCCCCTAGACCAACTCTTTTACCACCGAACAATAACCGTGATTCGGCGTTCAAGTGTGCCATGTCTAAAGTCCGTTCGTCTCGAGTCGACGAAGCTCTGGCTCCGGCTGCCAGCTCGGTCGGTCTCTCCATAACCTCCTTGCCACCATCCACTACTCGTTCAGTTTCTGAGCCCATGTGTTTCAGACCATTGAGCCAAAGCAAAGCTTTCCCTGCGTGCTCAGACTAGGCAGCGCATTCTTCGTTTTCATGAGACAAAACTCCAACTATCCCGTCACCCAGCTTGGAAACCTGCTCCAGCAGACGCGAGGCAAACTCACGGTCCTATATTGGGGCCCGTGATGAATCGACTAGATTCAAGGGTGTTTGATGCCGTCGTCGCGTAGGTGATTGTGCTTCGAGAAAATCCTTCGCAAACGCCAAACCTTTCCTCCTCACTTGATCACCATAGCTGATGCTAGACTTAAAGGCAGGTCTGAAACTAAGTGTAGAAAAGGCCATGACTTGAAACAGTCGAGGAAAAAAGGGTCTGCAAAGTCTTTCACTAACCACGCAGCCTCAGGCAGCTAGCGCGACCTCTTTTTCACCATCCCAACCAGGTTGAGACGGAAGGACTACTTCACCAAACCTTCCCGACATACTGACGAGAACACAAGCAGTGAGAAGGAGATTATATAAGATGAAATTACACGATGACAATGCCAGAGGCAAGCACGATGGCCGGGAGGGTCGCGTTGTGGTGGGTTTTTCATGGGCGTGAGCGAACAATAGCAACCTGACAATAGCCAGCCCGCACAGCTTTCACCGCACCACAACCTATTCAGGCCCGGCCACCAGCTATTGTTCTATTGTTATTGAAAAACCAGTGAAATACCGCTCGATGGACAAAGAAAACCTTGCCAAAGAATGTTTCCTCCCGCATCTTCGTCCTCACCTGTTATACACACACTACCGCTCTCCAGCTTGCACACTGCACTATACATTACATCTTGTTCATTCTAGACGCTCCAGAGACGGTCCAGCTCGAAGCGCCGTCCGTACTACGACTGAGTAAGAAATTCAAGGTTGCAGGCAGCCTGCTCAGAAAAGAACGAAACAATGCCGTTCATCCTTTCGATCAAAGGCGATCGATTGAAGTCGCGGTATGCCACTAGCAGACAAAGAGCTGTCGAGCTGGCTGCGTGGAAGAAGACATGTACTCCAAAGAAGGCTTTGGGGAACGGGGCAAGTCGAACCGTGGGACCTCGCTGCGAAGCGAACACCCTGCCAACTACGCCGCCGACCATGTCAAAACGAAAGCGAGAGGCCAAAGGATCCGACTCTGAGAGCACAGGACCAGAGTCCAAAATCACAAAGACAGCATCTCGAATTATGCTGCATGGCCAAGTCTCTGGCCGAGCATACCAGGCACCACGCATTCTGGAAATGGTAGCACCGCCCAAGGCTCCCCTCGACTCCACTACGACCATCCCGTCCACTGGCAGCAAACTGGTTCCTAGCATCCAAACCAAACATGAAGCCGCCCTCGGGACTCTGTTGCGCGAAATGCTGGCTTGTAAAGACTCCATCCCCCTGTACTCGGGCTTGAGACAGTCGAAATGGCAACAGATGCTTCAGATCGGCATCTACGTACTTCAGAATTCCGCTTGGCCAGCCATCTGGGCATCCGAGCATCTCGACTTGGGCCCAAACACGGTTCAATCTCTGGACGACGCCGATGTCATGTACACGACGTGGGATCATCTCGAGGCGTACATCGATAGCGGTAAAACTCTCACGCTGCCGACCGTCGTCCGTGGAGAAATTCCGCAGCAACGCCATTCCGAGTCATCTGTTCGCCAGCAATTCTCCGAACGTATGGAAGACCGTTTCGGAAACAACAAAATCGACGTCCAAGATCCCTCGATTCACATTGACCAGGCCAGCGCCCGTGCCGTTCCAACAGCAGAGGTACTACAGCGACTCGAACAGGCCAAGAAACACCTCAGCAACGACTCTCTCCCATACAACCTCTTGAACCTGCGCGATGTAGTAGAGAAACCAATTCCAGACATTCTGGAAAGACGTCGTTTCCAGCTGATCAACTCCCTCTCCGATCGCGCGCTGAGCAGGAAGGGCTCGAATTCGGTAGCCGGAAAGCCGCATACGGACCCGATCAAGAACGCTGCAGGCGAGCCGTACATTGACTTCTACTCTTGCCGTTCTTTCAACCTCTACGCTCAGCGCGGTGCCGTCTCTGGCTGCCACATCGATTGGCTGAACGGTACTTGGGCTCGTCTGTGGACGGGACTGAAAGCTTGGCCGGTGATGACCAACTTGACGGAGCAGGAAATGGAGCGCTACAAGAAGTTTGAGAGTCTCTACCTCCCCGAGAAGAACCGATTGAAGATGGTAGTCCTCGAGCCAGGTGATACCTTGATCATGCCTCCAGGAACTATGGTCGTTCACGCGCCAATCACGATTGAGGACGCATTGATGGACGGAGGCATGTTCTGGGATGAGCAGCAAATCCTCTCAATTCTTCGAAACATTCACACCGTCGCGAACCATCCCGGTCTTTCCAACGAACTGGTCGCCCGACAGTTTGCAGGAGTGATGGATGCGCTCGAGAAATGGATTGAATCGGATGCCAAACGATTTGCCGGCTCTCGAGACGAGGGAGATTTCAAGGCAGAGTTTCAAGAAATCCTGGCGGATCTAAAGTCCGTGATCTCCTGCGACTGCGCCGCTCCGCACTGCAAGCCCGCCAAATGCCCCTGCTTCCAGTCGCGATCGGGATGTAGCCACTGGTGCGCATCACACAAGAGCCGGTCATGCCAGCAGTAACTCAGAACGCCAGATTCTAAAGCCGAGAATCAACATCTTCACGTCTTGTTGCAGTCTTGTTGAAGGAAAAGGAGAAAGGAAAGGACGGTCTTTGGAATTGAGCTGGATCTCGCCGCTTTCCGTGAACAGCCAATTCTAGCAGACAGCGAAAGCGAATATCCACAGCTTGGAGCCGAGAGGGAAAGATGAAGGAGCGTAGAGCGATGTACGAACGTTGGTTTCGGAGTAGTGTCGGAGAGGAAAGGGGATGAGGACTTCGGAGGGGGGAGATCGCTTTGAGAGTGTCGGTTCGAACTGCCGTGCATTACTCATTCCGAGACCATCCTAACCACCCTTGTAGCGTTGTGGCGCCGTCCCGATAGGGCCGGAGGCATCGAAAAGCGGCATTATCTTATGGAGATGATGTACATAGAACATCAACGTGTCCATTCATCTAGGACATATGAGCATCTACATACTTTACCAATTATAGCATTAATACTGCATCGCTCACTTAGACCCTTCGACGTGCTGAACTTGCAGAAGAATCGAGACTGTGTATCGTGCGTGCTTTTCTTTGATGTTGCTAAGAACTCGAACTGTGAATGCTACGTGGTTGTGCGTAGAGATAGTCTTTGAGAACTTTCATCGCCAAGTGATCTTCTCATAGGCATCTAGAAACGAGGGAAACGCAGTACCACTAAGCCAAACGAACAAGTCTTAAGGTCCTTGTAAACGGATCAGCGCCTACGAAGTGCGTCCTACCTTTGTAGCACTGTACACAACTCTTGACGCCTCTACATGCAGCAACGCCATGGCACCACAAAAGCCCCAAACGCCTACGCCTAACAGTTGCCCAACCACACCCCTCTACCCCATGATCATCACCGCGAGCACTGCCACACCGACTAAGGTACCAGCACTAACCGACTGTCTCCCACCCCCATTCGGCTTCTGCAGCACCGCCCCAAGATAACTACACGTCATATTATTCTTGGTCGGATCGCGCTTCCCATACCCCGCCGCCATGTTCCCCCCACTCGGACACGAGAACCCCAGATTCGCAGGACAGCTCTGCACGATACTGTAGCACAGATCCTCGCACGGCAGCAGCTCCTTATACGGGCCGGGCTGGATCACGCTATCGATCAGCGGGTTGCGGCTCTGCTTGAACGACAGCCGCTTCTCCGCCGTCGCGTTCGCGGCGGGCTTGGTGCCGTTGATGAAGTCTTGCCCGATGTTGCGCGGCTGGAGGTACGCGAGGTCCGGGGACGCGGAGAAGTCCTCGCAGCGCGGGATCTGTACGGCGCAGAGCCAGTTCTTGTAGTCCTGGCGGCAGTCGTCGCAAGTCTTGGCGAGGGAGTAGCGGGCCGTGTCGGTCGTGTCGCAGGCGACTTGGGCGATGGACTTGGTGAAGTTGTCGTAGTAGGATTGGGCCTGGGTGTCGTAGAGCGAGGCGAGGCCGGTGGCGTTGAATTTGGAGGGGTTGGCGGGGACGGCGTAGGCGACGTCGCTGCAGAAGGTGAGGTTGTAGATGACTTGGCAGTTTCCGTCTGGATTAGGCAGTTAGTATAGATGACTTGGTGAGCATGTGCAGGGGAACATACCGGCTTTGGTGCTGAAGTTGACGGCTTTCCATACTTGACCGCCACCTCCGACGACAGCTCCGTCAGGGACGTCTGGCCCTTCGGTCGTGCCGTTCCCCACCATTGCGAGATATGCAGTATAGGTAGAGCTTGCATTCAAGCCTTCGATGTGGAATTGTTGCTTTGTCTGGCTCGTCATCGTCTGGTTCAGATCCGGAGTCATTCTGCGTGTCATGCCCGTCGAAACCGGCAGGCTTGCCGCATCGAACGACTCACGTATTGCACAAAACGACTGCTCCAGGCCCTTTATTGGCTGATAATCTTGAGGAAAAGCGTACATCGTGAAGAGAGGCCCAAATTTGACCCATTCTTCATCCACATTATGCATCGTATCATTCGGAGTAAGGCCATGAGTTATGAACAAAGCTGACCCGCTATCAGCGTCCACCGGGTACAGAAACTCTGAATCGTGATATTGTTGATAGGGCCCGTCGATTGAAGCTGCAATCTCGAAGTGCCAATTGCCGGCATAGTTCTTCGGCAGGTCGGGTGCAGATACGCCTATGTAGACATCTCCAGTGGAATTGAGAGTGTAGTTGGCAAATCCTCCTTGAAAAGGAATTGGCGGGGTAACAAGGTCCTTTTGGGAGTCACGTCCTGGGGCTGTATTCGTCTTTGAAATGTACATCGTAAGGTGAGGGGGACTACCAGATACAGTCCCATTCGGAGAGGGTTGTCGGCACGCGTTGACCGAGATATACACAGCTGGACCTTCATTCTGCCTCTTGAGAATGTCCTCCGTCTCTTCCTCGTCCATTAGTTCTCCTTCTCCAAGCTCTTCCTGGTTGAGAATCAGGGCCTCAGATTCATCCTGTTTCACGCTCCGGCGCTGCAATTGCAGTGCAGACGGAAATCCTACTCCTTTGTCCGTGTGGTTACCCATAATCTGCGCCTTTGCAAAGACATAATTGTGCGTCAACCCCGGATCGATATCCATCCTATTGACCACATTGTTCGTGAGCGCATCGCTGAACGCAGCCACCCGCCCTATGATACTCCTCGACACCCCCATGAACTCCGCCTCGTACCCCTCAGCATCATCGTAGTCGTCTAAATCGTCGAGAAGGTCCGTAGGTACGCGGGCGTGTAACCGGTGGTGGTTGTGGTCTTCTTGGAGTATCGAGTCCAGCTCGGCGGCATATGCGAAATGATTTGGTGTAAGGAACAAATATACGAGGACTAATATCGCGGAGGCAATTAGGGAGGCCGCAAGCCTCGACTGGAGAGGCGTGAGTTTGGGGAACTGCATGGTTGGAAGGAGGTTACGGTTGGGGGCGCATTGGCGCAGGTGCGCTCAACGGCGCAGGAGGTTTGGGGGTTGCCAATGATATAAGAGATGCTGTAGCTTCCACGGTGATTTTCTAGTATGCGGGAAGTGCTTCAGAGCGTGTAAAGTGGTCGCGTGAAAGAAATCTAGAGGTGTTGCAGCTGAGAGCGGCGCGTGGCGCGAGTTTCAGACGAGAAGCCAAGCATCGTCAAAGCTGACATAGACTCTTACACCAGCACAATTAATCAATTCAAACACTTTCAATGTTCAGCTTATAGGTCTAGGGCTATGAGAGCCTTCTAACAGATATGTTCACTTATCAAGTGGTCAATTACGGGCACATCTTGAGGCAAGAGGACCTCACCTCCGTTTACAGAAATCCTACGTAGATAAAGCTCAGTGTCAGCAAACCTAGAACTGTGGGCTTTGAGCTGCACTGTCGCAGACCTCACTCGAGAACTTCTCGTAGGATCTCCATTCTTTAAAGACACTCAATCCTTCAACCTAGACCTACACATTTTAGGTAAGGCCAAGATTTTCTTGAGTATAGTCCATAAATTCTGTCATAGATTATGGCGACAAACTGTTCCATTTTCACCCTTACTTTCATCCTTGTTCAAGAAGATTCTCTAATGACCGAAGAAACCTGAGAAGAGTGCATCCTGATCGCGAGTATGACGGTGGATTGTCTTGCCACAAGTCTGGGCAAACTCGTTTATCACTGCTCGTAATACCGTGGCAGTCTGAGGGATCCCCGAACTCGATGTAAAGATCAATACAGTGGAAACCAGGCTGTTTCTTGATTAACCAGCTACCTGCTACTCGGGCCTTTCCCTCACAATGCTGTCAACGGAGCAAGAGCGGAGCTCAAGCAGTGCCATATCCGAATGCCCCGACTAGTGGCCAACACCGTATATATCACGTTCCCAAATCCAGTTTGTACCAATTAACCTCATCACATCCCCCATCCGGACGCCGGTTTCGTTGTCCAGAACACCAAGTTCCCAAAACTGGCCACGCACCGTAAGGCGCGTGCATGATGGATTGCACACCCGCATCTCCTTCCACGTCATGTGCTTTTCTTCTAGGAGGTAAAGAGTGAACTGAGGATCCTTGCAGTCATAGGCTAGGTCATAGACTACAATATAAGCATCATCTAATCTGCTTTATCGGGTAAATAGCAGCCGATCGTATAGTTGTCGTGCCGCAACAGAGGGTTGTGGCCTACAGTACGACTTCTGAATACCTGCATCTAGTAGTAATCATCGGTACCTTCATCATAAAAATTGTCGAAAAGGTTTGGATGTTCCTTGTTGCGCAGAGAAGCCGGAACAAGAGGGGCGAGCCACATGGCCTGTTGCAACGGTGAGGAGTTGCAGATGACGGTATTCCACTGCTTGGAGACTCGCTGAGCTTGGAATATGTTGAAGACCGGAAGTTCGAGAAGGATTAGCTCGAGAAATTCGATGATACCGAGGACGCGGTGCGCAGCCGACGGCTCCATTTCGATGGATTGATGGTGGTGGTGAGGTAGATATTTTCGATGAGAGAGATATTTTCGACGAGGTACTGTACTCAACCATGGATCTAATCCATCCGATCCCCACTCATCTCCTCAACATCTCTCGCCGCTTGTTACGTGCGATACAGCAAATTATCAGCCATCCAGGAACCAGTATCTGATAAATGTTCAGACTTTACGTCCCAGTAGTGGAGCCCTGCCAGCAAGATGCCCAAGAACATATGATCACGACTAATTCTACCTCTTTTCTCATGACACGCGCCCTATTCTTCATCTAAGCCTCTACATACCACCTCCTGCCACCATGAATTGTTCTGATCCAAGCTCCAACTTCATCAGGGCAAGACGTTCAGTCCGTACTCGATGTATCCCCAGACTAGAACATACGCATTCCTTAGCCAAGCACGTCCTGATGGCAGACAAGAGGTAGAAAGTAAAGGCCCCATCATTGCATCTACAGACGATCCCGGAAGTTCATAACACTACACTCGAAGCTACACACGCAACAACACCAACACCACACACCACCATCCCAATCTCCCACCAAAGCCCAGCAAGCCTCTCCCCTCACTTTCCCCCCCCAACCTCATCAATCCACCCCAACAAAGTCTCCTCCGCGCCAGGATTTCCCATATGCCCTCTCCCTTCCACCCACCTCGCCTCCTTCACCCTTCCAAACCTCAACGCAACCTCACTATCCTCAATCGGGAAAATACTATCCTCCATCCCATTAATCAACAACATCCTCGCGCTCTCCATCTCAAACACCCCATTCTCCACCAAACTAAACCTCTTCCGCAGCTCCCCTTCCACATACGCCTCCACACTCCCATACCCAAACTTCCACGCCAGCACATCCGCCAGCGCAAACGGATACTCCATATGATTTTGCGCCCTAATCCACTCCTTCTCAAACATCCGGTCGCTGCCCCCCCCCCCCCCCCTTGGCCACCACCGCAAGCAGCTTGTCGGCATGCGTGTGCGCGATCCGCATGGCATAGTAGCCCCCCGTGCTAACGCCCCTCGCCACAACCTTTCCGCTATCAAAGCTGTACTTCTCCGCGTTTCCCGCGATCCACTCAAAAACGCTGCTCCACAGCCTCTCCGCCTCCGCCGGATCGCCCCGCGACGCCGGCGAATCCCCCGTCCCCGGGATCTCGACGCTCAGCACCGCGCACCCGCGCCGCACATGCGCCGTCGTGCGCGGCGTGTGGTCGGTGCGGTAGGCGTGGAGGCCGCAGATAAAGAGGGTCAGCGGCCAGCCTTCGCTGGGGGGTTCGCCGGCGGGGAGGCGGAGGTATGCGGGGATGGGGGCGGCGGCTGACTCCCCTGCTGCGGGCGAGGCGTGCGAAAAGGGGATCTCGACTTCGGTGTTTGGGGGAGAGAGGCAGGGGGATGCAGCCATGTAGGCGGCTTTGCCGGCTTCCCATGCTTTTTGCGAGAGCGGCGAGCGGTTGATGGGAAAGCGGGCGGTGCAGTAGACGGCGGCGGCGCGTAGGTAGAGGTCGCGGGCGGCGGGGGTGTCGCCGGATTGCTCGAGGGTGCGGGCGCGGGCGACGAGGGATGAGGCGATGGGGAAGAAGGGGGTGGCGTAGGCGTCTGGGTCGGAGAGGATGGTGGGGTTGTCGTTGCTGGAGGTCTTGAGGGCGGCGAAGATGGGGTCGAAGTCGGAGACTTGGGCGTCGACGAAGGGGTAGATGCCCATGGAGGCGGGTTGGCGCCATTTTTGCTCCCAGAGGGCTGAGACGGACTTGTGGAAGGGGAATGTGTCGGGATTGTCTACGGTTTTCTGGACGTGGTAGGGCTTTTGAGATATTTTGGGGTTTGAGTAGGCAGATAAGAGGGAATGAGACAGGGTCAGCTAGAAATGATGGGATGGTATACAGATATCTTTGGGGGCTTCTGTCTTCCACATTTATACTTCCTCTCAGTAGTAACACTAAAGATTGTCTAGGAGCCAGAGGTCGGAGGCTAGTATAAGCCGAAACAACGAAATGTCTAATCAGGGCGGCAGCCAGTGAATTTGTACGAGTTCAGCGAGACCAACCACCGCCCTGGATTCTCTCGCGGCTTCGCGCCGTATTCAGTATAGCCTAATTCGACAGCTCAAATTAGATTTAATTTGGCATCTACGTCACTTCTATACTTTCCTAGACAGAGCCTATATCCTCTTTTTCTGAGATGTTGTTCTAATTTGGGCTTCTCGTGATGTTTATAGGGCTTAAGAACGCTGACTATGAAGCTGATGTACGTTTTTCCAGATCGAGATTGAGCAATGACATTGACGGAAAGATGAAGTAAAACTGCAATCAAACTACGCTCGCCAGCTAGAAAAGCACTCATTCGGCGCATACGGGTTTTATTCCGCGCGAAGTGCTTCGAAATGCCGGCGTCGAATCGCGGGCCTCGCGCTCTCTCATGCGCCGACAGCTTCAACGAGACTTCGCACGAGCGGGGACGGGCTGGTTCTCAGCCTGGGGGATATGGCGTATTGGTGAACAGGGCTATGCCATCAAAGGCCCTGTCAGAGAGGGCCGTCTTCCGCGTTCATAGATGGACTGTCCATCCTAGGGGCCATAGGTTGAGGGAGAGTGCAGTGGTTTTGGGCTGCGAAACCCCGGGGAGGCTCGTGCGGCTGCTGACTCTCCTATGAGTAGACAGTTGGAAGCAAACAAGTCATACTCTATTCTTTTGATTACTATATATTGAGAGCATGATATATAAACGCAGCGTTCAAGATTATGGATACCGACACAAATAAGGCCTCATATCTCTTGAAGAATCAATAAAAGCAATATAATCAGCGTGAAGACACTGTCGAAAGTAAGGTCTTTATACATTTATTTTACGCGACCTAATCTACGAAGGTTACAATAAGGTGTCACCGTGCAGAGAGACAAACCTATCTGCATGCAGTTACCCGCTGAAACGATGCTCCGCACTAAAACCATGCATCACAAGCTTTCTAGCCGAGGTTTAAGGCAAACAAATAAACCACGCCGACCATATGTTCTCCGTAACTTCCCTCTATAGCTTCGCCTTCGGTTTGTTCTTCTTCTCTTCTTCAAGTGCAGTATCGTACAGTTCGTCTATATGGTCGCGGAATTTCTTTGCGGCTTGTGGGCGCTTGAGTTTGAGACTGATGAACACATGTTAGCGAATTCGATCTTAAAAGGAAAGCGGACGGGACAAGAGGTTGGGTTTACTCACGTTGGCGTCAAAAGCTCATTGTCGATGGTAAACGGATCAATGAACAGCTTGATCGAGCGCACCCTCTCATAGCTGTTGAACTTGTTCTTCTTGCCGACCTTGTCAAACGCAGCCAGCGCCGCTTTCACCACTCTCGGATTCTGACACGCTTCATTCAATTTCGCGAGGTCTAAATGATCAATAGTCTCTCCGAGGACCTTTCCAGCGAAAGCCGCAAAGCTATCAGGCGCAATGCCGAAGATACCAACGAGGAAGCTCTGGTAAGAGTCACCGTGGACATATGCCGTCGCCAACCAGCCAAGATTGGCTAGGTACACGTTCTCAAGGCGCTCGGGCGAGATATACTCGCCTTGAGAGAGCTTCAGGACGTTCTTCTTGCGGTCGATGATCTTGAAGCGGCCGAGCTCGTCGACGTGGCAGATGTCGCCGGTGTGGAACCATCCGTCTTTGTCAATGGCCTTCGACGTCTCCGCCTCGTTGCGGTAATATTCGCGGAAAAGAGACCCGCTGCGGATGAGGAGCTCGCCACGCGGGTAGGGCTTGTCCGATGAAAGATACTCCATGTCTGGAACATCCTCGAGACAGCACTCTCCATTTGGACTTACTGCTCCGCAGTTGCCAGATGACACGTCACCATCCAGCTGAGCTAGAGACACCGCGTACGTTTCGGTCAGGCCGTAGCCCTGCAAAAAGTGGTTCGCCGTTACCACGCGTAAGAATTGATGAAGAGATGGGTCGAGGGGTGCAGATCCGGACACGAGAGTCTTGCACCTATCAAGGCCCAAAGCTGCCTGAATCTTCTTCGCCCAGATCCTGTCGTAGAAGGCATGCTTGTTGGTGGCAGCCCCAGGTGTCTTGTTGTTGACCGCAGCAAGCTTGGTTGCTACAATATGCCGGGACAAAGCACCCTTGAAGCCGGCTTGCTCCATGGTATTCTCCTTAATAGCAGTTCCGAATCGGTTGTAAAGACGAGGAACAGCTGCCATTGCCGTAGGCCGAATTAGCTTGAGGTCGTCGACCAACTCTGCAATATTTCCATGGAAATAGCCAATCGCAGCCCCAGAGGCTAGCGCAGTATGCTCTCCCACTCTTTGGTAAATGTGTGCTAACGGTAGGAACGAGGAAGTAACGTCGTTGGTGCCGGACTTGAGAATAAGGAAGCTCGCCATAGTCGCTGATACCGCATTGGCATGGGTCAGGACAACTCCCTTTGGATCACCCGTGGTTCCACTCGTGTAGTTTATTGTCACAACATCGTCAGGAGTAGGCGGGTTGTAGGGACGTGGAGATTTCTCGCCAGCTGCCTCGACATCTCGGAGGCTATGGATCGAAAGGGCGATGTCCTTCGCGAGGGAATTCAGCAGGTCCGCTTTGGATTGTCCAGGTTGCTCGCCTGCAGTCAGGGGATCAAGAACGACGACAAACTTCAGAGATGGCAACCGCGGTTTCAGCTTCAAGAGTGTGGTAACATGAGCCAAGGAGGTTACCACGCAAGCCAGGTTCGCGTGGTTGATGATGTACTCCGCAGTATCCGGGCCTAGGGTATCGTAGATGGAGACGGTGAAGAGCCCTTGGGACATGCATGCCAGGTCTGTAATCTGCCATTCTGGCCGATTCTGACACCACAGTCCCACGGGGTATTTGGATCCGGTCACACCGTGCTTCTCGTGCAGATCGACCAAGCCAGCCCCGAAATTCGCTCTCCTCCGTTGTGTTGTCTGGTAATCCTCCCACTGGTATGCTCCAAAGGTCTTCGTTACGGGATCCCACGGACGATGGCCTAGACATCTCTGTTTCGGTATACGGTTTGCTGGAAGGAGAATTAGCTGTATGCCACTGCAAGCCCGAAAAGAGCACATACCTGTGGCTTCAAAGGCCTCGTGACAGGTCGTAATCTTCACCAAAAGCCGTCAGTACAGTTCTGTAGTCCAGTATCCGCGTCTTCCTTACCGCAGGATCCAATGTCTTCAACAGCTCGTTCTGAAACCGCCAATGTCTATACACAGCACTGCGTCCCTCCTGCTTCGACCCAGGCAAGGCGACACTGTGAGGCTGTCCCACGGGCGGCGGCTTTGCGAGCTCAGCCGCGCGCTCAAGGGCAAGAGGAGTCGACCCGAACATGGTGAGTTCTGCTCAAAAGCTCCGGTGTCGAAAATGTCGATTCCCGTAAATTGAAAAGCAGGATGAAGGAGCCCTTCTTACTCCGGCGACGCTAGGGATCCGGACTCAGCGGCGCAGCACGGAGCGAGGGTGTGCCTGGATGATGATGATGACCCGGACACGCTGCTGCTATTGTCGTATCAGCCTCAGAAACTGGACACAGCTCACGAAAATGCAGTGTCGGCGATGCCGAGATGGGGATGCAAGCCACCTGCACTTACAGCGGATGCGGCGCCACAACCAAGAACTCTGGGGGAAGCTTGGTCGGTTGGTGGGGACGGCGAGGGACTGAAGTTTCACGGTTGTACAGCCTCGCGATATTCAAAAAATGACGGTGCGTAGAGGAGGGAGTGTTTAGTTTCAGGGAGAATGGAGTGGATAAAGTCCGTCGCCTTCTTTCAAGGGACACGACACAATACGCTGGACTTTTTGCTGTAAAAGGAACGAGTTGCGCGAGCCTCGGTCCCTCCCAAAGAAGCAAAGTGCGGGCCAAGCTGGCGCGAGAGGCTATCGGTGGCGGTCGAATTCAAGTCTGGGGCAGAGGACGTGGTGGGGTGTCGTGCAATGTGAGCAGTGAATGTCGCCCGCAATGTCCACGAGCGCATGTGTGGCCTCTGGTGATGCACGTCGAATGCTTGTTTGTCTTCACATGTTGCATCTCATCACTGCAGGCCTGGCCACGGGATCTAGATGGTACGGGAGGCCTAACGCCTTTTGCCCTGGCCCCCAAGCCTGGCACAGTGGCGCAAAGAACGAGCCGTGGAAGCCCGCATCAAGATTGCGGAGCATGCGGGCGTGGACTGGACTGGTTGTGCAACCGTTGAAGCATCGAGGACGCGACCTCGGTATGATCACGAGGGTGCGAGGGGCTTCAACTTCGGGATGCCATCCCCTCCTGCAACCCGCTTCACGGCCGCAGTCCGGGGTTGTCCGCATGACAAGCTGCGATGTGGAGAGCGACCGGGGGTCCGCTCGGCGTTGCACATGCAACATGAAACACCAATCACTGCTATGCAAGAACTCTAGCCACACGGACGTCGCGACGAAAGTGACTTCAGCCTAGGTATCTCTGCTCTCCAACCACCCAACCTTTTCCCTCAAGTCGATCCGGCAACTCCGGCAGAGCCCTCTGCTGTCCCCGTCTTTTCCGCATTTGCCGCCTCGGCCTTCTCGCCCGGCTTCGTGGCCGCTTTGGCGAATGACTGCTCGAAGTCGGCAATGATGTCGTCGATGTGCTCGGTGCCAACCGAGATACGGATCAGGTCCTGCCAAGGTCAATATCTACTATGGTTGAAATACAAAGCGCCAACATACCTCAGTGACGCCGCTGTCCGCGCGCTCCTCCTCGCTGAGCTGCTCGTGGGTGGTGGACCACGGGTGAATCGCAAGAGTCTTCGAATCACCGACGCTGATGTCTTTTAGCTCTTGTCCGGCGCCCGCTACTCGATGCGTCCACTTACTTTGCCAGGTTCGAAATCAACCTGAAGCCATCCACGACCTGGCTACCGGCCTCCCCTCCTCCCTTCACACCAAACGACAACACGCCTCCGAAACCTCTTGGCAGATACTTCTTGGCCAGCGCGTGCGACGGGTGGTTCTCGAGCCCAGGATACGACACCCAGGCCACATTCTCGTTCTTCTCCAGCCACTTCGCCAGCGCTAGCGCATTCTGCGCGTGCCTCTCACCCCTCAGACTCAGCGTCTCAATACCCAGCAGTAGCTGCTGTGCGGCGAATGGGTTCAGCGCCGCGCCCAAGTCTCGTAGGATCTCGACGCGTAGACGGATCGCGAAGGTGATGGGGCCGAATGTGTCGTAGAACTTCAGGCCGTGGTAGCCCTCAGCGGGGTCGTTCATCTGTGGGAAACGCTTTGCGTTCTTGCCCCAGTCGAATTTGCCGCTGTCGACAACGATACCGCCAATAGTAGTGCCGTGGCCTCCTATCCATTTGGTGGCACTGTGCACAACAATGTCCGCGCCGTGGTCGATAGGACGAACAAAGTAGCCGCCTGCACCGAAGGTGTTGTCGACCTGATCAGAGCTATGTCAGCTGCCTAGTCTAGCTAATTGCTTCCCACGACTTATCGTGTTGTTTCCGAGAGTAACTCACAACCACCGGAACACCAGCCTCGTGCGCAACCGTCGCAATCTTCTCAAAGTCCGGGACATTGTATCGTGGGTTACCAATGCTCTCAATATAAACGGCCTTCGTCTTGTCGTCAATGGCCTTCTTGAAGTCCTCGGGGCTGTCTCCTTTGATGAACTTTGTGTGGATGCCGAATCGTGGCAGCAGGACCTTGAGCTGGTTGTAGGTGCCTCCATACCTGTTCGCTGGTCAGACATCAGACAGAGCCACGGTCAAAGGGACTCTTACAAGTTCGAGGTAGAGACAATGTTGTCACCGTGCTGTGCGAGCGCAGCAATGGCCATGAATTGCGCGGCCTGACCTGAAGCTGCTGCAACGGCTGCGACTCCGCCCTCAAGAGCTGCAATTCGCTTCTCAAAGACATCGACGGTAGGCTACGAGGTAGTATTTAGAATCTCCCAGTCTTCATGCTATTAGAGCGGAAGTCATATATCCCAACTTACGTTCATGATCCGACTGTAGATGTTGCCGAACTCTTTGAGGCCAAATAGCCTCGCGCCGTGTGCCGAGTCATTGAAAGTGTAGGACTAGAAGTGATCAGTTTCATTTCCACCGAATTCCCAAGCCCCATACAGACATACTGTAGTCGCATAGATAGGAACAGCACGGGAGTTCGTCGCTGAGTCAGGCGAGTGTCCTAATATCCCGCTATTAGCTCAATTGCATCCATAAAGCGGGGTGAAGCTATGTCGTCGCGTACCTGCGTGCAGCTGCAGCGTCTCAAAGTTCTTTACGAATTCTTCAGCCATTGCGAGAGCTTCCGATATCGATGTCTAATTGAAAAGATCCGGTGTCACAGGATCCAACGAGAAGGATTCCTGGGATTCTAAGCTCTCGCGTCCAGCAACAAATAGGTGGGGTAACCCAGTACTGTGGTGGTCGTTCGTTAATAGCGCCGCCCCTCGCGTCACGTCATACAATGGCGTCTTGTGCAATTCGCTAATTGCTGCCAAAAGCGTCCAGAAAAGTGAATAGATTCAGAGGATCACGACGCGGTGGAATGGAAGAAGGGCGTTCGAGGAGCTTGGCAATCGCGTGGTGGTGGAGTGAAGATGGGGCCTTCAATTCTTTATGACTTAAATAGAAGGCACCTAGTTCGGCCAGTTCCCCACCTTCTCCCACGTCTCGCCCCCATCAGCCCGGCTCCGAATTCGCTCTGCTATGAGCTGATGCACGGCCGACGCCGTGTGCCCAGTGGTGGGATGGTGCAAAAAGTCTTCGGTTGCCCATGACACAGCTGCGCGGGTCGGTGGTTCGAAGTCGAGCACGCAATTTGTGGCACTCCTCATTGCCCCACTACACGATCTCGAAGGTACTAACCCAAGGATTGCTGATAGACGACCTGGAAATAGTTTTGAATCTCGACTTCGGCCTCTACAAAGACTCTTGAAGAGGTTGCTAGCTAGATACAATCAGCGCGTTTGACCTTTTCGTTCGTCTAGACCACTCTTTTCGATATCAGTAAGCTCTGACAACGACAAAATATGGAATATGAGCGTCTATTAGCAGTCAGCTTTATAGTGGATAGGGCGTATGGCTTGAAGCAATGCTGAACTTGATTGGGAGTGTACATGCGATGCCTTGCAGATTGTGAATATGATACAGCGTGAAGAGGAAAACGGAGGAAGAGCTAAATAGTCTCAAGAACAAGTTAACTAAATGGGGATATAGAAGCGATTGAAGCTTTTGGGCGCGTCTTCGGAGCTCGTATTATGTTCCATACACGAATACAGAATGGAATTGCCTGGTGTTGAGGGTCGAGGTATCACGAACGCAGGCGCTGTGGTTTACGAAAGGGCTTCAGAATGGATTTCGAGATGGCGGATTACATGCATACGACTTCTCGAACAACCTTATTCTGGGTTGGAAAGTTCATCAAGGGGGTGCTGAGGGCTCGTAATGTTCGAGTGATCATTGGCCATAATTGATAGGATTGGGGTGGACCATCCGTGAAGCTAAGCAAAGTGTTCCGTAGTTGTCAGCTCAACAAGCAGGTAGATCGCGCTCCAGGAAAGCTACTGGGCCCTTTTGCTAGAGAAGGATAGTAGATTTAAGTTACAGGAATAGGTTTCGGCCACTGGTATCCCATTGATGGGTTCAATGGTGAGTATAGTTTGCTAGCTCAAGGATCAAGGCTGCTATGTTAGGCAACCCGAAAGACTTGGTCTGGGTCAGGTAAATTTAAAGCTACAAGAGCGGATCAAGATACGGTTGCAGGGAGATCGCAGCGCAGGATGGAAAGACCTGGAGAGCGAGGAGTCGTTCGAACCAAGTATTCGATCAAATTGCTAGCGTCTATTTCAGCCAGCCACCTCGCCGCAACATAGACATCAGTGGAGAGGGCTATATCATCAAGAATTGGGGGAACCAAAGCCACTCCAGTTGTGCACCTATGGCCGTCGAAAGAGGAGCTTAAAGCGCAATATCTAAAAAGGTGGTGCCAATGAAAAGGCATGTAGCGCTGTTGGTAAAGGAACACGACCTCACTTGAGAAAACTCGAAGCCGGCTCCAGCTAACATCGCTCGACAAGTCGCGTTCTGGGACACGTAATAGAGGAAGATTCGATTGTGCCGACCCAAAAGAGGGCCAGCCAAAGGCTCCTACAATAAATTGTGCCCGTAATGAGTGAAGAAGGAAGAGGTTCTCAGCGTGCGAGAACTTTTATATCTCAGAAATAAGCGCTTGGGCCAATCACGGCCGCCTTATTATCCGTAACAATACCGCTAACCCAAAAATGACGAGAGGGCGAAACTCCAACTCCAGACGTCAACGAGCTGTTTTGCCATCGCCATCTCCCCTCATCACGCCCCGACATGCTGCGGCAACAATTGCTCCGGTCGCTAAGGAAGCCGACGAGGCTTGCCACCCTCAATGGCAGCCGGACCTTTGCCTCCACCACCGCCAGGCCGGCCGAGGTGGAGGTTACAATAGGTATGTGCCGGATGCATGGTGCCACACGAATAGCTGCTAAAAAGCTCTCTAGATGGAAAGAAGGTGTCAATCGAAGGTATGCCGGACTCCTCGAACCTCCCGAGCCCTAATCGTCCCTCTAACGACCACAATAGCCGGATCCGCCCTGATTCAAGCATGCGAGAAGGCCGGAAGTACAGTCCCGCGGTACTGCTATCACGAGAAGCTCATGATAGCGGGTAACTGTCGTATGTGCTTGGTGGAGGTGGAAAGGGCCCCGAAGCCGGTGGCATCCTGTGCTTGGCCCGTACAACCCGGAATGGTGGTCAAGACGAACTCTCCGCTCGTCCACAAAGCCCGCGAAGGCGTCATGGAGTTCCTCCTCGCCAACCATCCTCTCGACTGCCCCATCTGTGACCAAGGTGGCGAGTGCGACTTGCAGGATCAGTCAATGCGGTATGGTGCGGACAGAGGGCGGTTTCACGAGATTGGTGGAAAGCGCGCGGTTGAGGACAAGAACATTGGGCCTTTGGTCAAGGTAATTGCGGATGTTAGGGCCTCAGGAAACATGCACTGACAAGGTGCAGACATCAATGAACAGGTGTATTCATTGCACCCGTTGCGTTCGATTTGCCAACGATGTCGCAGGAGCTCCAGAACTCGGATCCACAGGACGCGGCAACGACCTACAAATTGGGACCTACCTGGAAACAGCCTTGGACACAGAACTTTCCGGAAACGTCATCGATCTATGTCCCGTCGGTGCATTGACCTCTAAGCCATATGCATTTAAATCCAGGCCCTGGGAACTGTACCACACCGAATCAGTCGACGTGCTCGATGGACTCGGATCAAACATTCGGATAGACGCGCGAGGCATCCAGGTTATGAGGATATTACCGCGTCTGAATGACGATATCAATGAAGAATGGATCAACGACAAGACCAGGTTTGCCTGTGACGCCCTCAGCACACAAAGACTGGTCAATCCGCTCATCCGGGTCGAGGACAGCTTCCAGCCAGCCTCATGGGAACAAGCTCTCGTTGAAATAGGAAACGCGTACAAGCGGATATCACCGAAGGGCGATGAGTTCAAAGTCATTGCTGGTCAACTGGTCGAAACCGAGACCTTAGTGGCCATGAAGGATCTCGCCAACAAGTTAGGCTCCGAGAACTTGGCTCTGGACCAGCCCCAAGGGAGCGAGCCAGTCGCCCATGGGATTGATGTCCGATCCAATTATTCGTTCAACTCCAAGATCTATGGCGTGGAAGAGGCCGATGCCATCCTACTTATTGGCACCAACCCACGCCACGAAGCCGCTGTTCTCAATGCCCGTATTAGGAAGCAGTGGCTGAGGTCGGATCTAGAAATTGGCCTTATCGGTGAGGATTTCGAGAGCACTTTCGAGTATGAGAAGTTCGGAGATACTGCTGCTAGCCTGAAGTCAGCTCTTGCAGGTGCGTTCGGCAAGAAGCTTCAAGCTGCCAAGAAACCCATGATCATTCTGGGTAGCGGAGTCGTCGAGAACCCCGACGCCAAAGCTATCTATGAGATCGTTGGTACCTTTATCGACAAGCACAAGGCCAACTTCCTCACACCAGAGTGGAACGGCTACAATGTCCTCCAACGGGCGGCTTCCCGTGCCGGTGCGTACGAAGTAGGCTTCACTGTTCCGTCCCAAACCGTCGCAGACACCAAGCCTAAGTTCATTTGGCTGCTAGGTGCCGATGAAGTCAATGAAGCAGAGATCCCTAAGGACACGTTTGTCGTCTACCAAGGCCACCACGGTGACCGAGGCGCACAAATCGCAGACGTCGTCCTCCCCGGCGCTGCATACACCGAGAAGTCAGTCACATACGTCAACACCGAGGGTCGCGCACAGATGTCTCGCAACGCCGTCTCATTACCTGGTGCCGCGAGAGAAGACTGGAAGATCATCCGCGCCGCATCAGAATATCTTGGCGCGCCGCTACCATTCGACGACGTCGAGGTCCTGCGAGACCGTATGGAGGAAATCTCGCCCGCGCTGCGACGCTACGACGTGGTGGAGTCGACAGGTCTACCACAGCTCACTAAGGTGCAGCTCGTGGACCAGCACAAGGGCGTTAAGCCGACAAATACGCCACTGAAGAAGGTCATCGACAACTTCTACTTCACAGACTCCATCTCAAGAAAGTAAGTTTTAGCCCGGTGTCTGCCTCTTCCGTTTTCACGAGTAAAGGACTAATGTACAACCCAGCTCCCCAACAATGGCCCGCTGCTCCGCCGCCAAGGCACAAAAGAACCCCCAGACCAACTTCATGGCCCCCGGCGAGCCGAACCCGCAAGTCGGCTACGGCCCGCCTGCTGGCCAGTTGGCTGCTGCAGCGTAAAAGGGTTACGAGAGCTGGGGTCCGCGGCTGTGTATAAGTTTCTAGGGCGTTGCATTACATGTGTACATAGGTCTCGCTTTTGTTGTTTTCCTGCTGAAGTTCTGAAATCGTCGCCTGTGAGCATAGATAGTGAATGGCATTGGCTGGTGTATAACATGACCCTGTGTCTCGATGGTTGTGTTGATTGTTATATGCTGGAATACGCTGCGTGGGAAGGGTGCATACACTAATGTGAGTTCTGATTAACAGGAGATTACGCTGTCTGAGGTAGCCTTTCGAGGTTACAGGCCATCCAAACCAAAACAATTCGGGTTCTTTGAATGCTTGTGGGAACACCCTGAGTAGCGATCTACGAGAGTCCACAACTGGATACTTTTGGTAAGATAAAGCATGTTTTCCGTCATTAGTTGCGAAGGATCTTCTTGATAGAGAAATATATTCCTGTTAACCTCTCATCTGGTACCTACGAAGATATTCAATTTTAACGCCGCCAATGCAGGAAATGTGACGGGAACCCCGTCACTAGACTAACGCTAACCCGCTCAGAAAAGCAAAAGCTTGACTACCTTCCGCCGCGACCAGTCTTTCCCAGCTGCTTGGCACGCATACGCCTGAAGGCTTCGTCTCCTGCCGCGCCCGGAGCACGTTTGACCGTGCCTTCTGGAACCTGGACGTTGCTCTTCGGGACGATGGTGTAGGTGGTAGGGCCGCTTTCCATCCTAGCTCGGTTCCAGACTTTCGGTGTCTCGAGCGCCTTCTTGCGAGCCGCGGCCTGGGCAACAGCCTGGGAGTTTGCTGGGTTCGCGGAGCGTACGGGAAGCTTCCTGGAATGGTTGTTAGCAACGTGACATTTGGATTAGAAATGTTGAGGGATACATACATAGAATCATCGAAAGCGGCTTGCTGGAACTCCTTCTTGCGGTAGTCATCGCTCTGCTTCAAGATCGGACGAGTCCAGTCGTTGAATAGACGCTCCGCTTGCCGCTTAATAACGAGCTCTGGGCGCTTGCTCTTTGTGTAGAACATGATGACCTTGCCAATACCGCTAGCCACGAGGCTATCCTTCGTGATTGGCAGTTTGCTAAGAGCGGCGAAGAGCTCGCGCTGGATGTTGTACGCCGGGAGACTGCCGTCGTTGAGGGGCTCCAGGAAGAATCGGACAGCTTGCAGCAGGTTGATATCCGGATCCACCAAGGACTCTTTGAGCGTGTTCTTGTTGAGTAGTGCCACGACCTCGGGGAGAAGCTTGAGTTTGTGCATCGCAGGCTGGCCACGATCCCGACCCTCGTTGTCCCACTTCGCAGCGTCTGTCATGCGCCGTCGCATGTCTTCGATTTCAGCATCGGCCATTTGTTCCAGGTCAATGCCATCCTTCTTGCGGCGGCGGCCAGTACCACCCTTCTTAAGAGCTTCGTCCATAGCCCTGTCAAGAGCGCGTCTTCGTCCTGCAGCAAAGTTAGTGCCAACGATTCGACATACAAACAGCCAGACAGGGTCACGTACGTTCTTCAGGAGACAGATTCTCCTCGTTCTCTTCTGGTGGAGTCGCAGCCCTAGCTCTCCCACCGCCTCCGTCCTTTCGCTTTCGCCGCCTGCTCTCATCCTCGCCTCCACTTGCAGCTTCATCGTCGCCACTACGACCCTTTCGTGACTTCCTTGGCTTCTCCCGGCGATTATCACGCTTCTTCTTTTTCTTCGCGTCTCCATCAGCCTCTCCCTCAGTCCGCTTGCGCTTGTGCACACCGATCAGATTCAAGTTGGTCTCATCGAGAACGGCGGGCCCCTCGATAGCAATGTTGGCAGGGTCGAAGTCGTCGAATTGCGCCTCGTCGACATCCGATAGATCGGAATCGTTGTCGGAGAGATCAGGGTCGGCCTGGACGTCCGGATCGTCTTCATCTGGCGTTTCGGGCCCGTTTCCTGCGGTCTCCATGTCTTGGGTCGGATTCAGGAATGGCGGGGTTGGCGTAGAGTTCTCTTCTTCAATTTCAGGGCGGAGAGGATCTTGAGGATCGTGTCCAGCCTCTGGAAGGGGGGACCTGGAGTGAGAGCGGGTGATTTGGACGTCCTCCATGGTGGCGCGCATGGGTCGAGGAGTAGTGATGCAGCAGAGGTGGTGTCGTTGCTTTGAGGTGTCCTTTCAGACAGTGGTGATGGAGCGCGTGAAGTTGTTGAAAGAGCGCTGGACGCAGTGAGCTCGGGCCACCCTCGTAATATTGTTTCGCCGGGCGCCGTCAACTTTTTGGACGCTTGCATTCGAGGAGCATCTCCAGTCGCACAGCACCTCTAAGGACATAAGGACACCTTTCTATCACCATGTTCGCCGGACGTGAGTCTCATTCCATACGCTTTAATAAAATATTCTTTACTGATGGACGCTGCAGAACCACCACCACCTTCCAAAGCCGAGCTTCAGGTTAGAAGAAATCTACGACTACACCTACGGGCAAGATACTGACTGCAATGTTCAGGCTCAAGAAGCGCAAGCAAACCAAGAAATCAAATTCACTGCTGGGATGTGTCTCCTACTCTACCTCTGTGAGTATATCTAATACGCGTACTAATATGACGCTGATGACGATACCCAGCTCCTTTCGCGATCGAGTACGTCCGCAAACTCGTGTAGAATCATCGACTTCACCTCTCAAACATATCAATTGGCGTTTCCGGAATTGGCATGGCATACACGAGCGAACCCTCACTGTACTTTTAGAGGATGGGAGGTCATATTGTACAATAGAGACAAGCATACATCGAACTACGTCGTCTTCCACTGCTCAAGATGACTGCACACCTGCTTGGATCATGGCCTCTGGCTGCATACCTTGACGATTAACTTACGAAGCATGACTACGTCGGAACTTTCACGATTATACTTATATACGGGGTGTACAAGTTGATCTATCACGAAGACCGACCTGAAAGCGTACCTTAATAGCTGCTAATGCGCAACATTGAGATTAGACCGGGCGCAAAGATAATGTCAGACGGATTAGGAGGAAGACCAAGGGCAGAAAAAAGAAATCACAAATATGTCAACAAACAGGATATGGGGGTGGTATGTCCTTCGGGGTCTTTCTAGACGTCTGAAGAATGATAGCGAATCTTTTGGATTGTTGGTGGATAGATGTCTGGGGGTTCAGCATTTCGAGTACCGTCAGAGGTCCTTTAGTCTCAGGAAAGCGTCAATGGGTAGTTAGTCAAAGAAGTTCATGCTTAGTCAAGTGTCAATCCTAGACCGTGTTATGATACAAACATCACCCAGCCAGCAATGCGATTTGCCACAAAGTGATATTTCAGAACTATCACAGAGCGACTATGCTATGCAACCGAGAAATCTACATGGCCAAGCAGCCGCATGCCATGATCCCTTTTCCAGTCCGTTATCCAGCTCCCATGCACACTCCAAGACTCCAAGATCATCCGATGTTTTGTCGGCGGCCTCCCCAATGACCAGTACGAAATTTTAGAATGCAATTGTAAGGCCTGGCTGGCAACAAGGGACAGACACCTGTGTTTTGTGAGAATCGAGGTGGCGGGCGCATGGGTCGGCGCATAGCGGCTGGTGGCTCACCTACAAAGGCGTTCTACTCCTCCATCGCATCGTCTGGGTCCTGGAAGTCCTCGTCGTCGTCTTCCTCATCGTCGTCGTCCAATTCGGCAGCGGCCTTCTTGAAGTCGATGCTTTTGCCGCGAGTGCGCCGGCCGTCGTTGATGATGTTGTCGGTGTTGATTTCCTCCATCGTATCCTCGTCCTCCGGCTCAGCTGTCTGTCGCGTTAGTACCTTGTTCGAGCGCGCGCAGAGCATTGGTAGTGTTTATACCTTCATGGACCTATAGCGGGGCACGGTTGTTAGTAAATATCATATGCCAACACGCCAGGCGCAATGGGTGGAACGTACCTCGTTCTCAGCGCCAGACTCCTCTTCATCGGACGACTCTTCGTCCATGCTAAGGTCTGGCTGCTGCTCAGCGGCCTTTCCCTTGCCCTTTTCAATGGTGCCGGTGGCGGGGCTCTGCATGGCGGTGTCGTCCTCCATTTTGTGGTCGGCTGCGTTGTCGCCCATAGTTGCGTGAGAGTGTTGTACGGTGTGAGAGAGTGGTGCGGATTGAGTGGAGGGTTTGCGAGCAAAGAGTGGTGGAGTGTTTGTTGTGGGAGGGCAGCCGCTTCTATGCCAATGTGGTCTGGATTTCCGCAGTCGCGTCAAAGCGCTTTGCCCAATTGGAAGTAGCCTCACGATTCCATCCATCTCACCCCTATTCGCGACTGTCTGAGATGGCCTTGTGAACGTACTGATTGCCCGAATTGTATGACATCCATCCCGATCAAACTTTGAAAAATCCTTGAAGCTTCATGGAAGGGGCAATAACGTGAACAAAGACCTGCGACAAGGCAATGTATATTCAGGACTGAAAATCTGCGGTATCATTGAGGAACCAAGTCTGGGATGAGAACCCTCTGTAAGTGGCCGCAACACTCTTGGGATTGGGAATCTCTAGATGTATCTCAAGCAAAAGGCCCAGAAGGCTGTCATAAGTCGAGTGCCGTCATCTGCAACCACGGCACTGCTTCACATAAGCGTTGTCTAAACGTATAGTTCTTCGATATTGATTTCCGGGTGAGAGTAGACGTTTCTCCTGTTCTCTCACTTGCTTTGGGATTCAGCCGATGCCTGTTACAAGCCTGCCAGCTGCATAGGGTAATTCTACGACCTTCCTCGAGGCACTCGCCGATGCCGCGGTGCTCCGTGGCCCACCTGATACAACATTCAACAGGGGCAGAAGTCTATCTGTGGCCAGGGTTTACCATACTCCCTCTCCGCCTTTCCTCCGCGGTAGAGAGCAGCTTTACTCAGTTGTCCCGGAGGCCGGAAGGCTGCCGGGGAGGAAACTGGCTGTACCGAACTCGCCAACCTGCAGATCTACCACAACGACAACCGTATATCGAACACAGCGGCCTCAATGGGTCCTATGTACATCACGTAGTAAAGCATTAGTGCAGGCTTTTTTTCTAATTGAACCAATCATGGGGTTACTTCAGGACACTACGCCGGAGTTTCCGCATGTGTATTGGCTTGCTATCGCCGTTGTTGGAGTCATCGTGGGGTACAAGGTGTTGAACTATGGAATGAGGCCCAAGAATATGCCCCCAGGTGAGTGGCAGATTGATATCCAGCATAGCTTTGCTTGCTCTAATCACGATGGACAGGGCCACCCACAATTCCTATTCTTGGTAATCTCCACCAGATGCCACTAAAGGACTTCCATTTCAAATTCAGGGAATGGGCTCAGCAATGTAAGAACTTATTCTGATCCCTATCCGCGGCATTTCGGTCTGATATCAAGATTCAGATGGACCCATAATGACCTTGAAGTTGGCGGGTCAGACTATGGTCCTCATGAACGATGAAACTGTCATCAAAGACTTGTTGGAAAAACGCGGCCATACTTATGCTGCTCGTCCTGATTTGTTCATTCGCGAGTTCGGCGGTAACATGAATATTGCGTTTCGAGAGTAAGCTCCATACTGAGATAATTTAGTTGGACTGATTGCTAATATGCAATCAGCAATGACGATGTCTGGAGACGTCAACGGAAAATGTACCATCTTCGCCTGAATAAAAAAGTCGCGAATCAGTACATTCCCTACCAGGTAAATTTCGCCCGTTTCAGTACTAGACACTTCCGACTGACGTATCTCAGGCCTTCGACAGTACTCAGCTGCTGAATGAGATGCTAGATACACCCGATGACTTCTCTCGACACTTGCAACGGTACACTACCAGTGTAGCTTCTACTGTACTCTACGGCTTCAGGACGACGAGTAGCGGGGGGAGAGTCAAGGATTTGATGGATGTAAGTCACATGATCAGTTCATTCTCGATATCTGCTAACCCGAAGGAAGTGGATGGATCTGACAAGTGAAGCGGCGAATCTGCAACTCGTGGACTTTTTCCCATTTCTTCGACCATTCTACCGCTACTGTCCCACATTCCTGATGCCCTACAAGCAATTACTGGCAAAGATTAGGGTCATCGAAGAGAACTTATTCATACAGCTCATGGAAGGCGCAAAGACTAGCATTCAAGAGGGCAAAGTGTATCCAAGTAAGCTGAGATACCCGTATATGGCCAAAACTCCAATATTAATGAAATCCCAGGCTTCATCCGTGATATGCTTCTTAGCGAAGACAAAGATCGATTGACCGATGTAGAGATAGCAAACAATGCTGCTCATGGCTTCGGCGCAGCTACGTTCGTGATTCATTTTCTTCGTATCTGTAAGACTCAATGCTAATAGAAATTAGAGATACGCAATGGAACACCATGCTCGGATTCGTTAAAGCTATGATTCTTTATCCAGATGTCCAGGCGGAAGCGCAACGTGAGATTGATCGGGTTGTGGGACCAGATCGACTCCCTGTCTGGGAAGACCGAGAGAACCTACCCTATATTCGTGCTATTATCGAAGAGTCGCTAAGATGTAAGAAGTCTGCCAACATCCCAGTCTGTCAATACTAATTTCAACAGGGATGCCCACGACTCTAAGTGCTGCCGTACCGCACTCATTACTGAAAGACGACATCTACAAGGGATATCTAATACCCAAGGGCTCATCAATGTTCATAAACGTCTGGACGCTGAATAACAACGTGAAGAACGACCCCCGGGCTTTCGATCCCTCCCGTCACGGCGCAGAGAATACGCTAAGCGACAACTATGGTATCGACCCAGACTCCAGCAAGCGCCCTCACTTCACATTCGGTGCTGGCCGCCGCGTGTGCCCTGGTTTCCATGTTGCTGAACGAGGTCTCTTCACCGCCATTTCCCGCCTCTTATGGGGGTTCAAGTTCTTACGCAAGCTCGATAGTGCCGGCGTGCCTATTCCGATTAATCAAGATGAAGTCACCCAGGGGTTCATCGTTCGCCCCGTGCCGTATCCGTGAGTACTTTTTCACTACCCAACCTATCAGCGAGCTGACAAACTACAGTGCTGTGATCGAAACCCGTGATCAACGTAAGACTAAGATTATCCGAGACTCCTGGAAGGAAGCTCAGAAGTCGCTGGATGCGGATGGTAACTTCACGGAGGAGTTCTTCGAGAGAGTATTCGTTTCCAAGGAGAAGAGACCTTAGATATCGATTCACCGCGCTCTATTCGTGTCTGTTGTCGACAAGGCTATTGGCATACCTCCGCAAATTGGAGGCATAGTAAAGTCAAGATTTGATAGTGTCGTCTCCAGAAGTATGAGCAAACCATACTTGGCGAGCTACTTGCAATTCAAATCCTCAATTGGATCAAGCCTGGCTGTCTGTTGAATTTTTGGAGCTTTAAAAGACGCGGGAGAGACCCCTCAAAGAGAGCATGGCACGTGCCGAATTTGTTCCCATCGCTCTATAAAGTCAAAGCATCCCCTGTGTCTCTTGCTACCTTCCAGCTTCCTCGACTTTCACGCTCAAAATATCACCTATCGATGCTGCAATCCTTGTTTCCGCTCCTATTTACATATCGTTTGATCTCGACCCTACACTCAAACCTCAAGCTTGCAGAACACTTGCATGATGATAATGCTTCCCAACATCAGCACGCTTGCGCAGGCTGAACTTCCCTTCCACCACTAGGCTGGGAAAGAGAAGAATCAGTGCTCAGTAGTCAATGATGCCATGTATGTTCGGAATATCTTCAATAGCTTTTGCACTCTCTACGGGATTGCGTGCTTCGGCTTGATATCCAGCAACCCCTTAACAAACTGCTGATACCTTGCATACCACGCCTCTTGGTACGCACAGTGAGTGACCCTCCCCTTATCGTCCTCCCACTTATACACACTATCCACAAAGACGTTGTTTGGCCAAGACGGCAACTGCGCAACCGCAATCGCCTCCCCCTTGATAAAGTACTTCTCCCCCTTATCATCCTCGAACTCAATCTCCTGCTTTATCGCCGAATGTAACTGCGGGTGAAACTCAAGCACTCTCCTATGCACCTTAACCACATTCCTCACCTCGGTGCCATCCTTCACCAGCCACGAAAAATGGTGCGACGGCTTACTCTTATCATACTTGAACACGCCCTCCCAATCCGGCGTGCTCTTCTGGTAGTCCTCAATCCCGACCTGGTTAAATGAGAGTTCCTTTTCGAATGCCATCGGCGACCATCCAATCGGCGGGAACGTGACTTCGTCCTCTGTCCGCACCTGACCCCAAGACCGGTCCCGCGATGCGGAGCAGTCAATCTTGTACTCCTTCCCGTTCAGCGTTACATCGCCCACGCAATGCATCAGCTGCTCCAGCCCACCAGGCTTCTGCCCCTCGCGCCTATCGCGGTCCTCACCCGCCATCACATGACCCCTAGGCAGCGCAGGACAAAGCCCCGTCTGCGTGACATTGAAATGCGTCGCACCGTCCTTGCTCTTATACACAATCCGCATCTTATGCCCCGGCTCCAGAAACTCGATACTCAGCCCATTCTCCGTCTCGAGCTTCATGCAGCCGCCCTCACCGGTCGGTGTGACGGTCGGCCATGGGAGGGTATTGACGATGTTGGAGTGCTCGCAGTCGAGGGGACGCAGGTTATCCATGCCGCGGAAGATGGAGACGCCCGCGAGGCAGAGCTTGAAGTGCGGCTGGGCGCGGACGTAGATGAAGCAGCCGAGTTTTTCAGAGGGGATGCTCCAGCCGAAGTAGTGCGTGTGGATGGTGTGAGTGTGCCATGTTTCCCCCGGGAGCGGGACGGGGAGCCAGTAGTCGGCTTCTGGGGGGACGTATTGGGTTGACATCGTAGAAGAGATGGATGGATCGTGATATTCGCTTGCTTAGATACCAGAATGTAAGGAAATGAGAAACGAGGTTGAGATTTTGTATTGAAAGCTAGAGAGCTATATGCTTGACTTTTCAATAAGATCGCTATAATTCAACCCCGGAATCCACGGAGGCTGATTTAGTCCTCCGCATTATTCGTTACCAATGGTTGCATCCCGTGCTATCCTGCGGTCGGTACGTAGTGTCAGTCAACGCTCGAAGAGGGAAAGTGGTGATGGCTGACTTGACCATGATGGATTCAAACTGGTATCTCGGAGCCCGGAACCATGCCGCCGGCCAGGAGTGTGAATAACTGGAGAAAGAGATGTATCTAGCCCCTCTATTACCCCAAGATCTCCGAAACCGAGGTGAGGGGTAGTCAGGGCCCAAGCTTAATGATAAAGAGATTTCAGAGTATGATTACCCATTGTGATTGGACGTCGAACTGGGGAGCTTGTTCTGCTCCATTGGACGCGGAAAGATCCAAGTCAACTGCCAAATTGCATGCAACTCAAAATGCACGAGGGAGAAATTCATTGAACTGAGGGCAAATGGTGAAAGCGCTCGAACAGATACTCTATCATATATCTCTTCCTGTGAATGAGACCAACATCAATAGGACTAGATAACAAACTAGCCTCAAAATAGCATGACGTCAAAGCTCCCAGAATGCATTGATGCAACATGTCTTCTAGAATAGCTTACAGCCTATGCTTGGTCCTTAGCCAACTCAAACCTTCTTCCTCAGCCTCGATCCAAGATTCTTCCACGATCTTGGCGTGTTTTGGGCTTCTAGGCTCAAAGTGACATGCGAACTTCTTGGGTACGCATAGAAATCCATCTTCCATAGTTCCTGGAGGTGTCACTTCTCTACCGTCAGGGCCTTTGGCTTTTTTCACGTCGAAAGCCCAAAGTGTCCGTGCCATATTGATGAAAAGCGAATTCTGGGCCACATGAATACCAGAGCAGACACGACGGCCGGCTCCGTAAGTGTAATGATCTCGAGCGTTAGGGTCAGCGGCATTGAGACATTCGGCTGTGGACAGAGGGTCGTTGACGTAGCGGTCGGGGTTGAAAGCTTGAGCGTCTTTGTGGAATTTCTCGTCGAAGTGGATTGACCTGAAGATTGTGTAAGCTTGTAGCCAAACAAAGAAAGCTACTTTATTGCGGCGACTCACCACCAGTTGAGAACGACGACTGATCCCTTCGGGATGAAGTACCCTTCATACCAGTCGTCTTCAGTAGTGGAGTGACTGACACCAATCTTAGTAATCGGTCGCCAGCGGAGAGTTTCCTTGGCCATGGCTCTGATATAAGGCAGATGATTTTCATCTTCGAAAGTAGGCATTCTATCCTGGCCGACCACGCGGTCGAGCTCTTCTTGTGCCTTCGTGACAACTTCGGGATAGAGCAAGCATGCTAGGAGCCAGCTGTTGATGGCAGTAGAAGTAGACTCACTCCCAGCCTCTACGAGTGTACCCGCAGCGTATGCAGCACCCTCCTCATCGACGCCATTTTTCTCGGGATTGCTCTCGTAGAAGTCCCGGACAAAGCAATCAGGTGCAGTGCCGTTCTTTACTTTCTCAACTAGCTCGCGATAGAAACCGAGGTAGATTGCAGAGTCTTCTGCGTGCCATTCCCGGCCAATCTTCCACCAATTCTGCACCATCCATGATGGTAGATTCGCAAGGGACGGGAATGCATCAACCAACCAGGCACCGGGCTCAGCCATCGCGGTGAAATGCTCAAGAACTTTGAAAATTTTCTGAAAGGCTGGATCTTCCATAGTGGCTACACGACGGCCATACGTAATCAGCATGATTAAGCTGTTGGAATACCGTCGGTTGATGTCGTAGAAGTCGGTATCATTCTTGGCGTGCAGAAGGTCATATACCACTTGCTTGGACTCAAAATCTTGCACCGATTTGTATGAAGAAGAGGTCGTGAGGTTCAGAGCTGCGTGGCTGATTTTCCGCACGTTCCGCCAAATATCACCGTATGGCATGAAGAATTGGCGTTTTTGGTTGGAAACGGCATCAAATGCCATGGGCATATGCGGTCGATCGCTGTACTTTTGTCCACGCTTATCCATAAGGTCTTTCACGACGGTAGGCGTGTTGAGGAAGACGAAATCGGTGCCTCCGATCTTGGCGTAAGAGATCTTGCCATACTTCTGCGCCCATCCTAAGCAAACTTCAGGAAGCTTATTGGCGTCTGCAAAGTCAAGGAGACTCCCAATGAATGGCAGTCCTTTCGGGCCAGGTGGCAAGTTTTTGCGACGTTTATCGTACGTTGATATTTTGTATACTGCAATGATAATCTGATGCTTTTCGTTAGATACACGTGACGATCGCCTTAGTGGGGGGACTTACTGCGAAAGAGGCAGCCAAGTAGGTCAAATAACCCCCTGGTACTTGAGACTTGGCTGGGAGGAGCTTCTCAATGGTCGCGAGGATAGCCATGGTCGATTGCGATGCTCTATCGTTAGGTTTCTGGCGGCCGTGACTTTTCCAAATTAACAGATCCAGAGGGTTACTACGCAAGATGAATGTAGATACACATAACTACACGTGCCATATCCACACCATACAATTGAGCATACAACGTATCGCGGACACTCCCTCCGGCCTTCCGAAGGCTAAGTCGATCCATTCGGGGAGCTGGGTTGGATATAATGTGGGTTCCCCGGAGCTCAGGACAGGGGTATTGCCCCGGCTTGAGATTGACGCGGCTACTGATGGGGTACTCCGGTTCGAGTCTTAATGGTGGGCTGACCCGAGGACATAGTAACAAAAAAAGAACGACACAGCGTTTGATATCATTATGTCTGGCTTCAAGGACGAGGTAAGCAATGAATTACACCTACCGAACCCTTCCAGGCAGGAGGTATGCTAATTCGAGAGGCAGAAAACACTTACAACCATCCCGGAGCTTCACAAAGACCTTCCGGGACCTCCAAACAAAGTGAGTGGTGACGGGATGGGAGGACGTTCGAAGAAAGGGGAGGCTTAGCCCGAACCGAGCCACTTACTAAGCACCGCGCTAGGACCACGATCTCAAGCTCGTGAAGGCGGAGGAGGAGATTCTTCAACATTACAAGGACTTTGCCTACTTCTGCAACTTCGACTGTAAAGACCACCCCGACTGGGGCAAGAAGTTTTATGACCTCGATGAGGCCATGTACTTCGACCTGATGGGGTCGGTCCAACGGCCTGGATTCCGCCCTCACTACGACAATATCACACCCTATCTCGCAGATGCACAAATCGCATTTAAAGACCTCGAGATCACAGCTGTAACCGAGACTTTTGGATATGCAACTGCCCTACAGAGATATTGGGGAGTGGCTGCGGATGGAAATGCTTTTGACTTCACTTTCCGCACTACGAGTCTCGTCCGCAAGAGGGGTGATGGCAATTGGAAATATATCCATGAGCATTTCTCATTCCCAGTGAACATGGCTACACAGAAGGCGGATCTTACTAGTGGCCTGAAAATAGAAGAGAATATCAGGCTGGAATAGACGGAAGAGGTGCTCTGCAAATGGACTATGACACCTTGGAATCATAGCGAATAGCATATTGTGCACTGTCAGCACCTATGAGATCTAGTTTTTCCATCATTATCAATGCAATCCCGCAACCACTAGGTTAACATATCCTGACATACTGGTTCGGGGCCGTAATGCGGGTCATCCCGGAACTAGACCCTTCCCCGGTCCCTTTGGTCATGGGACTTGCTCAAACACATTAATCGATTTAGTCCGCTTCCTCGCTCCGAAGTTCAGCTTCTTAAATTTTCAAAGACAATCGGCATATGCCTCAAAACTTCGAACATCACCATGTCCGGCTTTCCTTCACTTCAGCCTGCTTTCACTGTTCGTCTTCAAGCAACAGTACCATATGATGTCGGTAGGTACATCCGGTTACTGCTTATTCGAAGTTTGTTCTGATCAACATCTAGGAAATGTCGCAACTGGCGGTGGACTCCAAATTACGGTATGTTTCTTATTTGAAGCTACCGATATTGCTACACTAAATAGCCTCTCAGCCAATCGTTACCGGTTCGATTAAGAGCGAGCCCGGTTTCGAACCAGCTATAGACGGCGAAGTTGTCTACGGGTCAGACTATGTTCGCCCTGAACCAGGACAAACGCACGCACGCATCAACGTGAATGCTGCGATCAAGTAAGTGACATCAAACACCTTTCAGATCGACCACTGACTTCTCACCTCTTTTCAGGAACGTAGATGGAGCAGTAAGTTAATATGGCGAACAAATCTACTACATCTGTGTTAATAAGATGCACAGCTCCTCTCGTACTCTTACACCGGAGTTGTTGGCTTTACCGAGCAGTTCATAAAGATTCTGCTCCACAGCCCAGATGCGACAACAACGGACTATGGAGACGCATGTAAGTGACTACAGGAACCATTGAGAGTGTAGGGCTAATTTTTTGATAGTCTCTCAAATCAAAATTGAGGTAAGAGAACTCCAGTATGTAAGTAGAAGAGCTAACCATCCATCTAGACCGGAGCAGAGCACCTCAAGGCTCTTGAGCACAGCCTGTTTGTGGGGTCAGCACACTTCGTCATTGAAGAGGGCAAACCCATGATTATCGAAACCAAGGTTAGCAAGATTGTAGGATGAGAGATTTAGAAGCAACATCTAGTCCAGAAGTGGTCACTATCGTCAGTTATTTTCCAGAATATACTCAGCGCTTTGGGCTCTGCTTGAATTCTCAATGTCTCTCCGCGAGCTCCACAGTTTGACCTCATGTACTCTGCACGAGTCATGCGAACTATGCCCCACCTTCGAGTGCCATCTCACCCCCGCATTTGGTGTTTCCCCGAACTTCGGCTCAACTTTCCGGGGCATCTGTTTTCCACTTGATATGACGTTCCCAGGTCTGTTGCTGAATTCGTGAGCTCCTTCATCATGATCTTTCCTATTTTTTTCTCTTTCAGATCGAGAGACTCCTGCCCACGCGAGCTCGTGACCTCTCGGAACGCGAAAACCCGTTTCGTTAAACTTGATAAACGCCTTGGATGCATATGTTTACCTCATTTTCATGGAGAACCCGGATCAGCCACTTCAGAGGGGGGTGCATCCCCAAGTTTGCGCCTCTTTCCGCTAGTACAGTACATGCTCCCCGGTCGCCTGCCATTACAACCATCTCGGAACGATCATGTTCATAGTCGGAGGCCGGAGAGTGCCTTGACCGGGATACTCGACCCATGCATGCCCCGGGGGTGCCTGCTATACAGAGCTCCATTGAGTCGAAGCTCGGAAACCAACGATGAATAGTCACTGAAATCCATGCCACGGCTTTTGAGCTTGTATCTCTGCATCCTCAAGACCTTTCATCATCTTCAAGCTCTAAGACATCATGCCTCACGGTCCTGTCGGTGACTTCGATCTCAATGGCAAGATCGTGCTTATAACCGGAGGCGGTGGGGGTATGAACAATCTCAAGCTCATTCCATGATACTCTCTACCTTCAATTATAGAGCACCTTGGCTAACTGTATCAAAGGCATCCATCTCGAGCTCGCGAAGCTTGTTCTTGCGGAAGGAGCCAAAGTCATTATTGCAGACCTACGTCTTCAACCCGATGGTGAAGAATTCGTGAAGGCAATTCCGAAAACCGTTTTCTTCCAAGAGACCGATGTGGCCAAGTGGGCAGAGCTTAAGAACCTAATAAAGGTGTCTGAGGAGAAGTTTGGGGACGTCCCTGACGTTTATGTCGCTGGTGCCGGTGTCTTCGAGCCGGTAGGTGATGCTACCCTTGCCCATACCCACTATCCCGAAGGCGCAGTTGAATGGAGTAAGATAAATGAAGTTCTACTAATATTTACTATGTGCAAAGCCGTCGTCAGATTTCTGGGAAGATAATGAAGACGAGCGCTACGCCTACGTTGACATCAATGTCAACCACCCCCTAAAGCTCACTCGTATCGCCGTCACTGCCCTCCTCAGCAAGAACAAGAAAGGTGTGGTAGCCATTATGGCTTCAATGGCAGGCTATATGGGACAGGATGTGGCTCCCATGTATTGCACCACAAAACATGCCCTGATCGGCTTTACTCGATCAATGGGTCAAACCGATCGGTCGCAAGGTGTGAAAGTCGTTACTATTGCACCTGGGTAAGTTATATCATCTCTCCTTAGAACCCAATATGTATTTCTAATATTTTTACTATATCAGTATTGTGAGAACTCCGCTCTGGTTAAACCACCCAGAGAAGCAAGCACGGTACGGATACACTGATGACATCGCCATTGATGCGATTGACGTCGCAAAGGGATATATGAAGATCATCAAGGAGGGCAAGTACCCCGGAGGAACGGTCTTCGAGACCTCCAAAGCTGGAGAGAGGACAATCGGAACCTGGTTCGTCTCGCCGCCCGGATTCGACCCGGACACCCCCGTGGAAGGAACTAGTGTGCCGCAGGAGGCATTGGATCAGGCTTACCAACCTATAAATGATATATTGAAGAAAGAAAGAGGTACTGGAAAGACAGTCAAGTAATGATGGAACGAGCTCCATATCATCGAAATGATCTATATATCACAGTCAGAGCATATCACTGCTGTATGGGAAAGCCTTAAAGTCTTGTGCCAATATTGGCAATAACCACAACGGGTTTGATGGTCTACCCTCATTGAAGCTGGTGCGGTACTGCATACCTGTATTTAAACATTGCCTTGTTTTCCTTGCTATGAAAACCAGTGTAGCCTCAGTGGTAAAACTTGGGAGTTAATGACTCGATATAGAGTCTGTGGAAACCTGGACGTTGTACGCAGACTGATCGCATGTGCAGCTATAGCATGCATCAATTGCTGCCCAGGTGAGTATGAGCGAGCCGTGAAGTGCATGAGATCATCTTCCGTCTACATCTTTCTTCGTTTGCCTGGGTTCGAAGGTCGTTCGAGGTGATGCTCTTTTTGCTAGTCGTGCAATGGCATCTTAATCAAATTTACTTCGAATTCACCTTCCCGTTCCATCCATAGTTCATGTTTGTTTTGAGTTTAATCGAAACAGAATGCTCAAAGATCTGTAATTCGAGGGTTTCTTCGACACCTAATCATTGTTGACAACATAAAACCCAGCCTCAGCCTTCTCGCCTTCCGCCGACATCATCGTCGCAATCGTCCAATCCTCATGAACATGGCCTTCCGGTACATTCGTCGAGGTGAAAGGTGCTTGCTTGAGAACATTCGCAGTGACGGCGTCGAAGTTGTCGTACGCATACTGCTCCGCGTCATGTCCGTTCAGCCACACTGGCTGCGGCAGCTTCAAGAAAGCTGGGTTATTAGCGACCCCCTCCCAGTCGGTTTGATGCCATCTGTGGCGGGTTTCCCACCCCATGCGCTGCGTCAATGCGGTCCGCTCGTACCTTCAGATTTGATTTCATTAGCGACTTATTGTCGAAGACTCAGGTTAGGTTTGCTTACCGTAGCGCAATGTACGATCTTAGAGCAAGCGGCACGTCTTCAGTATTCTCCAACAATGCCGCAATTGTTGCGCCGTCTTCAATAGCTGATGCACCGCCAGTGCCGGAGGTCGGCAGATGAGGATGAGCTGCGTCGCCCACTACGCAAACGCGGCCCTTATCCGAAACCCACTTCTTCACCGGATCGCGCCACAGTAGCTTATGGTCAATCAATCCATCCTCTGGAATCGATTTGACGAGTTGAATGAGCTTTGGATCCCAACCTTCAACAGCTCGCTCCATTTCCTTGACATCACCTTTCAGGTGCCACGACTCTGCAATATCGGAATAGTCCTTATGAGTTGCAAAGACGGTGCAAGTCTGGAGATTGACGTTGGTGGTAAGGATGGCGTGTGTATCCTCTGCGATCCAGATGGCGAACATGTCTTTTTTGGACTCCGCAATATACTTCGTAAGAGGATGATCAGCGATCTTGCTTATTGGGAACCAGCATCTATACACCGCGAATCCGCTCTTTTGGGCTTTGTCTGCTACGCCGGTGACATAGGCACGGCCTTTGCTGTGTACACCATCCGCTGAAATAACGAAGTCAGCAGTGAGCTTCTCCCCATTGAGGATGATGCCAGCTTTGTCGCCCTCCTCAAAGTACTCGTTTACCCGAGCGTTGAAGGTGAATTCGACCCCAATAGACTTCGCATATTCGTAGCAGAAGTTCTGCACTTTAGTCCGGTTCGTGTAGATGTTAGGGAATCCGTCGAACTCTTTCGGCAGTGGTTGCTCGAGCATGACCTTGCCATTTTTGTCTTGGATGGCTAGTGTGTCTGGCTGTGACTTTATTTTCAGAATCTCATCTAAGACGTTGCCCCATTTATTCATGATACGGGTGCAGTTCGAGCCCAGCATGATAACATCGCCTAGAGCCGGAATCAGTGACCCGAGTCACATTCCTTTCGACGTCGACCTACCCTGCCTGGTGAGATCCGGAGAGGCCTCAAAAACATGAGCTTTGAATCCATGTCTCGTGAGCTCAATCGCACTAGCAAGTCCACCGAATCCTCCACCGACAACGATGACACTGAGATCTTTCTTAGCCATCTTGAAAGTGTGTGTTCTCAAAGCACGAAGATCGCAAAATTTGCCTATGATGAATCAGGTAAGCCATCTTGATAGTTGTACCTAAGTGCTGTGGTAATGCTGGTCGGAGGTGTAGGTAGGCCGCCGAGTGTTCGCGGGGATGTCAGCACATCCGGAGCTCGGCCAGACCTTGTTCCCTAGCTACCCATACCAAGCTCGGAGCTCGGGTCGAACTTGTCCCTCTGGCGAATTATGGTCCAAAGTATTGGTCCAAGAGCTTAGGATCCGAGGACCTCGCTGTAGCGGCTGTAAGCTTCGTCGATGATGGTGGGGTAGGGAGCTTCGAGCTTCGGAGCTTGTTTGGCGAGGGGAGCTCTTGAAGGCGTTGAATAGTCTTTTGTCTCCAAACCTCAATTGCATAACTATTTCTGCATCTGTCTCCAATTTCTTTTCTATTTAGAGCTATTGCATTTCTCGCGTCCTCTGATTCCTCTATCTATGAACAAAATGGCACAGCAAAGAGTTCCAATATGGCGCCCTTCGCACGAAGACCTGAACGACTCCGCGATGGCGAGATTCAGAGACTACTCAAATAAACGCTACAATCTATCCTTAAGCTCTTACGCGGAGCTCCACGCATGGTCGATAAACCCCGACACTGCGGACGACTTCTGGCTCGCGCTGTTCGACTTTCTGGACATGCGCGCAACAGCTCCCCCAAGAGCAGCTTTTGAACCTGTCCGTGAACCCTCATAATAGTTTACACAGATATATTCAGCATTGGCTTACCACTACAGGGAAGCAGCATGGCGGAAACATGTACCCCTCGCCCAAATTCTTCCCCAGCGCAAAGATGAACTTCGCCGGAAGTGTGCTCCTAAACCGCGACCCCAATGGAAGAGCAATCCTCGAAGTCGCCGAAGCATCCCTAGATGCCACTGTCATTACCTGGCGCGAGCTCTACGACATCGTCGAGAAAAGCGCGGACGCGATGCGGAGTCTGGGTGTGAAGACTGGAGATCGAGTTGCCGCAGTCATCGGAAATACCGCGCAGCCCATTATTCTGTGCCTAGCGGCACTATCAATTGGCGCGATCTGGTCGTCGGTATCCCCGGAGTTTGGAGTCCAGGGAATCTTGGATCGCCTGGTACAAACTACGCCCAAGCTCGTTTTCTCGGACACGTCTGTGATGTATAATGGCAAGCTTCGGGATTTGGTGGATACTGTACAGACTTGGGCGAAGACGGTTGCCCGAGGAGAGGAGCTGGTACATATTGTGCTTACTTCCTCGGATCCGAAGCAGGCTGCGTCGATTGAAAAGGGAGTCACGTTACCAGAGTTCTACGCCAAAGGAATTGGCCGGCGGCTGGTCTTCGAACAGCTACCATTCTGTCAGCCCGCATTCATCTTTTACTCTTCCGGAACTACTGGCGCACCAAAATGCATTCTCCATACTGCGGGCGGTGTCCTTTTGCAAGTGAAAAAGGACTACATAGTCCAAATCGGTTTACGCCCAGGCGATCTCATGTTCCAATATACTACAACTGCATGGATAATGTGGGCATTCGTTCTCTCCGCGCTAGGAACCGGAGCAGCCGTGGTGGTATATTCTGGATCGCCTCTTTATCCTGATGTAGGGTTCTTGCCAAAGCTGCTCGCAAAGCTGAAAGTCAACGTCTTCGGGACATCTGCAAAGTACCTTACGGACCTCATGGATAGCAACAAGCGTCCCCGGGATGAGCACGACCTTTCTGCTTTGCGGAAGGTAACATCAACGGGATCGGTCCTTCCACCAGACGTTGCGGAGTGGTTTTATGCAAAAGGATTTCCTCCGAATGTTCAGCTGATATCTGGAAGCGGTGGCACAGACTGTTCGTGCGCTTGTAAGTGCTTCAGAGTTAACTATATCCTTGAATCCCTTTCTCTAATATTTCACAGTTGTCGGCGGCTCACCTCTCCTCCCTCTGTATGCCGACGAGATCCAGGCAAAAGTGCTAGGAATGGCTGTGGACGTTTTCGACCCCAGCCATCCGGAAGGCGTCAGCATACATGCTAGCAATGAGCCCGGAGAGCTGGTCGTGAGGCAGCCATTCCCCAGTCAACCGGCCACATTCTGGGGCCCGGGAGGAGACGCAAAGTATCGGGAAGCATACTATGACATGTTTGGACCAAAGGTCTGGGTCCAAGGCGACTTGATCAGGATTTCGACGACGACGGGCGGCATACAGATGCTCGGGCGATCGTAAGTGACTTCGGAAGAGAGAACGGAGAGAATATATGTGCAATAGTTGACGTAAAACTTACTTAGCGACGGTGTCTTGAATCCCTCTGGCGTCCGCTTCGGTAGCGCTGAAATCTACGCTGTTGTTCGCCTCTTTCACAGCATTGCTGACAGCGTCTGCGTGGGCCAGCGCCGGCCGCAAGACCGCGATGAATCTGTCATCCTGTTCCTGAAGATGGCGGAAGGCCAAAAGCGGACACAAACCCTCAAAGATCAACTTAAGGCCGAGATTGGTAAGCAGCTGAGTAGACGACATGTGCCCAAATATGTCTTCTACGTTGACGACATCCCGTACTCGCACGTGGGTAAGAAGTTGGAGATCTTGGTAAAGAACGTGATTAGTGGGCGAAACAGCAAGAGTAATGTGGTCGCAAACCCAGACGCCGTGAGCCTGTATCAGAAGTATTTTGATGTCGAAGCAGCGGCAAAGGAAGTTGATGTGGACGAGGTCGCTAAGCTATAGAAACTAGATTTCGTGTACTGTGTTGTCAATAGGAACATGGATGTACTGTACCCTAAACTTATAGAGGGAGTTTGTAAGGTTTCCATTTATATATGGAGGTCGAGGTAGCATCCATTCCCAGCCAGGCTGCGGTTTCATTGGTGTAAACAGTTCCAGAAAAATCATCGATTCGCTTCAATTGCGAGTGGGAATAATGCGACAGCTACTGTATGACGGAAAGAAACGCCTTCAAATCACCTGACTCCCATAGCCTTGAACCATGGCGCAGAGTCCTGTATCCATGTCAATGGGACTCGCTTCAAGAGAGGAAGATTATGATTTCTTACAGCCCAAGATTTATATGATGCGATGACTGGAGATGTGCTAGTGTCGCCTTTGAGTACGAACTGCGCAATGTACTCGACGGAGACAGAGTTGCCATTCGTCAGTGTTGCAGAGATCTGTCCCATGACGAGGACGTCGCTGTAATCGGGCCTGAAGCTGTAAACCTTCACAGGCTGATGCTTTCGTGTCGCGATCATATTCCAAGACTTCGGCCGGGCGGCCGCAATATCTGTATACCATGAATTGTCAGTGTTATAGAACGAGATCTTCCGAGGATCTCGGAGGAATTGAACCGAGGATGCCAAGGTTCGGAGCATGATCGGCCATCAGCGCAGCGCGGATGATCACCACAAGGTAACAAATCGTGGCGTGGATCTGAGACGGTAAACATACCAGCTCGTCCCGTAGATGCTCCCGCCAATCCATACATTATACCATCCTCGGCGAACAAAGCGGCGAACCTCTCCGGGGTGGTTTCCTCCTTGCTGTCGGCTAGGGAATAGAACTCAATTATAAGTTCTTCGACCTTCTTAGGGAAGTCCGGAGTTGGCCAGGATATAGAGACCATGGTATTAAGATATTGATGTAATCAAATGAAGCTGACTTGTCTTGAAGATCGAGAGATCGTGAGCAGATGAAAGAGAAGAAAAGGATGGATGTGACAACGCATTTGAACCCAAGTTTCGTACGACGGCCATCCCAGTTAGGTAGCCAGAGATGGTAGAATCAACGGGACCTTCCACTCGTAGTCTGACTAGCCACGACGACCGTGGGGGCGGGGCACACCTGGGCATCATGAGGCCAAAGAGAACGAAGACGCCCCCATGCGGGAGCCGGAAAGGTATGCTCCGAAGAGCTCCAGTCATCACATGGGTCTCGGAGCATTTTGGCTACATAAAAATCCAAATACTTTATAACGTCGAAGCTCAGGTCCGTCGTGATTTTCGAGCAAGCCGGCAAAACTAGCATTCGTAATGGAACACACACTGCCTGACGACACTGTTCTTATTGCAGGTGGAGGACCTGTTGGACTCATCCTGGCGACAGTCTTGTCGTTCTATGGTGTTAAGTCACTTTTGCTGGAGAGGAACGATACGACAACAAAGTAAGTCCGGTCCTTGCCTCGTTGCGGTGGCGGCAGGGGTGTCTGACCACCGTGAATAGATGGCCAAAGATGGACTTAACCAATTGCCGGTCTATGGAATGGTTTCGAAAGCTCGGCTTAGCTGAGCTTATTAGGAGCAAAGGTGAGCCTCGGATTCCATGCTCCAAGTCCCATAGTTCCTCGGCAAGCAAACTCTTGCTGCAAAGCCTTGTTTTGCACCTGTGTACTAATCTATCACGATCAAGGCGTCTCCTCCGAAATACCTTATACTGTCTTGGTATCCAGTGGTTTGGATAAAACAGAGGCTCTTACGAGCTGGAAACTCCCTGGAGTGGACCAATGGCGGAAGATTATTGAAGAGAAAAACGATGGCACTCAGCCACTAGAGCCGTATCAAAGACTTTCGCAGGCACTATTCGAGAAAATCATGAAAGAGCGCTGCGACAATGACCCCGCTGTAGATGTGCGATTCGGATGGAAGGTTGAAGGGGTCGAGGAATTAGAAGACGGCGTCAAGACTACGGTCACAGAGGTTTCCACAGAAAAGCGGCATATCTTCAAGTCGAGATACGTTGGTGCCTGCGATGGAGCATCTAGCAAGGTTCGGCGTAGCTTGAAAATGCCACTAGATGGCGGACCAATGTAAGTCGTGCATGCACACCTGACGTTGCGAAGAAAAAAAAGCAAAGCTGACAGAGACTCGCAGCCCTGGCTATGTGCTCCTGGTGCATTTCAAATCCAAGGATCTCGCGCGTATTCGTAAACAGGGCCAATTCTGGCATTTATTCGTCCTCCAAGCCGAGGCCGGTGGATTTGGCGGAGCTTGCATTGCCCAGGATGAGGTTGATACGTGGACAGTGCATTTGAATTTCCCTCTGGATGTTAGCTCTGACGGTGTCGGATCAGAAGAAGCCGTATACAAGGTCTTCGGTGGTCTCGGTGGGCTGTATGAGATCAAAATCGACGAGATCCTTGTACGGTCGACATACCGCCCACATATTGCTGTCGCGCGAAAGTACGCCAGCCCGCTTAGGCGAGTTTTCCTGGCGGGAGATGCGGCACATCAAAACATACCGACTGGCGGCTATGGCATGAACATGGGAATAGCGGACGCGGTCGATCTAGGATGGAAGCTAGCCATGGTGATGAACGGTACCGGGAAATCGGGACTATTGCAGGCGTACGAGGAGGACCGACGACCAGTCGCGCTGATGAGCGTTGAGCGGTCAGGTGTACACCTCGGTGTGCATATCAAAGTGGGCGAAATTCTCGGCGCCGACCCGCATATCATCGACTCCAACACCGAAGAAGGACGACAGAAACGGACGGCGTTAGATGAGCACTACCAGGCGCATGATAACGAGAACAAGGACTTTGGAGTTGAGATGGGATATCGATACCAATCGGGCATCTGCATTCCCGACGAGTCGACACCGGCGCCAGAATTCGACCCCACGGCGTACCACCCCAGTACCTGGCCGGGCGTGCGTGCTCCCCATGTCTTCCTGAAGGACGGGTTCCCTATCTTCGACCTCTATGGCAAGTACTTTACTTTGGTGGAGTTTGCCGACGGCAGCGAGCGGGGATCAGGCCATGTCTTGCAAGCGGCCGAGGCGGCGTCGACTCCAGTGAAGCATGTCAAGCTGGACGGGGAAGATCATGCATACGGTGTCTGGGGCGCTCGGCTGGTGCTCCTACGTCCAGACGGGCATGTGTCATGGAGAGGCGACGCTGTTGCAGACCTGGATGCTGCAAAGACGATCGTGGGCGTCGTTACAGGGGCAGTGCAAGGCGTCGACAAGCTGTCGAATGAGGACCGCCAGCCCGAGGCCTTCACGTCGACAGTGGGGATGAAGACGCAGGACAGCGAGTTCGAATTCGAGAAAATTGGCGACATGCAGAAGTAGAATTGCGCCGGTGGAGGGGTGAAATTAGTCCGCTGTGGTGTCAGAGGACGTTGAGTCGGATCCGTCATGTCGGGATGTGGTCTGTGCCCGGGTGCTAAGGCTGAAGCTCTCGTGGTGGAGAGGTAGCAGAACGGATATGCGCCATCCGCTATCCGCCTTGCGAGTGACTGTGAACCGGGCCAGTCAGGACAAAGGGACACAGGCAGCATATAAAGGCGCGGCTATAGCTATCGGTCCAACCAAGGCTTGCATGTATCCAATGTCACGTGAACAAAGCCGAGCCAATCAGAGCCGAGCCTCACAAATCAGCGGATCAATTTCAGTGAAGCACCAAATGGTCCACATTGCGTCACCCACACCCCTGGGGAATGGAAGTATTTCTACCGCTATTTGAGTACCGTCTCGAGGAATTGGTCCGTGGCTCCCAAAGGAACATAGGAGGTACCCCGGAGTACCTAGCATCTGAGCGTGGTCATGAGGCATGCATCAACCCGAAACCCCGCATTCTCGGCTCTCTCCACGGTGAATCAAATGCCTCTCCTAGTCTTGGGATCCCAGGGGAGAAACGTGGCACCGTGGCTGCTGGGAGGTGACCACTTAGCGCCCTTGAATCGTCAATACCTCCCCCTGATTGGAAGAGTGCTCAGTACCCCATTGCGCCCCGCACTGCGCTTGCACAAATCAGTCCGGCTGCGGGGAGACCCGGCCTCCGAACAGCCTTGAACGCGTTCGATTTGGCCCACTGCGAAGAAAGCAGATAGAGTTGCGACCTGGATGCGGGCGAGGTCGCGCGAGGTTTTGCGTTGAGTTGAGCGCAGTTCAGCACCTCGAACTTCGTCTCTCTTGATTCTTACATTCGCCATGCCTACTCCAAGGGAAGGAACGAAATGCACAGTTGCGTGCAACTTCTGCCGACTAAAGAAGGTCAAATGTGAGTAATTTGAGGTTTTATGGTCGTGATGCATGTTTCCTGCGCTTTTTGGAGCTTCCGAGAGCTCCAGGCGCTCGATAAAACGCGTAAAAGCACTTCTTCCGAGCCCATTCTCTTCTTTTTGCGTTTAACTGAAGTTCATAGACTGAAAAGATCACTAATGTTGAGAATATGCTGACAATACATTTAGGCAATGGAGCTCGTCCCTGTACCAATTGCACGGTATATTGCGAACATCCAGCGGACTCGGATCGAACATCTACTGAACAATTCTCAGGATCACCGAGAGAATTGTGTATATCCCATAGTACACCAGCGGACACGAAAGAAGGCCAATGAGGCGAACAAGGTGCTAGAGGAGCGACTCGCCCGCATGGAGACCCTCCTACAAGCCAGTATGGCCGGCCAAGCGCAGGCGCAAACTCCCAACCTGAACATGTCCTATCAAACCCCGGCCCTAACCGAGTGTCAACCGTTCCCGGGGGATATGACTGGCCAAACACCGGCTCCAAACGACTTCCAGAGGGATATGAATCTACTTCGGAGTCCTACCAGCATAGGCCAAGGGGAGAATTCCCTGAACAACGTCATGAGCAATGGCCATAATGGAGATATGGGTGCCCCAAGTTTGCCCCGATTATCAATCCCAAACAATATGCTTCCCAATTCACCACCCCAAACAGCATCACCACAGTCTTCGATTAGACGAATGTCAAACGCCATGTCCGATTCATTCAGCGGCGGTAGGGAGATACTTGAGTATCAACTACCGCAGCATTCCAACGCGAATGTTCCAGAGGAAGCTGTGGTCTCACCTCAGATGGTATGTGGAGACTTATTCGCAGACCTTGACTTCACTAAAATTGTTTAGAGTAACTCTGAGCATCATGGTAGGTTTCTCAGTTCCGGTTGAAGACGATGCCTCTTAAGCTAATCTCGTGGCTCTTCAAGGCCCGGTCTCATACTTGTCCATTTGTTCCAGTCCAGGAATGAAATGGGTGTCGGAGAGAGTTGGAGCATCGGATTTCGCTGCGAGTGCCAGCACACTGTCCCTAGACGTGACACGGAATCTCAAGATGGATCGGAAGATATCCCAACAAAGAGTACCGGACCCAGATCCAGCCACAGCCTGGAGATATACTCAAGGTCCGCTCAAATCTAGAATTCGTTTCATGTCGTTGCTAACTTCGTCAAGCATACTTCGAGGAAAGCCTCGACAAGGTCTTTGGAGTAGTGCATCGACCAATGTTTGAGGCACGGTTGCAAGCACACTTCCAGCAAGAGAATATTGAAGAGGATTCAGCATGGTATGCTCTTCGAAATACCGTCTATGCTTCAGGCTGCAAAATAGTCCACACAAAAGAAGATCGCCCGAATGCCTTCGTTGAAGCTCAAGAGAAGGCTTGGTCGTACTTTGAGAACGCTCTTTCGGTGCACACAGACCTGATATATATGCGCACTGGGTTATCAGCGGTCCAAGCACTACTTGCAATGGTAAGCAACGCGAGTGTTATAGATTCTCATGCTGACACATTTGGTAGGCTTTCTATACGGAGGGGCTTGGAAACCCGGCTTTGGAATACATGTTAGTCTCAAATACTCTCCGCCTCGCTCAGTCGAAGGGACTGCATCGTCAGCCAGTGGAGACCTGGAACATGCGGGAACCGGAAATTCAGCACCGCAACTGGCTATTTTGGGCAATATATGCCTACGAAAAACACATTGCGTACCGCTCCGGAAGGCCGTCAGCCATCGATGATGATGATATTAGCTCCGAGATTCCCACTGCTGTGCTCGCAGGCAGCGCCATCAATTTCGATTTCTTTATTTGCGTCATCAAACATGCCCAGATTGGCTCCTCAATCGCCAGGGAGCTTTGTTCCGTAAAGGCATCAAAACAAACCCCAGATGTCATCATCCAAAAAGCTCACGAGGTCGAACGACGACTGCGAGAGTGGAAAGATAGCATACCACCACATTTGCGACCTGACCTTCCATTCAACCAAGCCTATCTACCACCTGGCACCCATCTTTACCACATCATATATCTCCACTTCGCCTTCTACGGGAGCCTCATCGCCATCCATTCAGTCTTCACATACCCTTGGAATGTCAACGGTTTCACCCGCAACCCCACTCCAGCAGTCCGGGAGCAGATAAACACAAGCACGCAAACGGTAGTTGATGCATCGCGAAAGATCATTCTAGCAACTAAATACATTGACGCTAACGGTTCATGGCCGACCTGGTAAGTTACATCAAAACACTCCTCTCTGCTTTTCCGCGCGCTATGGAAGCTCACATCCGGCTTACAAGTCACGTACTGTATAGGTTGACGTTTTTCTACCCATTACTCGGTCTAATCAACCTCTTCATCTACGTACTCAAGTTTCCCAACCAACCTTCAGCCCCGGCCGACATCGCGCTCATGGACGTCGTCGCCGGGCACTTTGGCTTCCTCGAATTCGCCTCAAACTCCAAAATAGCCTTCCCTTTCACAGGCGAAATCACTAGCTTAGCGCGCGCCACGGTCAAGAAAGCGCGTGAGCGTGTAGTAGGAGGCCCAGAGCAGCAAATGGACCCACCAGCACCAATGACACTCATGGCGGAGCCCCAACTTCAGCAAGGCGGCGTTGAGTCTTTGTATTCGATGGGCGAGGTGAGACCAAACACCTCCAGCTCACACAATGAAATGTTCAATCAGCCTGACAACTTTTCTTTTCTCCAGTTCGGCGGCCTCGACTCCATGGACATAGGCCTTGAGAACTGGCCTAGCTTCCTGCCCTCTTTCTCGCGAGTCTCAAGCATGGCGATGAATGGCTTATTAGGGGATGAGGAGTTGGATTTTATACCCATGAACTGAGTTTGAGGATGAGAAGAGTTGGATCCACTGTTCATACGGGTAATCATAATTGCGCATTAATCACTCCTCGCGGTCGAGGACGGTGATGGCTATCTGGGGGATTCTACGACTGTCTATAACCAACGCCGCAATGGTGCTATATTATGAAAAGGGGGCCTAGAATAAAAGGGGGGAATATCAGAAAGGATTTCTTACTTTGAGTCATCTTAGCTACGGCGCGCGGATTGTATATAATGCCGCCATTCTAATGCACATACATTCCAACACCAAAGCATGTCTTACCACGGCATTTTCTGTCAGCAAATGAAGTTATCAATAACCTCGCCCTTCGCCCATAAAGACGGCCCTTGCCACAAACACTGCCTGGGCCCCCTCGACATCGGCCGATCCACCCGTTCCGACATTCGCGAAATTGCCAGATCTTAGTCTCGGTGCCGACCCACTAGCGCACATGCGATCCCGCTTCCCGCTTCCCGCATCCCCAGAAATAATCCTGGCTCGGTTTCGCCGCATTCACATGCGCTACGCGCAATCCCCAATTTCATTCTTGGGCACCCATCCCCACGGCTCACGGAGCTCCTACCTCTTCCACGCTAGACGCTTACTGCGTACTATATGCAGGGACGCGCGAACGAACCCTCGGTCCAAATCGGTTGCAGGCGGCTACGGCCAGCGTGCATTCACCCCAGCACCAGACATGCGTCCTAATGCGGGGTAGAGAAGCTACCCCAGCTCTCCCAACTGCCGCTAATGGGATCGCCAAAGGCCATCTGAGCTCGACGGGCTACAGGATTCTGGACGACCCCGCGTTGGGCTGGGCGCCGGCCGGGTGAAAGAGGCTTCCGGATGAAAAGGGAAAGTGGGATGTGGTGTAGTTCGTGACGTCTCTGGGCGTAGGGCTAGGCCTCGGTGAACCGTGTTTGTGGTGGCTGAGTCTGGGGCTCGGAGGTTTGGTGGGAATGGAATGTGGCTGAAATGGTTTGGTAGGTTTCATGCTCAGGTGAGGATGGGACGATTGTGCGGGTGAGGTTGAGGTGGCTCCGTGAAAGGTAGAAGTTGAGGACATTGTGAGATGGCTTATAATTTGAGAGCTCTTGGTGGATTCAATGCGTTTCTCTTTACTGCCGTGTGATTTAGCAGTTATCGTCAGTCTGCTTAGGTGAAGAAAAAGGAAGCATCAATTCTCTCCACGCACGTCTTTCTGGGAGTTCTTCACAGTCTCAACCCACGCGAGATGGCAATCAACGACTCCACTAAATTTGGCCCTAAAGTCAAGTCGCCCTCCGCGCTTACTCATGTTGTCCTCCGCACATCAAATTTTGCCCCCATGGTCCAATTCTACAAAGACTTTCTTGGTGCACACACTAGCTATGAGATTGACACGCTCTCGTTCCTCACATATGACGATGAACATCACCGTCTCGCAATCGGCTACATCCCCGGCACCACACCAAAGAATCACGCATCCTGCGGACTCGAACATCTCGCTTTCTCGTTCGATACCATTCACGACCTAGCTCTGACATACCGACAGCGAAAAGACATAGGGATCTTGCCCGTATGGAGTGTGAACCATGGGCCAACGACAAGCATCTATTACCGAGATCCAGATGGGAACATGATCGAGACACAGTCGGATAACTTCAACACGGTTGAAGAAGCCAATGAGTTCATGGCGGGGCCGTTGTTTGGAGGCAATCCTTTTGGGACAGACTTCGACCCGGAGGAGCTTTGTGGAAGCCTAGATAGCGGAGAGGGCCACGAGAGTATCATGAAGAGAGTGGAGATAGGGCCCAGGGGGATTGAGACACTGCCATTTTTGTAATGTTCGAAGGACTCGGGGGTTCGAATGAGAAAAAAGTCATACGCCTTAATCACCGATCCCCAAGCAGGAAAGAAGTTCGATAGCAGACTATGAGAAGACAGAAATGCCATTATGTTCGAGGGGCCTTAGTTAGCAGATGCTTGATGTCCGATCCATCCGGATCCTGAACCGTCACCTTGACAGCCGGACCAAGCGACCTGAGGCCGAACCGAATCTGCTGAAGAACACTCTGGCGATAGCACTTGCTCCGGAGATGTGGCGATCGTTTCTTTTTGCTGGCTTCTTTCTTGTTGATTTCTCGATCCTGAAATTGCTTAGCGGACCATACCCCTCCAATCTCGACATCCAGAACTTGTAGATCGTGGGTACCGGGTGCCCAGACGTCTAGGAATAGGGACGAGAGACACTGCTCCCAGGGCTTCCAGTATTTGAGGTCGCTGCGGTAGAGTAGAAGGTCATTGCCCGGCGTCAGGTCGGTATTGATAGTGAGCAGCACTCGGCGACAGCTCTTGAGCAGCGGAGCTGAGATGAATTCGGTAATTTCGAAAGGCCGGTTGGTGAGAGCTACACAGAGAGGTGGGCTGTCTATGATTATTGGCATTCTAGCAAGCTCTCCAAGGGCTTCATTCTTAATTTGGCGGTTGACGAGGAATATGACTGGTGTGATCAGTCTTGGCTTGTCGCGAATCTTCTCTCGATCTGCAGTCGATAACTGCTTGCGAGCATTGGGTAAAACAGCCTCGGACGACCCGAGTCGTGAGAAGTTCCGAGTTAGGGTTGGCCAGGATAAGACATAGGAGTAGATAATGACCCGGATGTCTAGCGGCAGATCCAAAAAAGGAAATGCTTTGTCAACCGAAGGCGAGCGGACATTGTCGTTGGGATAAGAAATCTTTCAATGTAAGAAAACAACTCTGTTCAGGCTAGCGAACTTGTCCTACCTGCCAATGAGAGGCTAGATTCACAAGTCCGGTGATGCTCTCGTCCAATGCCTGAGTGAGGTATTTTGCTTTTCCGGCCTGCTCCATGGTGGATCAAGGTCGAAGTATGTTATTAGTGATTGCGACAATCATGAACGAGATGCTTGACGACTATGAGTTGACTGTAGATGGAAAAGTGAGGTAGTTCGACCCACGTATCAGATGAAGTGACGGAGGGTTGACAGAACCCTGCAGGCAGCGAGCTGAACCCTGGTGCCACATCAATGTGGCGCTGAACAGTAGCGCCAAGACCGTGCAAACAAGCCAAACACTATACGCGTTCCTAACTCCCAGCGCGTCAACCCACCAGCAACATTACACGCCCATCACTAGTCTCTGCTCGCCACAATGTCTCTTCAACAGCGGGTTCAGCCCCGCCAGGCGCGTATGTGTCCTCGAATTGGATCTAATACTGCGAGAAGCTTGCGCTCATATGTCGAACAGATACCCCTGGCACGACCGTCCTGAGCTACACACCGGACGGCAAGAAATTGATTACCGCTGGGGCGAGCAACCCAATACGCGTTTTTACCAGCGGATCGGACGCAGAACCCATAAACATTGACGATTGCATGCCAGATAACACCTGTGTGGTTGCAAGTGTACGTATTGAGGGATTCTGGTTCAGGATCAAGCTGATCACACGGCGCAGAACACCTTCTTCATAGCTGGCTCCGAGGACGGAACGGTTTGCAAATACTCCTTGGAGACCAACTCGCTTGAAACCATACTTGTACGGAGTACATTGGCTGTCAGAGATGTCGCATTGTCTCCAGATGCAAACTGGGTGGCTGTTGCTAGCGAGTATGATAGTCTTCCATCCTTCTTAAACAGTGCTAATCTGTTGCAGCGAGCTTGTTGTTAAAGTCGTGAACACGAAAGATATGACCCGAGTATTTCGGCTCCAAGAACAACCGAAGGCCGTCAAGCATGTAGCCTTCGACAATAGCGGAACATACCTCGCGGTATCCTGCACGGACGGCCAGATCTACGTATATTCGATGAGCTCTGATGAGCCTCAACTGATAAAGAAGGTGGACGACATGATTAGGAGCATGGGTTCCGCTTCCGAAGCGAGCTCCAAGGTGTTGTGGCATCCCGATGGACGAGCGTTCGCGACACCAACAACAACCAGGGGTATGAGCGTTGCTGGCAACTGATGGGGGCATTGTGCTGACAGTTTGCGCAGAGATACAAGTGATGTCACGCCTTGATTGGCACCGACAGAAGACTTTCAAGACTGATCATATTGGCGACATAACCGCTGCGGCCTGGTCGCCCAACGGCGCATTCCTAGTCACCACTGCCACGGATCGAAAGCTTTACCTATGGGATTCGAAAACGCTCAAAGTGATCAAAACTTACGATGACATCCGAGAAACAGTTCTGGCAGTCGCATGGCACCCAACGGAAAACACCATTTCGTACACTAATGGCGAGGGCCAGCTTTTTATCCGTCCTGGCTTTGTCCCTGAAGAGCACGCTGCCCTACTTCGACAGGGTCTTCAGCCAGCACCCTTTCTTCATGATCCTCTTGCCGAAAATGGAGCCAACGGAGTACGCAGAATAGTCAATGGCCCAGAAAAACTAGCAATGCGAGGAGCACGGGCGGGTACGCCTGATTCTCTGGATGACATGCTCGATGGGATGTCCGACGCTGAAGATGAGGGCTTCGTTGTAGACGACGACGGTGCGGGTTACGCAGATGAGGTGATCAACGGCCATGGGAAACGAACGAACGGTCATCTCGATGCCTACAATGGCGCATCGAAACGGAGGGTTCCTGCTTCACACTCCTTCGAGCCTGAAGTCCGCCCATCATTTCAACCCGGAAGCACACCGTGGCAAGGCAATCGACGGTATCTATGCCTGAATCTAACGGGTTTCGCTTGGACAGTCAGCCAGGAAACTCATCACACGGTCACCGTGGAATTCTACGACCGGGAAGCTCATCGCGATTTTCACTTCACGGACCCATATCTGTACGACAAGGCCTGTCTTAACGATAACGGCGCACTTTTCTCGAGCCAGCCTAACGGTGCGAGCCCGGCAATGATCTTCTACAGGCCCCACGAGACGTGGACTACACGAACCGAATGGCGCACCGAGTTGCCTGCTGGTGAAGAGGTTAGTGCCATCGCACTGAGCGAATCCTATGCAGTTGTGACCACATCCTCAAATTACGTTCGCATCTTTACCCTTTTTGGTGTTCCGATTCGAGTATATCGACAAAAGAGCTCGCCGACCGTAACGTGTGCTGCATGGCGAGACTACGTTATGACAATAGGAAATGGGCCTGTTGGAGGAGATGGCATATGTCGCCTTCTTTATACCATCGAAAATATCAAACGCGATGAAACATGTCAAAGCGAAGACGTTGTGGCACTAGCACCAGGCGCAAGTCTCCAAAGCGTATTTTTCTCTGACAATGGCGTAAGTAAGACCGACTATCCTGTCAAGCTCCAAACTGACACGTAGCACTCAGGACCCGTACATATATGATTCCACTGGCGTTCTACTAACACTTCTTCACTGGCGAACACCATCCCAGGCACGCTGGACACCGCTCTTGGATACACGCCAACTTTCCCGTTTGGCCGCGGGCACGAAGACGGAATCCTACTGGCCAGTTGCAGTTGCAGGAAACAAATTCTACTGCGTGATTCTCAAAGGTGCAGACAAGCATCCTTACTTCCCTCGCTCGATCCTCACAGACTTCGAATTCCAGATCCCGCTCTCCGGGCCGCGCCCGTCTAAGAAAGGGAAAAGCGCCGAGGACACAGAAATGGATGACGACACCAAAGAAGCCGCAAATAAACAGCTGGAGATCGAAGAGCGCTTCGTCCGGAACTCGGTCCTGCTGGCACAACAAGCGGATACGTTCTCCGTTACCCGTACAACGTCTGATCAACGCCATGCTCTTGCGCTTCGGGAGTCCGATGTCAACAAAGCGCTGCTCCAACTCCTGCAGCTCGAGTGCCTTGCTGGAGAGGAGCGCGGCATGAAAGCGCTGGAAATTGTTGGACTATTGAAGGACCCGAATGGGAACATGTTGACGGCTGCCGAGAAGCTGGCGCGGAAATACCAGCGTGATGTCTTGGCTGAGAAGATTCGAGAGCTGGCGGAGCGGAGGCTGGTCGGCTTGGATGCGGACGAGGAGATGGATTAGGGATTCATGAGGGTGCATTTCAGGCGTTTGTTTAGGTATGTTGATACGAGCGTCTAATTCAGAGCGTGTGGAACTTGGCATCATGTTGCTGAAGTCTCTCACCTGCGTGAGGCGCCCGGAGCCGTGTCATACCTCCCAAGATGAAGGAATGAGAATATGCGAATTAGGGTGCTTGTCAAACGAATAGGTTGAGTTGTCATGTCATTTCCTTCGGTCTGATTCACGGTGTCGAAAACATGACATCGTGCTGTTGAAATCTCGCACCTGCGTTAGGCGCCCGGAGGCGTATCACATCCCCCAAGATGAAAGCATGAGAAAATACCATTTACAACGGCCGACAAAATGTAATGATTTTGTAATGTTATTTCCACAGGTCTAATTCAGAGCGTCCGGAACGTGACATTGTACTCTCCCAGACTTCGGAACGTCCTGAGGCGCCTGAAACTGTATCAACGCCTCCAAACGAAACCCTAAGAATGTGCGATTTACAGCGCTCGTCAAAACAATCAAATTTCATGATATCTTTTCCACAGGTCTGATTTACGCTGTCGAGAACGTGACATCGTGCTTTCAAGAACTTCGCAGCGTTCTGAGGCGCCTGGAAGCGTATCAACGCCTCCAAAACAAAAGCTTGAGGATATGCGATTTACAGCGCTCGTTAGAACAATCGGATTTCATCATGTCATTTCCACGGCTCTGATTTACGCTTTCGAAAACGTGACATCGTGCTTTTCAAGACTGTGCAATGTTCTGGGGCGCCCGGACCAGTATCAACCCTCCCAAAACGAAAAGTTTGAGAATATACGACTTGAAGGGTCGAGCAAACGGTTGCAAATAGATCCAGAAGGAACTACGCAAAACTACCCCTAAGTGGCCACGCTTTCAGTGATTTTACTGGACGTTGCGTAGTTAGTTTTACAAGTTATGCTACCATTTGCCCGTCACTTATGGGACTGGTTTTACTAACTTGGGTAGTTGCATTTGGGAGTAATATCACCATTTTCAAGGCGCAAATGTCAGAAATTATGCTTTTTGATTGATCTTACATATGCCGAGGCCCCTATCCCCACCTGCGCCAGGCACCGGCTGGCCCACTGAATCTCACGCTGTTAGTTATTTATGTTGAAAGTTAGGTACATGTTTGGCTGGAAAGCTCCACGCAACCCCTCCTCAAACCACCTTCTCGTCAGAAAGAGCTACGTAAGGAATACTCTTCACGATGCCTCCAGTAACCGGCAGCATAGAGCCCACTCCCGTCAGGAATGAATCCACCTCTCGCGCGCACTGGCGGCCCTCATTGATGCCCCTGCGTGCCATTTGTTAGTAAAAGCAACGAAGCGTGGACGTTTGCGTGACTTACCAGACAATAAGAGACTGACCGCGACGGCAATCTCCCGCAGCAAAGACTCCTGGAATGCTTGTGCTGTACTTGCCAGGCGGGGTCTTGATGTTTGAGCGTGCATCTTTCTCAATGTCTCCCAGAACCAGCTCCTCCGGGCCCAAGAAGCCCATAGACAGTAGGACGAGCTCCGCAGGGAAGAAGCGCTCGCTGCCTTCGAGTTTCTTCATGTCCCAACCGCCGTTGGCTTTTCGGGTCCATTCGACGGAGATTGTGTTGATACCCTTGACATGGCCGGCGCCGTCGTCGACGAAGTCCGTAGACATGACACAATATTCGCGCGGATCTTTGCCCATGTGCGTTTTAACCTCTGCATGGCCGTAATCGACGCGGTAGATGCGCGGCCACTGCGGCCAGGGGTTGTCTCGGGCTCGCTTGGGCTCTGGCTGCGGAAGAAGCTCGAAGTTGGTGATGGAGGTTGCTCCATGTCGTAGGGAAGTTCCGATGCAGTCATTTCCTGTATCTCCGCCGCCGATGACGACCACATTTCGGCCCTTTGCAGATAGATACGATCCATCGGAGAGGTTGGAATCAAGCAGCGACTTTGTGTTCTTGGACAGGAACTGCATGGCAAAGTGGATGCCCTCGAGGTTGCGGTTCGGGAGAGGGAGGTCGCGGGCAACGGTTGCTCCAGTGGCGACGATAACTGCGTCGCTCTCCGCACGCAGCGACTCCAGGCTAGGCTGCCCCTCTTGGCCAACAAACACGGAAGTCACGAACTTCACGCCTTCGCTAGCGAGGAAGTCGACGCGGCGCTGGACAACCTTCTTGTCGAGCTTCATGTTGGGAATGCCGTACATGAGCAGGCCGCCAATGCGATCCGATCGCTCGTACACGATAACAGAGTGGCCGGCCTTGTTCAACTGATCCGCAGCAGCAAGTCCAGACGGGCCAGATCCTATGATGGCGACCTTCTTTCCGCTTCGGTATTTTGGCGGCGAAGGGACCATCCAACCCATCTCGAAGCCGCGGTCGATAATCGCGCACTCAATCGACTTGATTCCGACTGGATCCTCATTGATCCCAAGCACGCACGCCCCCTCGCACGGCGCAGGACACACTCGGCCGGTAAACTCAGGGAAGTTGTTGGTCATCAGCAGGCGGTTGAGCGCGTCCTTCCACTGGTTCTGGAACACAAGCTCGTTCCACTTGGGGATGATATTGCTGATGGGGCAACCAGAGTCGGACTGGCAGAACGGCACGCCACAGTCCATGCATCTAGCAGTCTGGTACTTGAGCTCGTCCTCATTGAGGCGCGTTGACAACTCATTCCAGTCGCGGGTGCGGGTCTTCGGGTTGCGATACTTCTCCGACCGCCGCTGGTACTTCATGAACCCCTTCGTCTTGTCAAGGACTAAAGCAGATTTCTTCTTCTCCGCTTTCGCGTCGCTCACACTCTCCTCGATGTCCAAGAGGTCCGCCTTCTTCTTCTCTTTGGCTTCGTGTTCGTGCTCCGCCTTCTTCGACTGCTCATGCGCCTCCCGAACGGGGTGCCCGGAGAGGATCGGTAGCGAGTATTCCTTCTTCTTAGCCTCCTCTTCTTTCGCTTTCTCTTCGAGGAGGACACGCTTATAGTCCGTCGGCATAACCTTCACGAATCGAGGAAGAGCTCGGTTGAAATCAAGCAGAACGCGAGCCGCGAGCTCCGAGCCGGTATAATGATGGTGATCCTCGATCAACCCTCGCACAAACGCGATCTCCTGAGGATCTTCGATGCCAGACAGCTCCACCATCTCTTGATTGACTTTGCCTTCGAAGTCGTGGTGCATATCAAGGACGTACGCGATTCCTCCGGACATACCAGCCGCGAAGTTGCGACCGGTTGATCCAAGGACGATGACACGACCACCAGTCATATACTCGCAACAATGATCTCCGACACCTTCAACGACAGTCGTCACGCCAGAGTTGCGTACGGCGAATCGCTCGGCAGCGACACCTCGGAAGAATGCAGCACCGCTGGTGGCGCCATACAGACAGACGTTGCCGACGAGGATGTTCTCTTCGGCCTTGAAGACTGAATTTCGCGGTGGGTACACGATGAGGCGTCCTCCGGAAAGGCCCTTTCCGACGTAGTCGTTGGCATCACCCTCGAGCTCTAGAGTAACTCCCGGAGCGAGGAAGGCACCAAATGACTGACCTGCAGAGCCGCGGATATTTGCGTGAATCGTATCCTGAGGTAGACCGACCTCGCCGTAACGTCTGCTTATCTGGTACGATAAGGTGGTACCAAGCGATCGATCGGTGTTCACAATGTCGCACTCAATGCGAACTGGGATCCCCTTTTCGAGGGCGAGTTCCGCCTCCGCAATGAGTTTGTTATCCAGACGAACATGGAGTCGGTGGTCCTGCTTGCGGACATTGTACGTGGCCACGTTTGGTCGAAGTTTATGTGCAGGTGTCAGGATCAACGACAAGTCGATGTTTTCAGTCTTCGCAGTTCGAAGATCGTCACGGATGCGGAGAACCTCGCAATGACCAACCATATCGTTGATGGTTCGGAATCCCAGCTTGGCCATGATGGCCCTGAGCTCATTGGCAACGTAGTAGAAGAAGTTGATGACATGCTCAGGCGTGCCGGTGAACTTCTTCCTCAGCTCAGGATCTTGCGTCGCGATACCGACGGGACAAGTGTTGCTAGACTATGTTAGCATTGATCAGTCGACAAGGGAACCGCAGTACTTGCAGATGACATTTACGCATCATGATGCATCCCATGGCAATCAGAGGTGTGGTTGCGAAGCCCCACTCTTCGGCTCCAAGCAGACAAGCAATGGCGACGTCCCGACCAGTTCGCAGCTGACCATCAGTCTGGACGACGACACGTCCTCGGAGATCGTTCAGCACCAGTGTTTGATGAGTTTCAGCAAGACCGAGTTCCCAAGGAAGGCCGGCGTATTTGATACCAGTCCATCTAGAGGCACCAGTACCACCATCGTGTCCGGAGATCAGAATGTGATCAGCCTTCGCCTTAGCGACACCAGATGCGACGATGCCGACACCAGTCTCAGAGACCAACTTCACTGACACACGAGCCCGGGGGTTCGAGCACTTCAGATCATAGATCAGCTGCTTCAGATCTTCGATCGAATAGATGTCGTGATGCGGTGGGGGGGAGATGAGGCCGACTCCAGGGGTGGAATGGCGGGTTTTCGCAATGGGACCAGAAACCTTGTGGCCTGGAAGTTCGCCTCCTTCGCCAGGCTTAGCTCCCTGGGCCATCTTGATCTGCAGCTCATCAGAGTCGGCGAGGTAGTTGCTCGTCACACCGAAACGTCCGGAGGCAACCTGCTTGATAGCAGAGCGCATAGTGTCACCATTGTCGAGGCGTAAACTCCGCTCAGGATCTTCACCGCCTTCTCCGGTGTTCGACTTTCCTCCGAGACGATTCATGGCCACGGCTAGTGTTGAGTGAGACTCCATAGAAATGGAGCCATAGGACATTGCGCCAGTAACACAGCGGCGAACAATCTCAGTCCACGGCTCAACCTGGTCGATGGGAATCGGGGTTCTCTCATCAAAGTTGAAATCAATCAAACCTCGAAGAGTGCAGTCCTTGATCCTCTCATACTCGGCAATGGAATAGGCCTCGTATGACTTGTCGTTCTTCGTCCGAACGGCATCCTGGATGTTGGCAATGGCAGTCGGGTCATTCACGTGCGGTTCTCCACCGTCACGCCAATGGTACTCTCCGGTTTCGGCAAGGCCTGGGATCTCGACAATGCTTCGCGACGGGTATCCTTTTTCGTGCAGAGCAAAGGCATCTTGAGCAATAAGCTCAAAGGTCATACCCTTGATTCGGCTTGCGGTTCCGGTAAAGCAGCGATCAACGACAGTGTCATCGATTCCGAGGGACTCGAAGATCTGGGCACCCTTGTAGCTCTGGAGAGTAGAGATTCCCATCTTACTCATCACTTTCAGAATGCCGCCGTCGCATGAGTGCTTGTAATTGTCGATTAGCTGCTCTGGGGACAACTTCTTTCGGATCAGGCCCTCGCGTTGCATCTTGAGAATGCACTCTATTGCCAGATATGGGCAGATTGCATCGGCGCCATAGCCGACAAGCACACACATGTGATGAACTTCGCGAGCTTCAGCCGTCTCGACAACCAACGCAGCTTGAGATCGCCATCGATTCCTCACGAGATGGTGGTGTACCATGCCAGTGGCTAGGAGAGCAGACACTGGAACGCGATCTGCTGAGGTTGCACGGTCTGAGAGGACCAAGATGTTGTCGCCGCCTGTAATGCCTTCGGTGGCCGATTCGCAAATACGGTCCAAAGCCGCCATGTATCCCTTGACGCCATCCTTTTTGGGAAATGTGATATCGATGAGCTTAACTGACCAATCAGGGTATAAGACGTGAGTGTTTACGAGAGCATTGAATTCTTCAACAGAAAGAACAGGAGATGGAAGAAGTATCCGATGGCATTGGGTCTCGTTCATCTCAAGGAGATTCCCTTGCGGACCGACGTATGCTTCCAAAGACATGACAATTGCCTCTCGAATAGGATCGATAGGCGGATTCGTAACTTGCGCGAAAAGCTGGCGAAAGTATTCATAAAGGAGACGGGGCTGCGTAGCGAGGCAGGCAAGAGGAGCATCATTACCCATGGACCCGAGGGCTTCTTTCGAGTCTGCTGCCATGGGACCTAGCAACAAGCTGACTTGTTCCAGCGAATATCCGAAAGCCCTGAGGCGGGGATCTTCATGGACGCGGGTGTCCGTTGGCTGGTGTGACAGAATGGTACCCTTTTCGGTCAACTGACTCAGGATTGAGGGCAAAGATAAGAGCTGGGTCTCGATCCATGACTTGAAGTTGTGGCGGTTTGCGACGGTTGCCTTCAATTCGGCGTCGTCGACAATGCGGCCAGCCACAGTATCCACGAGGAGCATACGCCCCGGCTGAAGACGGCCCTTCTGGACGATTCTCTCTGGCTCAATGTTGATTGTACCGACCTCCGAGGCGCAGACAATACGGTCATCATCTGTGATGTAGTAACGACATGGACGCAGGCCGTTTCTGTCCAGATTGGCGCCGCAGTATCGACCGTCAGCGAATGTGAAGAGTGCAGGTCCATCCCAGGGTTCCATCATACAGCCAGCCCACTCGTAGAAGGCCTGCTTCGCTGGATCCATAGCTCGATTTCCCTGCCAGGCTTCGGGAACCATGAGCATGACCGCCTCAGGAAGAGAGAGAACGCCGTTGATGACGAGCAATTCCAGCACATTATCGAAAGCAGCCGAGTCGGAGCCACCGTCTTCGATGATCGGGTAGAGCAAATCGAGCTCGTCTCCGAACACGTCCGACTTCATTACGCCTTCGCGTGCTCGCATCCAGTTCTTGTTGCCTCGGAGTGTGTTGATTTCGCCATTGTGAGCGGCCCATCGAAGAGGCTGTGCACGATCCCAGCTTGGGAAAGTGTTGGTCGAGAAGCGGGAGTGCACCAGCGCAAAATGTCCCTCGTAGTCGACAGACACCAAGTCGTGGTAGTACTGATACACTTGGACAGGCGCGAGCTGCCCCTTGTACACAATGTTCTTGTTACTCAGGGAGCAGAGGTAGAACCAGTTATGGAGACCGATGGTGTGTGTAGCCCGCTTTCGGAGGACGTACAGCTGACGCTCGAAGCGTGATTCATCGAACTTTTTGGCGAAATGCTCGTTCGGCTCCTTGCCGCCGCCGTAGGCGGACTTCAGAACCACGAATGGCTGAAGGACAACTGGCTCCCTTGACAATGCTGCTGGGCCCAGTAAAGCCGAGTCTCGAGGGACCTCTCGCCATCCAAGAACTCGCAAGTCGAGCGAGTCTGCGACCTCCTCGAAGGTTGCAATCGTCTCCTTCAGTATCTCCGCGTCCGGCTTGAAGAACAGATTTCCTGCGGCGTACTGTCCTAGCTCTGGCAACTTGATACCCTGCTCTCTCTCGAAGTTCTTGAGGAAGAACTTGTGGGGTATCGAAGTCATAACACCAGCTCCGTCGCCATCGCGGGCATCCGAGCCGACCGCCCCTCGATGGGTCATGTTGCAAAGGAGCGAACGAGCTGTTTCGCAGATTAGCTTCTGAAGTCCCACGAATTTTGGAGTCTTCTTACCATCGCTAACAATCTTGTGGCTGGCTTTGCCCTTGATGTGTCTGCATGGTGTTAGTTGATGCAGTGTCCCGAGACAGGTGGGGAGAAACTCACGCTGCAAAGCCCACTCCGCAGGCATCCTTTTCGAGCTCTGGGTCATAGAGACCCTGCTTCAGTGGGAGCGTACCAGCCCATGAATTGTTGTCAGGAGTGTCCTGATATGGGAAGACCTTGACAGGCTCCTCCTCAATGAGGTCGTCGGCAGATTTTGTGTCTTCGGCGAATTGAACTCGCCCCATCCTTCCGGCGGGCGCCGAAATTGAGGGCTGAAGGATGTCGAAGTGTGTTTGTTGTGGAGGGGATGTGAAAGAAGGATCGATTGTGGGTTTCAAGCTTGGTAGTGTTGCTGAGTGCCTGGTGACTCGGTTAGGTGGGCGGACCGCAGTGAGAGTGCAAAAGAGGTGGTGTAATGAGCAGCAGAGCTATCTCAGTGCGGTGTGGTGAGAGTAGAGGGTCAGGCAGCGAGTGTCGAGAAGGAAGAGCAATGCAAGAGGAGGGTGACAGGGAGAGGGAGTTGAGGGCAGTGGCGACAGACAGAAGCGTCACGCTGTCCACGCCTAACAGACGTCTCGCTGCAGCACTGCGCTCCCCACACCGTCGAGATGATGTAGAAGACGAGACCGGGGTTGGATGGGCTGATAGCTCTTCAGACGCACGAAATGCTCCTGATAAGAGCTCCGGCGAATGGGAGGGGGCGGGGGATGCTGCCAACGGCGCTCGGCAATGCCTCGCGCGTCGACAAGCCTCGGGAGCAGTGCAAGGGCTGGGGCAGCGTACGGGGAGATCGACTTACGAGCTGGTCTTGAACAGGGGCCGCAGCGGCGCAACGACTACCAGGCTGTGTTGTGATGGTGGAGGTGGGAAAGGAAGAAGAGGAGGGAATGGGACGAGAGGCAGCCTTATGAATGGGGAGGAGCGAAGGTGGGGAAAAATTTCACGTCAACGCTAAGGGGACATATCATTGCGGGCTCTGCCAATTGATCTAGGCCTGTTTCAAATCATACAGTGCTGTCGATTGCAGCAGCAGCCTCGCTTGGATGCGCTGTCTTCGAGGCGCTTTGAAGCTACACGCTGGGTCTATATACGAGTGAAAGCGGCCACGCAGCGTGGCCGCCCTCCGCCTGCGAGCCCCTCCAGTTGTCCCTACGACAATGAAATCACCGGCCCCTGAGTGGCAGAGCAGCAGTGCCAATTGCCCGTCCAAACCGCTGGACAACCATCGTCAGATGCAGGATGAGGGCACCACCCACCCCTTGGCGAGCTCCGGCGGTTTTATGGATGCTTTCCCTGCAGCTCTGTTGTGCGTCCAGAAAATTTGCCCTGTTACCCCACGGTTTCTGCCAGCTCCATGCCCCCGATACAGTCTAACGGCGCCCGGGGGGCTCGCCCACTGCCGGGCGGTGGACGCAGCTCAGTCTCTAGCAGGCGAATCAGGGGCCTGGGAGAGCAGTTGACACGCCCTGATGACCTGGTGGTGCCGCATGCCAGGATGCAAGAGGCCGTCCCGCTGTCCAAGCTCAGATTGCCGCACACCACTTGAACGTGCAGAGAGCCGGCGCCCGCCTCGAGGAACCCAATTGCGTGGGTCACAATTGGCGGTGGCTGCCGAGGCTTCTTTGTGTACATAATTAAAGCTGGTCACTGTCCTTATCATGCCCCCAAAGGCGACGCAGTTCGGGGAATGAACTTCGGTGTTGGCCTTTTTAAAAGGACCCCGCAGCCAGCTGCCAGCCTCTCCCCCCGGACCGACGGTACCATGGCCACGGCCTCGCGGAAAGGCCTTTGCTTCGTGCCACTGCACAGTCGGTAGAAGAACCTCCATCCTACAGATGCAGCCTCGCAACTCTCCCCTCCCACGCAAAATACGACAAAACAAACAGTGGGAGGCGTCGGGAGAATACGGAGCAACACTCCCCACGGCTCCTATTCCCGACTCTGTAAGATTCTGTGAGTCACGAGAACACAGAGATTCGCTGTTGGATCCAGCCGATATCGCATCCAGGCTTTGGAAATTGCCGTCCGGCGACCGCTCTCTGCCGTTCACTACGTCCCTGACTTGGGGCGACCTTTGCAGCTGGTTCCAAGTCTTGCCTTACTGCCGGCCTGAGCGACAGCGCCGGTTTTGCTGGTACCGATATTAATGAAACGGGGATGTGGATGTACTGGAAGCGTGGCATGGGCAAACAGATAACATGGTTACATCGGGAAGCCTGCTGTCAAAACGTGGAACAGATTCTAGGACACAATTGAGCCCTCAGAGTTCAGAATATCGGTGAACCTACCCTTGTAGGTATGCAGAATTGTCCCTGGGGAATTTTGCCTCTGGGAGATATCCTGAAGCAGATCATCAGTTGTGACGAAATACTTCGTACAACTGACGATCCCACGCTGCCTGCATGCTGAACTTGTCGAGGTCAGATCCCTACCTAATGACACAATAGGCAACCCAGCCGGATTCTCGTACTACGCACAAGTAGAGCACACAGGGTTGTCATACTACAGAGTGTCTTTGTGCTGCCCAGGTGTCAATGCGTATGCATTGCGGGGCTTTTAGCTTGTCCCAAGGTTCGCTCCGGGTCTTGACGCGGGGTGTCTGCCGCAAACGGAACAGAGACAATTTACAGCTTCTGTCGACATGTAGTTCCATTAACTGAGTCCAATACAGCGATGCTATGGGCTCCTGTGCTCATGGAATCTGACAGTTGGCGCTGACAGTGGTAGCTGTCGCCCTGACAAGGTTAATTGAACTGAAGGGTTGAGGTCTTGGCACACAATTGCTTCTTATGCCTGCATCATCAACACGAACTCACATACAACCATGGAAGCTCCGAACACATCCAGTAGCAACAGCTAATGCCACGAAGTTGATACATAACTACTTACGGGGAATAGACTAAAATAGACGACTGTGAGGGGGGGCTTACTCTATTCAGGGGTAATATCAATCTGGGGTGGAGCTGTGCCAAACTGCAGGACGTTTTGACGAGCGTCTTTACGATCGAAGACTGACTGTGAAATCCAATCAGTCCGCAGGATATAGCCTTAATTCTTCGTAAATATGAGCGATTCATATAGGGGGCCTTGTCTGCTAAAAAACTAAAGGCATGTCGTTTAGAGGTCACGTGACCGTGCAAGACTACTAGACGAAATTCACCCAGTCAGAGTTTTAAAAGTCGTACGTGCACAGAAATTTCTCAATGGAACTAGGCACAATTGGCTCTTCTGGAAGAGTCCCGTCAAGATTAATTGTAGCGACCAAGCTGGGGTGTGGTTGCACGATGGGCATCTCATGCGACACAATGCTTCAAAGCTCACCAGCAAAAGCAATGTCTCAGCTATCGGCACTGCTTGCTCAAGGCCTATCACCTTGGACCGAAACCTTCATCCGTACTTCGTACAACGATGCTTTCTGTGCCGTATTCTTTCACACTCAACTGGGAAACGCCAAGGCGGCGATTTCGTAATTTTAGCTCCTGCAAATGTTTCCTATTAGTGCAGCCTGATTGCCCATTGCCCCTCAATTGACAATAAACGACTTGGTGCCTACATAGTGAGCCTATTGTCTACTTTACAATATATTCTTCCCAGTGTTATTTCAATGCAAAGGAAGGCTCGAAGCTTTCAAGTTGTCAGCATGCCAAGGCTGGCTAAGCTAAGCCGAGATGGTCGCCGAGCCGCATCTTCGATCTCCAAACCTGAACAGATGGGTAATGCTATCGAGCAGCACAAGGCGCGCCCTCCATAACATGGAAGCTGTTTGCCTCCTATAGAACCTCCTCGAACCCACCTCTCACCTGCACCCATGCTTTCGTGGACCCTGCTCCGTTCCATCTGAAGGCGCCGCCAGCACGACTCCATTTCCTATGTCGCATACAACTATCGCTCCTTTCTCGCTATTACCGCCTTCGAACCCTCTCCATCGCGCTGCACAAGCCGTCGCGACAGCTGTGCACACAATTGCGCCTCTAAGCTCTACGAAATCGCTCCCTTGAGAGACCCCAGACCTGTGGGTGCCGGTCGCGCATGCCCCCCGTTTAAAAGCCCATTCCGCGGCCCTCGACCTGGGAAAATACAACCGACATAATACTGACACTCTCTTGTCGGGCCGGGAAGTCTTCAGTTGCGTAGAGGGTCATGGTTGCCACAGGCGGGCTGTAGCAATCGGGATCGCTTAGCGTCTTTCTGAAGCCGTTCCTCATCGGCATCAACCTCCACCCTATCCACGATCCACCACACCCCCGGACGGCAACCCTCCTTTACGACCATGCCGGATGACGAGGTGGAAAGGCAGTCGGCGCACATTGAGCCGGAGCTGCGCGACATGAAGATTGAGGAAGGAGGCGAGTGGGAGGGGGCAGGTGCACAATTCTCGTCGCGGTCGAGAGAGGGCTCGTCCACACCGCAAAGAACCGCTTCACCTGCACCTGTGGCCGTGAAAGCTCGGTCCGCATCACATTCCCCCGTCAAGAAACAACACCCTTCACAATCCCCCTCCGACACCACCTCTGAACACGAGGAGATCATCGGCGGCGAGATCACCGTGAAGATGGAGCCAGGTAAAGCACCCAAGCTTGCACGCACGGCACCGCATAAGGTCGTAGCTAGAGCTCCACCACTCTTTCACCACTTGCCAGACGCCACGGACGAGGCAAAGCGGAGCTTCCAGGTAATTACTGACTGCTCATATTCGTCCAAATACATTGGCAACACTGAACATGCACTCGAGTGCGACTGTTCAGAGGAGTGGGGTAAGTCTCGATGCACTTGAAAGCCACCCATGCCCGCCGTGCAAAGCTAACTAACCTTCAGATCAAGCGACTGGAATCAATGATGCCTGTGGTGAGGATTCGGATTGTATTAATCGCGCGACAAAGATGGAGTGCATTGGAGACTGCGGCTGCGGCGCTGCCTGCCAGAACCAACGATTCCAGCTGAAACAATATGCCAAAGTCACGGTCATCAAGACGGAGAAGAAAGGATACGGGCTACGCGCCGATACCGATATGCGAGCGGGCGAGTTCATCTTCGAATACATCGGCGAGGTCATCAACGAGCAGCACTTCCGCCGTCGCATGATACAGTATGATGAAGAAGGTATAAAGCATTTTTACTTCATGTCGCTCAGCAAAGGCGAATTCGTTGATGCTACGAAGAAGGGCAACCTGGGGCGCTTTTGTAATCACAGCTGCAACCCCAACTGCTTTGTCGACAAGTGGGTGATCGGCGAGAAACTCCGGATGGGTATCTTTGCCGAGCGCAACATCAAAGCGGGCGAAGAACTTGTCTTCAACTACAATGTCGATCGCTATGGCGCAGACCCCCAACCATGCTACTGTGGCGAGCCAAACTGCTCCGGCTACATCGGCGGTAAAACACAGACGGAGCGTGCTACCAAGTTATCGCACATCACTATCGAGGCCTTGGGTATCGACGATGGTGATGGCTGGGATGTCGCGGTCGCGAAGAAACCTCGGAAGAAAAAGAGTGGTGAAGATGATGAGGAATATGTCAATAATGTCCAACCCAAGTCTCTCGAAGAAGGCGGCGTTACCAAGGTCATGGCAACTCTCATGCAATGCAAAGAGAAATGGATTGCCGTCAAACTTCTCAGTCGCATTCAGCGCAGCGACGATGAGAAGGTTGGCCATCGCGTCATACGAATGCATGGCTATACCATTCTCAAGAAAACTCTCGCCGAATGGGCCGGGGACTTCAACGTTGTCTTGCAAGTTCTCGACATCCTGGAGAAGCTGCCTCGTATCACCCGCAACAAAATCCAAGATTCCAAGATCGAGGAGACTATGGAACAGTTCAAGACCTGCGAAGATGAAAGAGTCCAGACAAAGGCGTGCGCTCTTTTGGAAACTTGGAGCAAGTTGGCGGTTGGCTATCGAATTCCTCGCATGAAGAGAGACCCAAATGCTGAAGCTCCTGTCCGCGCGGATCGTTCCGAGCGACGAGAAAGGGCGCGAGAGCGATCCAAGTCCAAGACAAAATCCCCAGAGCCCGCCATCGATGCGCCAAAGGGGCCTTCTGTTCCAGCGGGACCGCGAGCTGGGTTGCCACCACGAAACCCTGCCTTCTTTGGCGGGCCACGTGCATTTCGCCGTGCACCTCCATTCAACCCACTTCCGATGGGCTGGTTTCAAGCCACGGCTGAGAACGGCACGGTCTACTATTACAGTGCCAATGGCCAGACTCAATGGCAACGACCTACCACTGCTGCCTCGCAACCGCCACCGCCTCCACCCAAAGAGAAGACTCATCAACAGAAGCTGGAAGATATCATCGCCAGCATTACCCAAGATGCGAGCCGAAATTCCGACGTATCCGCGTCTGCCACTCCGCAACCTGCCAGTCACAGTTCAGAGAAAGAGAAGAAGACAAAAAGCGAGAAGTGGCGGTCGTTGAGCGAAGAGAAACAGCAAAAGATCTACGAGAACACTGTTAGCATCCCCGGACTGTGTAATCAAAGAATATACTGACTGAATAACAGCTCTTTCCGCACATCAAATCTGTAACGGATCACTACCGGAAGAAGCTTGAAAAGGATGATCTGAAACGACTAGCGAAAGAGGTGAGCTCTGACATCGTGTTGTACAACTAGAATGGCTCCTAACAGGACTGCTAGGTTGCCAAGAAGCTCGTTCGCGGGGATTACAAGTCAGGTCGCGTTCAGGACCCTACGACCAAGCTTTCACACCGACATGAAAAATCGGTCAAGGTGTTCGTGAAGGCATTCATGGACAAAGCCGTACAGAAGAAGGTAGATCGCGAAAAGGAGCGAGCCGCACGGGCGGAGCGGAAGAAAGCAAGCAGCGCAGCTGGGCAGAAAGCCTCCCCGGATGCGCCCACACCAAAAATTCACGCCCAAGAAGAGTCGGATAATGAAATGATGGGTATCCTTGACGACGATGGAGAGCGTGCGATGGACATTTCGCCCTCAAGTTCATCCTCAGACCTGAAGCGGAAGCGAGGAGAGTCTGACCCACAAGCGGACGACGACGAGCAAGCTTCCCTAAAGAAGTTTCGCACCGAGACTCCTCCGGTTCCTGCGCCACCGCCGCCTCCACCTCCTCCTGCTGAGGACATGCCAACGGAAATGGACGCAGACGATTACGGCGGAACAAACGATGGGTCGGAATCCTTTGACTCAGAAGCTGTAGGCTCGGCTATGGGACAGTCTAGTCTCGGAAAGCCTCCACAGCCTTCCGAGCTAGTCACTGACAGGATCAAGCAGAGCGATGAAAGGATGAATGGACGCCATAGCCCGATGCAGCTTGCGACTCCACCAACAACGACCAACGGATCCTGCGAGCACGAGAGTAACGGAAAGGATAGAGAGGCCGCTTCGATAGAGTGAAGCTTGACCTACGGGTTACCTTTTATGTGCTGGGGGCATTGAGGGTGGATGCGGGGAGATCACGCCACCTGGTTTGCGCCCCCAGGATGGACAGCATTCTTATTCTTTTTTCTTTCTCAGTTTTCTCGCCGCGAGGGCTGCGAGTGGGTCTCGCACTGCAAGCCCTGATAGCACCAGGCGTTTCAATTTTCTGCATGGGCGGACCAAGCATTGGATCTCTCTTCCTCCTAGGCGAAATGGCTTCGGCACTTGTAGGACTATCTGGCGAGCTTTCGGAAGGTTCGATATGAGTGCTTTGATGGCACGCGACAGGTCGTTGGGACGCTTCTTATTGACCAGAGACAATCTCGGGATTTTGGGCTGTATCATACTATATAGTCAACATGGTTGAAGATGGTCAACAAGATGCTGATATCCTCTTGAAGTGACACACCTACTCTAGCGGCCGCGGACTGTGTGCGACCCCAACGCCCATCGGCTACTGGTGTCCGCCGCCAGCTGTGATGAATATGTGCTTCCCAGCGTCTGGCCGCAGATTTCCCATGGATCTGGCTCGGGCGACTCGCGCACAACGGACGTCTCCACTGCTGCATCCCTGGTGTCGCATGGAGTGCCCGCTTATAGGCTAGTATCGGCTTTCATCGCAGCGCTGGAACTGCACCAAGGCGGCATGTCAGCCAAACGATTGCGAGCTATCGATCAACACCATCATCGGGCCCTCATAAAGCCTGCTGGCCCCTCCCCGCCCACTCCCATCGCCACAGAACTACTCCTCTCCACGCCTCCGCACAGTCAGCTTCTTTCTTTCACTTTTCCTTTCACACATTGCGCAGCTGTCCTTAACTGCGTACTGTTCTGTTTGTCTATCGACGGGCGACGACCCCACTCTTCGTACGCCACCTGAAGCCTGCACAATGGCTTCTTTCCTACGCACAGCTAGCCGGCTACGGCCCGCTGCTGCTCGATCTATCGCCTTCCAGAGCTCGAAGATGACTACAGCAGTCTCATTCCCAGCCCAGCGGCAATATGCCTCTGCGGCCGCCTCAGCAACCATCTCGAATGACGTCGAGCAGCCGTTCTTCCCAGACGAGCCCAAAGGACCAACCGTCAAGACGGCCATCCCAGGCCCGAAGAGCAAGGCTGCCATTGAGCAGCTGGAGAAGGTGTTCGACACCCGCAGTCTGAACATGATGGCGAACTACAATCAGAGCTTTGGGAATTAGTATGCTTGACACTACTTGACTCAGAGAGAACAAATCACTGACTTAAACACTAGTATTGCGGATCTGGACGGTAATGTGCTGCTAGACGTGTGAGCATGAATTGTGCCCTCAATTGGTGTTTTAGTCTAATAATGATAGTTACGCCCAAATCGCCTCCATCCCAGTAGGATACAACAACCCAGCCTTGCTTCTCGCTGCAACTTCTCCCGAGATGGCCAGCGCCATCATCAACCGCCCCGCCCTCGGCAACTTTCCCCAACACGACTGGGCCGAGATCCTAGAGACTGGTATCCTGAAGGTGGCGCCCAAGGGCCTGAACCAAGTCTTCACTGGCCAGACCGGCTCAGATGCCAATGAACTGGCATACAAAGCAGCTTTCATGTGGAGGAGGCAGCACGAGCGTGGAGGTGCCCATGTCGAGTTCAGTGATCACGATATCGCATCCTCCATGGTCAACCAGTCCCCTGGCGCGCCCCAGCTCTCCATCCTTTCTTTCAAGGCCGGTTTCCACGGCCGCCTGTTCGGCAGCTTGAGCACGACCCGCAGCAAGCCCATCCACAAGCTTGATATCCCCGCCTTTGACTGGCCCCAGGCCCCCTTCCCCGTATCCAAATACCCGCTCGACCAATACGCCGCCGAGAATGCCGCCGAGGAGCAGCGCTGCCTCGACGAGACTGAGCGTCTAATCAAGGAATGGCCACAGCCACCTGCGGCCGTCGTCGTCGAGCCCATTCAATCCGAGGGCGGCGACAACCACGCCTCTCCCGCTTTCTTCCGCGGTCTGCGCGCTCTCACCCGCAAGCACAACGTCCTCTTCATCGTCGACGAAGTGCAAACCGGCGTCGGCGCTACCGGCAAGTTTTGGGCCCACGAGCACTGGGGCCTCACCGATCCCCCAGACATGGTCACCTTCAGCAAGAAGGCCCAGGCCGCAGGCTACTACTTCGGCAACAACGAGCTGCGTCCGAACAAGCCATACCGCCAATTCAACACGTGGATGGGCGATCCAGCGCGTGCGCTGCTCTTCCGCGCTATCATACAGGAGATTGAGCGTCTGGATCTGGTGCAGAACACCGCTACTACCGGCGAGTACCTGTACAAGGGCCTTGAGCGTCTCGCACAGGCGTACCCAAGTGAGATTCAGAACTTGAGAGGTAAGGGCCAGGGCACTTTCTTGGCGTGGGACAGCCCGCGTCGGGATGAGGTGCTGAAGAAGGCAAAGACGGTGGGTGTGAACGTTGGCGGTAGTGGTGAGAGGGCGGTGCGGCTGAGGCCGATGTTGATCTTCCAGAAGCATCATGGTGAGTTAACTCCTGTTTCAACATCCCTCGTTTATAGACCACTAACGCGTGTCTAGCCGACATTTTCCTCGAGAGCTTGGAGAAGGTCTTTAAGGCTTAGAGATCCACCGTCTCCAAGCGTTCTCATATATTTGCTTTCACCGGAGTTTGGAAAAAGCGATGGCCGCCCCTGGTTATGGATCAATGGTTGGCCAGATCTGGGGCTTCATTGAGCAAC